GAAGAAGAAAAATCGAAATGAATAGGAAACGCATTTGCTGAAACAGCAGTGGTCAGAATGCATTAGCCAGGATGCACTCGCTCACAGCCCAATTAGCAGGAACCCCAGACCATCCTCATCCTCATCCTCGTCCTCATCTGTAGTACATCCACATCGTCGTCCTTAGAGTCCTCGACAGCGTCGCCTCATTAGGGCAACTCATCAAACAATCCGCGAGTGTAGGCCGTCGGCAGTGCCACCTGTCATTCCGTATTTTTTAAAGGTGTTTCCACTGCTCAGCAGTTGGGTACGAAGTGCAGAAAAAACTTAAAAAATATCTTTAAAAAAATTAATTACTAACTTCTATAAGCCACAAAAGTAATTAATAAAAACTATACTATTTAAAATGGAATAAAAAAAATATATTTTGGATAAACTTTTACCATAGCTACCAGCTCAAAAATAATAACTTGACTGCTATTTGAAAAGTATTCTAATTTGAAATTCATACCTCTCCGTGGCCGGTGGAAACAAGTTGGGAAAATAGCAAGGACCTCGCTTTTTGTATTTTTTAGTATTTGCCCGCTGCCGTCTCACAAAAGCCACCTTACACATGCTATTAATGACAGGGCCACTCGGAGTGCGGCTGTGTGTATGACTAAACATTTACATTTCATTAAAACTAAAAACAACACACAAAGCAGTAAGCACGACACGAAAACGCAAAAACGAAAAACGAATACGCAAACTAAGCAAATACATATGCAGAAACGGAAAGAGAAACAGAAACAGAAACTGAATGAGGATCTTAGACTGCCATATAGCCATGTGTGAGTGTGTGTGTGTGTGTGTATACCATAGCTATAGTTTTTGGGCAAGGTAATGCGGCGCAAGTTGAGTGGGCGGATGGGAGGTCTCCCACCTGTCCGCTGCTCACGATGAGTGCCACTTGAGGAACTGAGGTAGCGAGCTCATGGATGTGAGATGTTACTCGGAACGGCGTTACTATATCTGGGTAAGTGCACAGGAAAACAGGCAAGTAACGAGTCTTGGCTTATGCGGTACAAAAATCGATTCATATTTATTTAAGAACGAAGTAATTAGAACGCTATCAAACAAAAGAAAATCATTTATTTGTAAAATAAATAAAAACAAACATAATTAAGAATCAATAAATTATTTACAAATTCGAGGCGGAGAGTATTAACATATTTTAACTAAAAACCTTGATAAACAATACAAATTTAACTATTATTTCTCAGTGTGTGTATCTGTTCCACGGACTGTTGCATCATATCGTTTTTTAAAAACGTACACATTTCTAGACGGGGACACACACATACTTAACTCGACATTTTTCACTCAACGAGCTTTTTACATAACAGGCAACAAAAGTGTAGAAGTGCAACACCAACAACAATGCATTCCACCTGCTTCCTCTACGCAAAAGTTGGGCCAACATCAGAATGGAATGTGGTTCATTTGGGCCATAGCCGCTCGTTCTCGGAGCGAGAGTAGCGAAATAAATAGTATATTTTACCCGAGTGCCACTCATGAAAATTGCAAAAAAACAACAAGTGCAGGCCGGGTCGAGTTCTGTGTGGGTCCTTCGTCTCAGCGGGTATGTGTGCACGTGAAAAAAAATCGAATACTTAGATTTATAAAATCATTCGTTACATAAATTAGTTTGGGTTACCTTACTAAAAATATCTACAAAGTAAAGCCAAGGTAGAAACCCCTTTTCTTTGGCTTACTTTGTTCTACTATTTTACACATGTACAGACCCATTGAAAAACTTTGTTTTAAGTGTACTTCCTGTGCCTACTGCCTACCGAGTGCCAGTCAAATATGAATTGGTAGTTGCCCGGACCGACTTGGCCTGCGCTGACTCTTGCAGCATAATAACAAGAAGTTATTGTGCCTCTGTCTACATGCAACTGCAGTAGCAGTGCAACAAAGCCGGCCACTCCGGACCCCCAACCCTTTGACCCCCCTCGACCCCCTCCGACCCGCCTGGTTTATTGTTTTCGGTGCAATTTCAGGGAATTCAGGTGGTCCCAAGTGAACGGGAAGCGGAGAAAAATGAAGCCTAATTACGGCTCATGTTTAGCCGCTCCTCCATTCAATTAAATGGAATGCACGTGCCCCAAACCCAGAAGCCAAACTCCGGACCCAAAGCCAACTACAAAAAAGAAATGCAATAATCATGCCGCACAACGTATGTACGCTCGGGGAGCATTTCATAAATTGCCCGGACTGTATGGCTCTGATGCATTTGGGAGCGCTGGGAGCCGCAGATTCTGCTGCTCTCGCAAATGTTTAATTAAAAATTAAAGCAGCTTCCACTGTTTGCCCGCTGATGTTTGCCTTTGAGCAGGAAACAAAATGCAATTTGTTTTAGTTCTCTTTTTTTCAGCACTTTTGTTACTGCAGTTGTAGGTTATACATTTCACATTTGTTATTTCACCCGTGTAAGCATTCGAAAGGTCTTTTTTTTGGAGGATACTCAAAGGACTTCTTGATACTCTTGAAAAGCGAATCAGTTACTTTTTTAATTATTATTATCTTTTGTTGCAATTTGAATTGGCAAAAAATTGATTTCTAATGTTTTGTTATGAATCAAAAAGGAATGTTAATCGGAATTTCTTATCTTGTGTGTCAATAGTAAAATATTGGAAATTAAAAAATATTTCCATTGGATTATTGACATTGTATTTAATTTTACTTAATTAGCAATAATAAAAAATGTTTTTTAACACAAAAAAGCTATTTAAATGAATGCGAGAATAAGTAAAAAATACAATTCTTTCACATGCCAGTCATAATTATGGGAATTTATCACAAAAAATATAAATATTTTAAGTATACAGAATTATTACATTAAAATGTCGTCCGAAAAATGAGATAAATTTGAACCTTCTCCACTTATTGAAGTGCTAATTCAGTCCGTCGATGGCCGGATAAAATGTCGTTGGCCTTTCGGAGGTAAGGGTATAATGAAAAGTGTCAAGGCCCGCGCTGGCAGCCACTTAGCAGCCAATAAATTGTAATTCGACACGAGCTGCTTGCCGACACATGCAGCAGGCATCCGAGGCAGGCGACACTTCGCTCACTCCTTTTCCTTGTGAAATGGAAAATTAATTTTCAAACGATTTCGTTTGTCGACGGCTTCGACTGGCTTTTCTTCTTGGAGCTGCCAGCGAAGTGTCGCTCCCCTCCCCCCGCACCCCCACCCACGCTCCCCTCCATTCTTTATATTACTTTCATTTATTTTGTTTTATTCGTCGAGCGGATCGCAAGGCCACGCCCGCGCAGCCAGCATACAAGTGGCAAATAAATTCATTAGTGGCACAAATTAGTTGGACGTAGTCGAGCGGGTCGTCGGGTGGCGAATGGCTGATAGCGAATGGTGGCTGCTGGATGGGTGGATGGCGGGTCAGTAGGGAGTCGAAGGCGGCAGAGAGTCAAGGCAGCCGAGAGAGCCGGGCCAAAAGGACACAAAAGTGCTTTCAATTTCAATTAAATTTGCCACTTGCACGGCCCCACGTTTCCCTGCACCGAGCCACCCTGCAGTCGGCATCCTGAGTCCTGCATCCTGCATCCTGCATCGTGCAGTGGCAAGTGCAACTTGCAGGGTGTCGCTGCGCAATGGAAAATGTGTAATGGGATTGCGATTGTGCGCCTGCTGACTCAGGGGCACATTTAAAGCTCGTTTAAGCGCTCGTTTCGCTTCATCTGGCCTCATCCTGGCAGCCTGATTAAGTAATCAAAGCATTTGTCAGCTACTTAATCTATCGTCAGCCACTTGGCCACCGCTGCGTATGCGTATCTGGTTAGAACAATGCAAGGGGAGCCAGTTTAAAGGGTAAGTTTGAACTGTGATTGTGAAGGGAAAAGTAGAGCAAAAGGAATACTTTCGTTACTACCATGATTAAATAAGATTAAAATAAAATTTATTTTGTTTATACAATTGCTTTAAAATAAAATAATAATCAGAATTAATTAAATTTAAAATGTATAAAGCCTTGAAACAAAACATTTTGCACTCAAACTTTTAAGCAGTTTTTATCATTTGTATTTTTCTTCCCTCATTAAAACCACCTTATGGCCCACTGAACAATTTTGAAAACAACGTTTCCCATTAAAGACAACTGCCTAACAAATTGTGTCATATTTGTTGGACACCGTGAAAGCTCCCAAACAGTTTTGTTGGCAATCAGCGTTACCTAGCATTCGAAAAGCAGCGACAACCGAAGGCAGCCAACGATCAACAGGGATATTGCAAACATGTGTTTGCCGCCACAGTAACTCATGACCTCCTGGTGACCCCACACCCTCACCCACACACACACACACCCACAGCGAGCGCCTTCTCAACCATTTGTCAATACCCACACACTCATACATATTCGACTTGGCGCCCACTTCCGTCCTCCATTTTTGCCTGTGACCCCGAGCAAAACAAGCGAAAAACACCAAAAATGTTTTATATTTTCCGAAAAACCAGAAATATGTTGCACATACATATAATATATGCGTGTGTGGGTGTGTGTGTGTGTGCGGAGGGGTTGCTAACGTATGTGTATACATGGGCGCCGGGGGCGTGGCAGTCACGTGCCTACCGCTGTTAAATGTACTTTAAAAATCACTTAACACATTTAGCATTGATTTTCTAGCAGCCCCGTTTTATCTCCTTACGCCATATTTATTTTGCATATTTTCATCAAGGATTATGGCTGCACCCCAAAGCACTTTTCCCGCATTTCCCAGCTAAATTTTCCCCATACGCCAGTAGACAGAATTCTTGAGCAGCAGAACCATTAGAAAACTGATATTAAATTCAATTCAATTTGCCGAAATTTTTCGCTTTTCTGTTTTTATGTATAGCAAAATGAAATTTCAAATTTTAATGAGCAATCAACAGAAAAGAAAAACCGGAAAATAATAAACGTAAATGGAACCCACGCAGGATGCGAGACTGAAAAACAAAGCAAACAAAGCCCCAAATGCTTAAAGTAAATTCAAATTTAATTAGGATTTTTTTCGTATCGTTTTGGGACTTCAAATCTTTTGTGGAAAGAGGACGAGAATGGGTGGGCGGCACCACGCCCCAGTGGACTAAATGTAAATGAAAATTGACGCAAGGCAAGTTTATTAAAATGCGATTTGCATAAGCATGTGGACGGTCGGGGGAGGGGAGCAAAGGTGAGGCCAATGAATTTTAAGGTGACTCGCCATGAAAAGTGGCAGATGTGGCAATGAAAATGTCGGAAAAGTCAACTGTCCGCATTAATTTGGTGCCATTTTCGGTCCCCATTTCTCGGTTTGCTTTGCACACGCACATTCGAAACTCAATTAAAAGTGGCCCAAAGTACTTCGGAATCTGTCTATCTCAACAGGTGATGGCCAAGAGGCCATTAGCTGAGTCATCAAGTTGGCCAGGTGCTTTTAATATGAGTTATTTATATTTGTGCATAAAAATGACTTAATATAAAATAAATATTTACTTGTAAGAACAGATTTTTTAGTTTAATACTCCAAGATAATTATTTTCGTAGAGCATTTATCAAACTCGCATACTCCAAAGATTCCTTCCTCTCGCCTTCGCATATTTGGCTTTCTTTTTAATTTCTTTGTTGGCGAATAAATTACCGAAGTTCTGCATCTAATTTCGCACAGCATTCTCGTCGTATAAGTCTTAAGACCTCGACGACAGTAGACAATGGGAAATTATTATTGCACGAACGGCGGGGATTTTCCAGGAAATCAAATAGAAAAGATCTGCTTTCTGCGAAGCGCATCAACTCAATTCAAGTCAATTTTCCCTTTCACCGCCGACAGTCAGGTATTATGCCCCGTGTGCCAGGGGAAAATGGTGAGGTCGATAAAAAAAAAAAGAGGAGCCACACGTGCGGCCATGGAACCACTATATGTGGCAGGGTTTTGTGTGCGGTGGCAGCTGCAATCAATGCGCTTTTTTAATTGCTTAGCATGGGAAGAGCGTGGCAACAATTGGAGCGGATGGCCAGGCTTCCTTTGGCCAGCTGCATCCGCTATCGGATCCAAACCGATTGAAAAGCGACCAAAGACGCCGTAATTGACGTTGATCCTCCTAACAATGAACCACTTTCAGCCACCAGGAAACGGGGTTAAAAGTAAATCTCAAATTGAAAATTGTTGTCATCGTAAAATGGAAATAATTATTTTAATTGTATGCCGCGTGCGGTGAGCGAGTTGCATGTGAAATGGAAGTTTTGGTTCGTCACATCAAGTATGCGCCACATTGTACACATCAAGTATACGCCGCGTGCGAGTGCATAAAAAACGCATTAAGCAAACAACATTTAAATTAACTCAAATGCCTTTATAAAAGCCAGGCAAAATGCATTTGACACATTTACTTAATCGCATTTCGGCAAAATGGATTCGGTTTCGAGCGAAACTCTTCCAGCAGCCACCGTAATCCAATAAAAGAAATGTGTTTGACGTTCGCATTACAAACTAATTACATCCACCAGAGATGGTCGGGCTGTTTTAATTAATATTTGTCATTCGATTTTTACCAACCTTGCGTTTTTGCCAACGCACACCTGACTAAATGCCCGGATCTACTTATGCAGGCCATGTATATGAGCTTGCTTAGATAAATATTTGTTCGTAAACATGCAGAATTAATTGAAATTGTTTCTAGTTACATGGATTTTGGGTTATTTGATAGGCCAAAACAAACAAAGCAAAATTACCAAGCCCCCACCGCCGCACACAATCATCACACGAAATTAATTTCCGAGTACAAAAAATAATAATCATTCGAATCATTTCTCATTTCATAATTGCCATTCGATATGCCAGAGATCAAATTTAAATTTAAATTAGTGTTGCTGCACTGCAGCCTTGATGAGTTGCAGCTGCGAAATGGCCTGATTTGCATTTGGCCAAGAAACATATTCCAAAGAGAGAAAATTGCAGGCTAATAATTTCCATTAATAATTCAAGTGGCATCATCAGGACTTTGTCATTGCGTTGTCACTACTCATTAACGATAAGTCCAAGAATACCTCTGGAATGCCCGTCCAAAACTGTTTGGCATTTGCAACAGTGTTTGGCAGGATGCAAGTTCTGTGAAAATGGTAGTGGAAAAAGGACATTTGTTTGCTGAAATTGCAATGTTTCTAGTTTCCGTTTGAAATTTAGCAAATATTTGACAATGCAATACGCAAATTGCCTTGGGTGTGGATGCCACAGCAAAATATATTGGCGAGAGGGAAATTTATATTGAACGCAATTTGTTTGTTTTGATGAAAAGGGAGATCGAATCGATTTTGTCGTTGAATGGGGATTTAGTCAAGCCAAAACTAATACTCTCTATTTTAAATAGAATGCTCAATTTATCGAATTTATAATTTTAGATCAAAGAGTTAATCTATTGATTAATTTCTTATTTTAAGTTTGCTACTTTACTAAGATTTTGTGGTGTCTTTTCACCGATTAATCGTTGTGTTTATTATCTTTTAAGTTACAAGTTTAAAAGCAAGTTTCAATACACAGAAATCTGTTAATACTGCTCCTCTTTCAACTCCATATTATTTGCTCTCATTATTGTTTCCTGTATTTGACTTGCTTTGAATAAATCTCCTTGATTTAATGTGTAAACACTCTTTAACAAACTCCCAAATTCATTATCCCCCTAATTTGAAATCCACACAAAGCTTAAACTAATTGAACTCCACTCCTAGGTGAAGTTCACACTTTGAAAAACTCGAACTCGAACTCAAACTCGAACTCGATCACTGTCACTTACCCAAACAAACTTTCCACGTTTCAGTTCACTTCAAAGTGCAAATTAGTTTTCTTTGGCAGCTAATTTTTTTGTCGGTCTGCTTCGGACACGCTCTCAACTCGTTTCTGGCTCAATAAATTAACCGAAAATCCTATGGCAATGGGTTTTTGTAGTTCTAAGTCCTTTATTTTTTTTTGTTTTTGTTGCTATCGCACACAGACAATCAGGAAGCGCGGCAGAGTATTAAAAACTCATTAGGCCACCGCCGAGGATGCTGGAGATGGAGGCTGCCACTTGTTTTTTTTGTTTAATTTATGCAAATATCGACCGCACATATGCACAGGAAAAGGTTTTGGTTCTGGTGAAAAGTCTGCGGGAAGTGTTCGTCCTTTTTTTTTATTCCGGCAACTTGGCGAAAGTAAATCGAATGTCAACCGCACACATGCAAGGCGCACACTTAATCAAAGGCATACACACACTCGGCGAAAGAGGATAAGGAGGAGGAGCAGAGAGGTCCTGCGGGGGAGGTCCTGCTGTCAGAAACACGTGCGATACGTGACCTAGGCCAAGCGTTAAATTCACGCGCCAATCTCCACGGCCTTTCTACTAAAGGGGGCTTTTCTTTAGGAAAAATCGGAATCGGAATCGGAATCGTACTCGAATTCGTAGTGCTAGTGCAGCTGTTTCAAGTATCCCTGTATTAACCACACACACACACACACATATACACGTGTCGACCAAATCCGCTTAGGACAAACTGACGACTGATTCTGATTCTGCAAGTTGGCCAAAAACTTCGCATTGGCGGCGGCTTCTCCGTTCGGTTGCCATCCCCATCATCCGTCGGCTTGCCACGTCGGCTGCAGATGCCCCACCACATGAAAGTACCGTTGGCCCGGAGCTCCGCTCTGCTCCGCATTTCGCATTTCGCGACCTGCCACACCACGAAAGAGAGTGTCTTAAGAGCGAGAGAGAGAGCGAGTATGTTCCGCTTGCCATTCGTTCCTCGTTGCGTTCGAGGAAAGCGCAACTAGTTTGCCAGCCTGGAAGGCCCGTGCCGAATGTGTGGCATTGGAAATGCTTCACTTTTCGCCGAGAATCCCCGAACCCCGCACCCCGCACCCCTCAGTCGCCAACTCCCTTCTTGAACTCCCATAAGTAAATACCGGCCGCCCGTTTTGTTTGCCCAATTAAATGCCACATATGTCATAAGCATAATCTCCCCAACCCACCGAAGTTAAGCCAAGCGAACCCCTTTCAGCAGTTTTTTAATTAATCATTAATAAGAGCCACGCTCGGCTGGCGACCAAAGCAGATAAAGGCTGCCCCTTTTTCTGCTCCTCTCCCTTTCCCCTCCACTTTCCCCGCCACCCGCGCAGAATCCAAAATTGCAGTTGCACTCCGGCTTCGGGCCCTTTGATATGTCCGCCTTCGGAGGAGCCAGCAATTAGGAACAACGGACGAACGGCCCACAAATGGCGCCCAGAGCTCGACTCTATTAAAACACTGAACGAAAAATAAAGAACTACATACATTTACAAAAAAAAATGTAAAAAAAATCAGCCCAAAAATCGAAACCAAACTAATGATGCAGTTTCTTAGGGGACTATGTCACAAGAATTTTGAGGTATGCCAATCTAAAATAGGACATAATTTAGGAAAGTAATAGTCTTTTATGTGCTGGTCTTAGCCATTTTTCGAAACAGCCATTTTTCGGATTTTTGTCAGGGGTAACATCATGAAATAGTGAAAAAAATCGAGCTAAAAATCAAAACCAAATTAATGATGCAGTTTCTTAGAGAACTATGTCACAAGTATTTTGAGGAAAACCAGTCCAAAATGGACTTTATTATGGGATTTAAGGTGCTGCTTTTGAGCCATGATTCCAAAAGACAGGTTTTTTTGAAAACTCTATAATTTAAAAAATCGTTATTATAATGGTTGGTTTATTTTTTCAGTGCAGTTGAAAGTCCCAGTTCAATTCGCAGATGCGGCAGCGAAACAGAACCAGATCACGTTGCCTGTCCCCAAGGGTCGCGGGAAAGACTTTGACACTTCGCAAGTGAAATTACAAGAAATCTAAAAATAAATAGGGGGGAAAACTCATTAACTGACTGGGAAATGCTCTTGAGTTTACAAAAAGTTAGCTTTAAATAAGTTAAATTTTTTAATTTATTTTGTCACTTTATTTTGAATAACAAAGAAGGGTTATAAAAGCAAACCTGTAATGAAACTTAATTAAAATTAATTCTTAAAATTTACCCCAATGCCTACCTTAAGCTTTTAAGATTTGTATGCTTTTAATATTATTTAATCACCTCTTTTTTTATGATAGAAGACTGTTATCATACTACTGTGCTTCACCCACCGCAGAGTATCGCTAATGAGACATCTGCCATAACTAGAACCACACAACTTCGTAATGCAGAGAAATGCAAACCAGACACCGCACAAACAACCACAACATTCGGCCACTTGGATGACGCCTCGCTGTGGCATCGATTGTAGGCAGAGGAGGGCTACTGACTCCCCCAATCCCCCAGTTCCCCAGTTCCCGTGCCACCGTGCCACCGAGCCACCGAGTTGCCCGATCCGGCAATTGACCCGCGGGCCTGTGGCAGCGACTCCGCCTCAACTGCTTCCATATGCTCCATGTGCCGGGCGATGTGCGGTTGTAAATACAATTTACTCCACTCGGTCGCACACATTCCGATGGCGCATAATTTTATTGGCCTGCCCGTGATGCACTGGGATGCGCTCCCTTGACTTCGATGACAGCAAACAGAATCAACAGTCCCTAGGTGGCACCCTCGACGAGCCCATCCCCCCACCAGTCCATCTGCCCCATCTGCATCTGCCGGCAACATTCTAATGAGATATGGCCCCGGAGTCACCATGCATTTTTCTAGGCCCAACATTTGCAAACAGCAAACGGATGGGCAACCATCTGCCAACACCGACGCCCTGGGTTTCGTCCATGAGATGCCCCTTGTGCCCACACTGGGAGAAAATAATAGAACAAACTAATGTTAATAAAAAATATAATAGTAATGGCAATTGTAGTTAACAATTTGTAGCACAATCTTTGCTTAAAAATGAAACTCATTTCCTTGTTTAAACTTTTTAATTTAAAGTGGTGGTGCAACCATGGTTTTAATGATTTTAAATACTTTTCAAATGCTAATTTGACACCTTTTTTTTCTCAGTACAAAGGCACTTATGTTTTGCATATGAAATCGCGCACAAAATCACCAGGGACACGGCGGCAGCGAACTCTGACTCTCGCTCCGACTTTTCCGATCCCCGGCCGCTTGCAGAAATGCTAATTAGGCGTAATTCGCATAAAATTCGCAAACATTTGCTGTCACTGGAGTCCCGGACTGGGGGATTCGCTCCGCGCAACTGGCTTTTGATTTACGAGTTCCAGGGCCCGACTGCCAATCTGGCCTATCAACGGCTCATCAACGGCCGCCCGACGGTCGGAGGACCTCCAATCCTCCTCCAATCAGCGGTCCATCCGTCATCAGCTCCCCGCTTAATTACTAAGTGTATGTGTAAGCCGACATGATTCAGTTTATTGTGGGTTTCAGTTTATGTTTCGGGTGCCAACCCACAATTCACGGTGATTATTAACAGGCTTTTTGAGCTCCATTTTATGGCTCATTATTAAATGGATTTTTAAACATACGAAAAAAGATTTAAATAATACGAAACTCCCTCCTTTAAACGACTTTTTCCGACCTTAATTACTCAAAAAGGTAGAACCATAGTTCCTCCCAATATCTTACAAGCCATTTATAAATGCAAGATAAAGTAATTCCGATTCCCTCTTTCCCCTTCGGTCAACTAATCTAAATTGAAAATCGCGCCAGCCAGATGGAAATTGATAAACCCATTTGCAGTTGTTTGTGTTAATTAAACGGTTAAGTTGTTCGCCGAGACTTTGGGCGGCACTTCTCGATTCGAATCGAGTTTGGCATAGTTTCGGCGGACGAAGTCTGGCATTATTCACTTAACGCAAGTACTTAGCATTCCCGGACTCCAAAAGTGGAGAGAGGCAACTATTGTCAAGTTTCTCGGCCCGAAAGGACTTCCCTTGTCGCGTCCCGCTAAAAAGGATTTCAATGTCACACCGCAACTGTTTGAAGGCTCCGGAATGGTCGGTCGGATGGTTGGATGGTCGGTCGGTCCATTAACTCATGGGCGCATCAAGTTTACCGTGGCGACCACAAAAGCGGCGAAAATGAAAATTCATGAAAGTTTATCGCAACGAAAAGCCGGAGATGAGAAGCCCGATGAAGAGAGGAGCAGCAGCCGTTGTTGGAGCAGTATTCGCTCCACTTTTGTGGTCAATTAACGGCCCTCGGACAGCCAGGAGTTTGTTTTTGTGTAATGAATTTAAATGACCCACTGCGCCGGCTCATCAAGTGCCGTAAAGTGTTTTCCAACAGCGGATGCGGAAGGACATCCAGGGATCCAGGGATGGGGCATCTCCCCTGGCGAGGCTCGGACAGGCCGCCTCGGGAGCAGACATCCTAAGCCGTCCTCCCAGGACTCGCACTCACACTCTGACAGCACCTGTCGCCGAAAAATTTCCAACAATTTAGCTAATGACCTTCTTGGGCGGCGTAGGTGCTGTAGTGCTGGCCAAAATACCCAAATAAGCTAATTTCCAGTGGATAAGAACAGCCTTTTATTGAAAAACAAAAATGGGAAGTTTACGTTAAGAATTATACCTTTAATTATTTAGCAAAAAAATATTAGAACGTGCATATTTCGATTATTTTGTATTGAAATCGAACGCAAAACAAGAAACAGTATTATTCTTTTTTATAATATTATTATTATTCCTTTGAAAGAACTAACTATTTCTTTCTCTCTTAAATAAAAAAGTCCATAGAAAATAGCTGACTTCACATCACAGTGGATGGGGGGGCTCTGTGTAAATAGCAAATTAATTATATTCCATGCAGAGAAATTAATCAAGCGTAGCGTTGGCCAAACCAAAACCCACGACACGCTCCCAATGAACTCTATTTAACCCTAAAAACAAGCCACGCCCCCTCAACCCTCTATCGCCCACCGCCCACCGCTCAGGTGTGAGCGAGAATTGTGCCCAGCTTGCGGCCATTTCATTAATCACACTCAACACTTAACAGGAGTCTGGGCCAAAACTTGGACTTACGTCCTGGTTTGCTTTTGGTTTCGGACGGGGGCCGAATTTAAGCCCGCCTGTGGCCAATGTCAAATGGTTTTCAGGGGGGCCTGTCTGGGCCAACTCCGATTATTTATTGTTGTGCATATTCAATGGATGTGGGAGGGTGGCTAATGCAGTTGTATTCTAGGCGATCCTATTGAGCTCGTAATTGAAAACATAAATACTTCGTTTAAAACGATATCAACTGGAGCAGCGCAGCATCCCTGTTTTGATCCTTGGAGACGGAGAATGGATCCGAATCCCGTCGCGAGCTCTCCCAAAACCACTGTCTTTAAAAATCTTATAAATCATGATAGACTTTAAAAAATAGTCAGTAGTGCCAAATTCCTTTATACAATTTGCTGCCAAAACTTAATTTACAAAATTAACTTAAACCTGACGCTAAATCTAAATGATCTATAAGGTTCCCAACCTAGCTTTTAGTTCACAGCAATGTTATGCTTGTTTTAGCTCTTTTCTCGTTTTAAGTTTTCTGTTACCGCCACTTTTCTGCAAATGGCGCTTGCAAATTTCTAAATAAACGAAACTTGGTTTCATTTTCTATAAAATAACTAAACCAAGAGTACGAGCTGCGGACTAAAAACCGGGACACATTAGCCGAGACACAAAAAAGCACGGGCGCACACCGATAACTTTACCGGTTTGTACCAAAAAATATCGTATAGTGAGTACATACATTTGAATTTGAAATTTGGCGGTCTTTAAAATATGTTGAGTTTCATATAACTAGTTAAAAATGCTTATATGTACATATGCGGCATCAGATAAACTGAGCCTTAACAAACCTATATCCATACTAAATATTGAATAAATAAAACCACCTTTTAAGAAATTAAGTTTTTCTTGCCCTTTCCCTTGGCAATACAATCTTATTTATAAAAACCATCTTTACGGAATGCAAAAGCCAATTGATGAATAGTTATTAGCATGAATTTCTAAACTCACACCATCCATCTATTTTATTGGCTAATATATTTACACCAAATAATCCCACGCCAATGGAACAATAACAATTTATGATCATTGCCAAAAACAACCAAATGTTGAGCTAAAGTAAACAAATGCCAAACTCGTTTAGAGGCAAATTGCAGCTACGGCTGCCATAAAAACACAAATCAATTCCATCGGAACCGTAGAGAAACAAAAACATGAGCCGAGCTGAGTCATTCCCAATAGCATCACGAAATGGATAACTCCGGCCGAAGGTGTCATCTTCAAATCACAGTCTAGCCAAAGGTCGTCCTTCCTCAGTTCACACGAACAACAAATGGGAGAAACAACAGCCCACAGACAACGAAAATGTAAAGAGAAAAAAACAAAAACAAAAACATCATTGAAGTTGTCGGATCAGCGAAGCGTTTGATAAAGGTTTTTTTTATGACTTGGCCATTTTGTAAGGCCTTTGCCTTCTCGTGCCGTCGTTGCCTATGATTACTCGAGTACACAAAAGTCGACCCAATTACAACTTGTTTGTTCTGAGAGTGAGACGTCAAAGGCATCATCCTCGCTCCATGATCATCGACTCTGTGCAGATGGCGAACAGCGACTGACCTTGCCACCAATTTTACTCCAGTTTCGAGGCATAAAAGCAAAAATCAATTTAAATGGAAGCCGACAAATACAGCAAAAAAAAGTGTAACATAAAGGAAAAACCAAAAGCAGCGAAAAACTTGAATTGTAAGTTGAAGCAACTGACCACATGACGTATGCTTAATATTCAACAATTGTCCACCATTCGAAAAATGCCTTAAGTATGTTTCTTTAATAGCTCAAGGAAAAGATGAGTTCACAAAAGTGTTGGACTATTTGAGCTCCAAATTAATAGTCTTGGGTACTTGAGTAATGTTTATAAAATATATAAGAAAATCACCCAAACGAGTTACTGCAAATTCTGTTGTCAAAGACACCACTGATTCTTGTAAACACTCGGGAATGTGACACTCTTTCGAGAATTCTACTGCTCTCTGGTCAACATCTGAACCCAACTAGCATAAATCTAACGAGCCAAGCTAGCCGTTCGATTGAGTTCAACCAGCTAAAGGCTAGCGGAGCTGACCCTGTTCGCACCTCGTTAGCTTCCACTGGCATTTGGCAGAGCTCCTTCATAAGTACTCCAGTATCTGGGTAATGTAATCTCCTCTCGTTTTGTTCATGGCATTTTCTGTATGAAATCTGTATGAAATTTCCCCTAAAGCGCTGTCTATCAGCACCATCATCTTCCGCTGTGAACTTTGCAATCGAATCAGACAGAGTTCAGATGCCTTTGGCCTTCCAGTCAGTTTCTTTTATATTTCTGAATGGCTCCGCCATTAATTTCAATCATCTACAACAGCATTTTCCGAAGTTGTTGTAATTGGTTTTCCTACTTCTGCTTATTTTCGATTCGTTGTAAGGTAAGTTTTTTTTAATACTTCTTGTCACTTTGCTGGTGAGCAATTTGTATGAACATCAAATGGCAATTCAATCAGTTTTTCTTGGCATTCCTTTAGCACATTTTGCAGATTTGACTTTTTGGAGTTGTAAATCAATGCGGTATTGAATGTCTCAAAAGTTGATGGAGCAATTCATGAAGTTGTCAGAAAGGTTTAAAGATATTTACATGATTTACTCGCTTTGTTATTACGCTTTTATTTCTTTAAATTTATGTCTGCTATCCATCAAATTGCCATTCAATACGTCATATTTTAGCCTATAAACTTAAATTTTATTTGTCTTTATTTTACTGAATAGTGACCTACTTTGAAAATGTTTTCGCTATTTCCTAAGCACAAATTTGTCATGCGCAAACTCCAAGTAAATTTGCACATATCTGCAAAAAAAAACCCCGACATTTCTTAAAATCAAGTCAACTGAAAGTCACTTGAGCGAATGACTGGCAAGTAACCGAAAAAGGGAGGAAAAATATCAATCAACGTTGGGTAACAGCGGCCAAATGAACTCAACTAATCCGAAAGTGACAAAACAATTTGGCAAAACAAAGGCAAACTCGCTTTTGACCCATATATGCAGCAGATTCTGCACTCCGTTGAGCAAAACAATTCATTGGAGGAGCTTCAGCTTCAGCTTGGGTTTGATTTCAAAACCCATCGACAATTTGCCACAATTTGTGGCGGAGTAAAACCTTTTAGCTTTTAGCTTAGATGATGTATGGTATTTGGGTGTTTTTTTTTTTTGGAAGGAAGGGGTGGAGTTGCGCAAATCCGAGACAAAGAGTGGCCTGGTGATGATGATAGATCATGGCTTCTTTTCTTCTGGCTTCTGGCGGATGTGGCATGTGCCATGGCTCCATAGGATGTTCTCCTCCGTTCGACTTGAAACTCTGTTGGTCTGTTTAGCATATTCATTGTTGGTTGCAGCGCCGTGATAATTATCATTCCTACGACTTCTGCCGCTTTGGCTGTTCTGCCTTTAATTACCTTCCTCTTCTGGCTTTGCATTATTGCTGCTGCTGCTGCTGCATTGTTGTTGCCGAAATCGCCATTAGAATTTTTATTTGCACAATAATCAACTCGGTCCGAAGTCATAAAAAAGAGAACAACCCGAAACCGAACTGCATTGTTTTTGTGCAATGGCAAAGAGTTCTGGCTTTTAGGAAGGGGGCAGCGAACTCCAAGAACAATGAGATCTAAATGCGTTTATCCAAAATGTTTGCGGTCTGTTTGCTGGTATTTTTTTGTTTCTGTTTTTTATGTCTGCTTTTTATTGGGTGTTTGGGTGTTTTGTGGGTGGGGGCTATTACGTTAGCGGCAGAGAACTGCAATTGACAAATGATGCTGGGGATGGACCAAGTGATGAATGAACTGGCCCAGAGGATGCAGACTGGAAAGGCCTTGAACCACTTGGCCTACACTGATAAATTAAAAGCAATTATTTGTTGAGATTATGTAAACGGAAATACATTCCGTAGGGATTCCATAACTATTTAATGAGCATTTAAAGGGCAGTCATAATGTTCTTTAATTACTATTCACTTCAAACTCCAAAGTGCCTCTTAAACAATTAACTTTTATCAAGTATGCATATGATACCTTTCAAGAATCGAGAGTACCATTATAATGCACTATTGATTTTAACCACAAACAATAAACAACTTGTGGTTAAAAAGCGATCAGTTAGAGGTCAACCTCCACTGGCCCTGATGTAAACTCATTTAAAGGTAAACCAATTCTTCACACAAGAGATGACGCTCGGCAGGCAAATTAAAAAACATTTCTAAACTAATTTAATTAATTACAGCATTAGCCGCATTAAGGCTGACAAAAGAATGGAAACGGAAAGCGGCGAGAAAAATGCGTTTACTGTGATATCAAAAAGTTCGTGGAGACGGGAAGCTGACATTTATAAGCCACATAATTACTTGATCATTGTTTTCGTCACGTATTAAACAATTTTCAGAAGAAGAAGCGTTACCGCCACCGCTGCTGGTAATGATTATGATGGATCTGCCCGACGGCAACCTTCAAATAAGTAAAAGTCAAGGTCGCGTGGGGTAATTTACCCAAAGCTCGGCGTGTGAAATCGTTTCAAATTAATGGGGGTGGTAGGAAAATACTTCTGCACAAATCAATCAATTGTGCATTACCCGCAGATCGATTGGGAAACACAACCTGCTTTTACAGCAGCAGAGAAAGAAACGGCGACCAACGCCTAATGATAATAAGATATTTTCAAGAAATCCATACGTCGACTTCTGCCCATTTTGAGTGGTCTGGTGCAGTGCAACTGGTGCTGATTAAGGGAATTTCTCACACAATCCAACCGCCGAACACCGACCGCCGAAACGCGCTCTCAAAACCGAAAACTAAGCCACGAAAGACGTTTGGCAATGCCTGACGACGACGGCAAATGCCTTGCTTTTCTCGAAGGTGAACCAGAATGCAGCAGCCACGTCGCGGAGTCCCAGGTCTCGAGACTCCGTCGATGTCTTGGCAATTGAAGCGCACTCGATGAACCGGATTGCCACCGTGCACATCTTTTGAAAGTGAGCGGCTCGGCTCGGCTCGGCGGCTGGGACTGCATCAATTCTAGAGCAAATGAATGCCTCTTGCCAAAGGCTGCGATGGAAATTTATTGCAGCATTTTATTTTAATTAGTCTAATTTATGATAATTCTTTGTAAATCGAAATTAAACGCTGTCAGAAGATGTGGAAATAAGCCGGAATCGCTGGAGCAACATCCGCATGGGATCAAGACTTTTGGGAAAGGCCCATTAATTAAAGATTAATTACCAGATTCTAAAGCTTAATAAAAAATACATTTAAAAGAAAAAAATTACATTCCACGTAAAGCTTTATTTACTATATTTAAAGTACTGAAACTATAATATTATTTAAAATATAAAAAATTCAATAAATAAAAATTAAGCACTCAAAAATGTTTCTATGTTCTCTTATTACACATCTTTATTCATATCGAAAATAAAGATAGTAACAACCCACATTTTTGTTTACGTTTTTCAATCAATGCAAAGCAAGTTCGTTGCCTAAGTCTTTCGTTTATCCGGCGCTAATGAACGAACATTTCGCACTAAGCGCGACAATTAAATGGAATTGCCGTTAAGTTGCCCAAGTGGCATCATCAATAAGCTGAAATTTGCACTAATTTTTCGCAGCTTTTCGACACAGCTAGCCAAACATCAACAAACCACGAAAACAAAACAAAAGCCGACCGCTTTTAGGTGAAGAAGAAAAAAAAAGTCCCCCGCACTCATGAATGAGAGAATAACTACGATTTAAAGAGCCGACCAGCCGAGCGAGGCATCAATAGCCACGATGATTTAGTTTTTCCAGCTTCGTCTCTGCGGCGATGAGTTTGCTCTTTGGTAATTCCACGATGACGCGGGGATTTAGCCGCCAACAGACTCGCTCATCTGCAGAGAGGCCAACGAGCCGGAGCTCTGCTCTTGAGTATAAAACTAAAATTGATGCGAATTTTTTTACAACTTTTGCATCAACTCCAAACGCGGCAACACGTGCAGAGCCCCAGCGCTTGCTCCTCCGTTCGAAACGATTTTGAAGTGAGTTCGAGGTACCACAAGAAACGATCCGATCGGATCTTTATTATAAATTATTGTGGCGTACGTTTCGTGAGCGCGGCAAAGTGCGTGGCATTCAAATTGTGCTAGATGTTGAGCAATCAATTACACAAATTAGTTCCACAGAGGAGCTTAAAGTGGTAGAATTGACAGAAAATTATTTAAAAGTGAAAATAAAAGAAATGAGAATCCTTTTCAGGTCAGGGGAAAATTTTAATCCACGAACGTTTCATTTATTTTGAGCTTTTAGGGATAAACTTATTCAACAATAATGTTATTTAAATTAAATATTTAGAAGTATTAACTTCTAACTATGAAAACATAAAGTGTAAATTCATTTTACCTCCAAAACCAACCACCTTAAATTAAAAGCATTGTAAAGTCAATGAGATTTTTAAGTTCTATATAATTACCTGAACTGGAAGCGAACTGAAAGTCAACCCGTAAAACTAAGAACTAAGAACTTTAAGCGGGTTTTATAGCTTTTTATATAACCAAATTACGTATGAACAATGTGGCAAAGAATAATTTAACGCAATATCGTTAGCCCCAAGTTAACAACCCTCGTTATTATCAATTAAGTTCCATTAGAAGCATCCGATCCGCCGCATAAAAAGTGAATGCAGCTTCTGCAGCTGCAACATCGTCGGCAGCAATACTGAATTGTCCATTAGCGATTGCGGTTGCCTCCTCTCGACAGCATAATAAACATTCAGATATAAAATCTAATTATATGCGGTACAAGCCAAGAAAGAGAAGATGTTTCCTTTCTAAAATAGCAAAAAAAAAAAAAACTACAACATAATGCTGTAAACAGAAAATTAATATCACCAACCCACTCGAATCTTTTCTTTCGATTTTCGTTTTGTATTTTTTAGATAGGAAAAAAATCACATTTAAATTACGTATTACCAAAAATCAAAAAAAAACAACAACAACAACAACAGACATCATGGCAGCAGCAGCAACAACAGCAAACAAATCACCGCAGCAACATGAGCAGCAGCAACACAGACGGCAGCAACATCTTCAGTGGAGCGCCTGCATTTTGATAGTCGTGCTCGGACTGTTTTCGATGCTGGCAGGGAACTGTGTCAATGGGGTGAGTCGAGTCGTCTTCATCCCGATCCTAATCCCAAAAGGCTTGCTTCGAAAACCCCTTCCCTTTTTCATCGTTTTTATGGCTCACAATTACCGCGAATACCTTTTGTCTGAGGGCTTTTATGAGCTTGGGAAATGGCTTATTGAATAATTTGGCCAACATTGATTTGACAACTTCATTGGCCGCGTCTTTTCCCATTTGTCTGTATCGTTGCTGTATCAACATGAGCAACTGCAGAGGCAACACACAAAAAAGTGTCATCTGAGATAATTTCCTACATTCATTCCAAGTAAAAAGATTGCGCACACCATTTGTCTCTTGTTTGATAATGATCTTAACTAGCAACAACATTGGCACGCCAGCAACAACAAACTCCCACGCAAAGTTGCAGCCACGGCAGCAGCAGCAACAGCAACAACAACACCAGCAACTAGCAACACCAGCAACAATTACAATTGTTGCCACAAGAAATAGCCGAAAACAGAGCTTGTGGCCCCCTTTCTTCCTCCTGGCCATCTTCATTTCATGCGGCATGCAATTTTGCAAGTGCAGAAGAGCCCGAAAAGCCAGAAGAAGCTGCAGAAGACTAGGGGACTTAAAGGGGGGAGTAGCCAACACACGAAGCAGACAACCTGTCTGCCAAAGTGTTAGACAACTTCTCACGTCTTAGCCAGAAAGGCACAGAAAAAGTGGACCTCCAGATGGGGGACGCCTCTTTCTAAAAAGGTGTCGTCATGAGTCTTCCTTCCTCTAACTTAAATACACTTATTCAGGCAGGAAGTTTCCCTACACAGTAAAACTTTAAATTCTTTAAATAAATTTCTATATATTCTATATTATATATTATATTAAAAGCATATATAATAGCATGCTGTTATAGAGTAGTTTACCAATATAATAATAATAATAATAATAAATTAATAATATTTTTAGTAGTTATATCTTAGTAACGCTTGCTGGGAAAAAGGGTAAACAACATTCGCTTTTCACCATTTGAGGCATTGTCCGCTGTGTTACATTATCAATTAGCCTTGGTTGCCCCTCAGCCGCGCGTTCGTCAAACAGAAAGAAAAGGAAAAGGAAAATGCAGGGAAAATTAACCATTTTCCAGCTGTAACTCCCAGGCCAGCGTCCCAAAGTCCCAACTCGGTTGGTTGGCTTAGTCGCGAGTTGGCTTGGCAGCCAGTTGGTATTTAAAGGAAAATGGCTTTGGCCAAAGGTTGAGAGTGTAGGAAAGTAATTGATGGTGTGCGGGGATCGGGCCAAGAGTGGCATCTTGTCCGCTTTTTGGGTTACTAAGGCAATGGGCGGTCTATATAGTTTGTTGTTCGGGTCTTTCGTTGCCGTTGGAAATGTTAAACACCCCTGGAAAGTTATTAGCGTGAAAATTGCCAGTGATTGAGAAGAGCTGTACCGAAAAAGGAGGCAGCTCGAATTTGCATTGCTTTTTGAAATGGAAGTGGAGTGGAAGGTGCATCCTGGTTGGTAGCTGATATATAAAATCACTTTATATTATGTAATCTGTATTATTTACTTTATTAGCAAGCCACTGCTTTGCAATTTCCAATAAGTTCCCGATTTTTCCCATGAAGAAAAGCCCTACATGTTGGGCCTTTTTCCCACCCCATCAAAGTGCTGCACATTGCCAATCACTTTGGCCTGTCCCAACATCTTCAATTAGCATAAACTCAGCATTAACCCAAATAGACAGGCGCCGACGGCGGGGCAACTTTAACCCCTCGAAAGCAGCGATGGCCCGAAAGGGAGAGAGATTTATTTGAGCGTAACTGCGGCAACAATGGGATAAGAAATCGAGGCAAGATCAAGATAGACAGCCGGCGAAGATGCAACACAAATAGGGGGCACCAATGAGGCTGGAGCCGATGGATGGGCGATGGATGCACCATGTACGATGTGTTCCCCCAAGAGATCGACACAAAAGAATCACATCTTCTCGATACGTGTGGTGTGTGTTGTGGTGTGTGTTATGTGTGTGTTGTGATCCGTGTTGCAGTCGTCGAGTTTTATTGTTTTATTTTGCTCTTTTCGGGCTTTTGGGGCTTTTCATGGTTTCGTACGCATGAGATTGACAGTTGGTTGTCACATACGAGTACTACCCCTCCCCCCCCTTTTTGGAGCCCCTCCCTCCGTCCCTCCCCCGCAATTATTCGCAACTGTTGCAAGTGCACAATTTTCAACACTCGCTGGTTCTTTTGTTGGCTCTTTTTCGACAGTTTTTTGGGCTGTTGCATTTGCATTTTAAATTCGTTGTTTGTGTGGCAATTGTTTCAAATTGTAATTTGTTATTGTTTAGAGTTCATTTTGTTGCTGTGCTTGGGCAATGTTCGGCTGCCACATGTGCTACCTTCCACCCACCGCCCACTCTGCCACCCACAATTGAAGGTCGCTGGGCTGCCTGCGCTGAGATAATTCACACGAGAGATGTGGAATTAAGTTATGACTTGGTATTAAATTTCACATCTGCTGTGCGAGAGAATAATTTTAATTGCATTTTTATTTACTTAACCTAACTAGTTAACTAGTTTTAAGTTATTCAAAATGGGGATAATTGTGTGTGGAAATCATTTATAAATTAATAGTCAAAACAACGATTGAATAACCAAAACCCAACAAATCTTTTTGTAGAAGATTTGTTTCAAACTACTTTAGGTATTTTAACATACCCTGCTTTATTTGAGATATTTATCCCTTTATGTTATCTTTCCTTAGCAAATCGATGGATATACTGCCGGTGAGGATTACCCCGCCTATGATGCCGTGCCCAAAGGACTGGCCTTCAATTGCCAGGGTCGCCAGCCGGGTTACTATGCAGATACAGAGACGCGTTGTCAGGTAATCGGTGTCCCATTTAAATACACAAATAAACTATTATATATTTTATATGTATCCCCATAAGGTGTGGCATTGGTGCCTCCATTCCGGCCACCAGTACTCCTTCCTCTGTCCCAACGGAACGGTCTTCAACCAGGCCGTCAGGGTCTGCGACTGGTGGATGAACGTGAACTGCGAGGGCTCGGAGCAACTCTACCAGAACAACGATGAATTATATCGCATCCCGGAGCGCCAGCAGCAGCTGAATGAAGTATGATATGAGGCCGGTGATGAGTATAAGATTGGGACAGCAAACGGAACCAGACAGCGCGGCGGAAAACAGCGGCAATTTCAAAAAGAACAACAACAGCAGCAACAGCAGCAACAACAGCAACAACAACAGCAACAGCAACAACAACCACTAAACAGCAACATCAGCGGAATAAATAGCAGCAATAGAATTGTAGATAGCAGCAGCTACAGTAAAATGACCAAAAATAGCTTTAGAGGTAGCATGAGATTTACCACACCAAGTACCAATCCTCAATCTTCATACTCATCATCACAACAACAGCAGAAGCAGCAACATAAATCTAGTAAAAATAGCGAAAGACAATCAATGCCTAGTAGAGTTAACCATAGAGATAGGGAAAGCAACCAAACTAGATCTAGGAATCGCACTCACAATACCCCTCAATCCGGCAAGAAGAACAACAGCAGTAGCTCGCGAGGCAAACAGCGATATAATACAAATAAATTCGAAAATGATGCGGAGCTCAAGGATTACAAGAGCAAGATCAAGAACAAATACAACATCGATTATGATCATTCTTTGGACGAAGAATATGAAATAATCGAGGCCATCGAATGAGTTTAATTAGCTTTGTCCTCGTTGTTCTTGTCGTTGATGAAAATCCCAACAGAAAAGCAGAAATGGCGCTACTTCCCCAACAAAATGTTTTGAATGTTCCCCAAAATTATCCGTTTGTAAATATGTTAGAGCAAAACACATTCCTTTCATTGTTAAATAAACACACCATCATCATTTAAATCTGTAAAGAAAAACTTTGCTTATGTCGGCAAAAATAAAACGAATAAAATTTAAAAAGTAACCGACTTTTTTTTAAAGCTTAAAAGCGAAGCCAAAGCATTGGCTTTTGCTATTTTATTCAGCTTTTGTCAGTAATCAACTCAAGCAGTTTCCGGCTTAATAAAATTACAAACCTTACTAATAAAAAATAAAATTAAAACTCTATATACAGCATAAACTTAAAACAAGGACATATTTTAAATTAACATTTATTGAGGATTTTACTTGTTGATATGCAGTTAGAGCTATTTGGTTAAGCTCAACCTCTTGAGTAAAAGCTTTTGATCAGTTCGATTGAACCTTTCGGAGTGATAAGTACTATTTTTAAAGACGCATCTTCGTTCAGATTGACATTATGTTATTTATTTATCTTTTTGTAGGCTTACAAATAAAGAAGGAAGAGAAAAGAGGTCTAAACAATTTTTCGGACCTTTAAACAACATGTTCGGCATCACACTGGTTCTTGATATTCTTCTGTATTACTTTTTTTCCCCGACTTGTCTATAATGACATTCCTGATTTTTATGCTGCTCCTTATAAATCGTCCACTTGAAAAAGTAGCATTAACTGTTCTCAACTGCCTTGTTAAGTGGTATTTGGTTCCATATATTAACGAATTGATAGCCATTTCGGAATACAACTCGGAAGGAGAAGTAAATAATTAAAAAATCCTTTGTTTTTAAAAAATGTTGGAACCAGAAAATAATAAAAACAAAAATATGTAAAGAATCGACCATTTATTTGTTATGTTTTCAGCGACAAAAGATTCCGAAGGAGTATTCCCAAACTGCTGACTCCGACAAAAAAATTGCTGTTATAAACAAAAATTAATGACTGTGTATCCAAACGGATTACAAGGCTTTAGTACAGAAAAAAGCTGTTTGTTACAAATATTTTATCTTTTGTCAATAAGCATTTTAAGGCATTCAATTTGAAAGTTTAAAGGTAAAACAAATTCTTTTGTTTAAAGTTCTTATAATATACAAATTTGTATTAAGCAAGCGACTCGTAAATGTTTTAAATCTTAAAATTTGTTTTTAGGTAAAAGCTTTTGTTTAAAGCTTTTACTGATCTTCATATATGTATATATAGGAATTATTTGTATCTATGGTTGTCTCACTTGCACATTTAATCTTTTTAAAGCTCAACTTGGCGGCGATCAGCTGTGGACCATATGGTATATAGCTTTCGATCCAAGTAAGAGGAAACCTGACAATTGTCCAGAAATATTTGTTGTGCTACGTTTGCTGTGTTTTGTTTTATTTTATTTATCTTTTCGATAAGATCAGATTGTTTGTTTAGCGATGGATAAATAATGCGGTAAGTTAAATAGATCCAAAGGTATAATGCTAAAAACTTGGCCCGGTATCCAATTTCGATGGGAGTACAAACACTAACAACTTTGGGAAGCGAACACAAACGCGGTCTAAATGGTTGGTGAATGTTCACTGTGACGTTTAAGTGGGAAGAGGAAGCAGACAATGGTTAACCGACATAATAAGTTAGCTAATCGCCCTTCACTGGATTAGCATTTCCACCATAGATTTGAAGAAAATATGGAAAGAAACAGGAAAATTTGATACAAATATTTTAAAAACTTCAAAGTTGATTTATTGGGAAATATATTTTTTTCTTAAAGCAAAACGCATTTTTTGTTATAACATTTGTTTTTATTAATGGTTATTAGTTCTAATATAAAACAAAATCAAAAAAGGGTTTTAAAGTAATACTTTTCTCTAATAGATTTCCTCTTATCTCTATCACAAAAAGCGGGTTACAAAAACCGCTCAAAATGTCTTGAAAACTTGTATAAACGTAAAACGAATACAAACCCCTTCTGTAATCTATGTCTGCCGATCTTTATCATTACCCATCGAGACATTTCCACACATTCACACCCCATTCCACACGCAGCCACCCAACCGAATTTAAATGAGGAGGAAAAGAGTTGGACTCGAAGAAGTAGTTCAAGTTTTCAAGTTTTGTATGCCACAACGGGGGACCGATATTTCGTTTCCGCATACAATAAAGCGAAATAATCGCGGTAATTATATATACCATATATACTACACCTACGCAATGCCAGTCTTTCGTGCATAAGAAATAAGCCTCCAACTGATGCGGAAATATCGCGTCTTTAGGCAAATGAAGACAAACTCAAAATCAAAAGCAAAACGAAAACCAAAACCAAGAGCCTAATTAAAAGTCAATTTCAATTTCAGTCATTAACCGAAAGCGGCGCAAAGTGTGTCACACAGTTTGTCTTGGCCCTATTAATCCGCCCTCCTTGTTAACCCACGAGTGCCCGAAGCCGCTGGGAATTATAAATCACAAAATGTTACTTTTTTTGACCATTCACCCACATTTGTTTTTCTCCGCATTTCGGTTCACGTTTTTTAATGGGTTAGACGACGGCAAAAGCAACGACCAACCAACTGGTAACTGGAGTCAAGTTAACACCATTTGCATTATGTAAGAAGCTTAAACAATATTTTTTGCCTCTTCGCCGGTCCATTATTGTTGCTATATTGTTACGGTTTGGCTGGAAGTGTCCACTAATTAATATGCAACTAAATAATTTACAATGTGACGCGAATTTCATGGAAAATATGAACTGAAATGCGATTCAACATGGTGCGAGGGCAGAAGGCGGTGCAAAACAAGAAATTATTTCATTAACTCGACTCCAAGATGTTGAAATTGTCTTCAATAAATTGCGCAAATTAAATTTATTTACCAGAAGGGAGGCTGGAATTCGCTTGGGAGAAGTTTAAATGCTCTTTTTACAAAAATTAATTAAAGTAAATAAATAAAAATCAAAAGGGGTAATAATCCACATATTTTCGGGATTCATTTAAAATAGAAATAGTTAAAAGTAAAGTAAACAAAAACAAAATATTTTAAAACTAGGTTAAAGCATATTGCATACCTGGTTATTAAATTAAAGATGGTTATTTTTTTGAAAGCGCATCTCCAAGTGACCAGTGTCCGAGAAATAAAAACAGGGTAAAAATCGGCAAATGTCAGAAGGTCTTTCAGGGTGTCTGGGTCTGGTCTCGAAAAACCGGTAGATCCACGCACCAACACAAGCCTCGGAACTCGGACTCATCTCCGTCGGATGTGGAGAGGCTGCTTCTGCGAAATCTTCTTGACCAAATTGGACGAGCTGTCACTGCAATTCTGGCTGGAATTTTTCCACCATACAGTGCTGATTTTATGCGACAACTGAACTCTAGCATTTTCCATTTTTACATTCGACAATTGGCAGGAAGAGAGACGCACTTCAGCATCCTCCTCGCAAAATGAAGATTATACGCTTTGTTTGCCAATTTTGCAACTGGTTTTTGTTCGCCTCTGACCATTGCAGTTTGCTATTTTGACTGTCTTATAAATATGTTGCGTCTTTTTTGCATGCGTTTTGAAATGAATGCAAAACATTTCAGTTCGGCTCGTTTTCCCAGTGCTCCTCCAGCAAAGAGTCGTCTTTCGAACAGGTCTCCCCAAGTTGAAGTTGATTTGTGTGCTTAGTATAATTGCTGCGATTACCGAGTTGCTGAAGAGGAGCCTCCACTTCCCCCACTTTTCGAACATCTTGTCTTGGGTAAGGTTAAGTCGGTTTGCGTTAAGCGATTGTCAAGTGTATTCAAATCGGAAAGATGCAATCTTCGGCCAGTTTTGACTTGGGTCTGTCTCGAATTGTCGATCTGCCCGCTGACGAATGGCAACTGGCAGAGGCGTAGTCTCCAAAAAGGGGGATAGACAAATATACAAAGACTGCGGATCTCGGTACTCACTTCGATAATAATCGCTGTTTATAAGTGACACATAAAGTGGCGGCCATTTGTAGCTGATCTCTAATCTCCTTGGATTGACTACAATTTTAAAGTTTATCAGCGATATAAAAATATACGAACAGGGTCAGCTAACAATTTAAGTGGGAGGAATAGTTGATTGATCTTTGAACCATTTAATATTGAACTCTCTTAATACCATAAAATCATCAAAATAGGATAAAACGTTCAATATCAGGGTCATCAGGGAGGTGAAGTGGATTGATTATTTGACAGTTTCAATTTTTTTGTTTATAAATTTATAAGGTCAATGAATGCTTTTGCAAACATATTTTATAGGTTTATTTTGGGACACAAGAAATTGATTATAAATGACTTTGTGTGGAAAATACCTTAATTATGATCATTTTGTTAATGGGTATATTTATGAGGGCTCATAAGGAATTACAAATTTGTTAATTATTAATGTGAACTAGATACCAGAAGCCATATTTTAATTGATGCCTTTTGTGTTGTATCTAACTATCTAAACTATTTACTATTAAAAATTTAATACATCACAGCTCTAAAATAATTCCAACCATTCTTCTCTCCCCTCAAAACTTATATTTATTACAAAATCGCTGCCTGATTCAAGGCTTACCCTGACAAATTCGATCTGGTTTCCCGGCCAACCCATTTATCTCTTAGCATTTAAATATTCAATCTAGCCAAAAACCATTTTCCATGCTAATTAAGTAATCTGACCTGCCCCAAGCATGAAATTTCCATACGATCGATGGGCAAGCCAAGTCTCCCGCTTCGGTCGCACCTTTGCTCCAATTTTCGGACCACTTTTTCGCAATCCAATTTGTTTACCCTTTCGTTCGGCTTTGTGTGTATATCAAATTAATTTTCGATCAAATTAAAACGAAATTTGTTTTCACAGGGAGCCAGCCAGTTTAAAGGTCTGAAACAACGGCGAAAGAAAGGAGAAAGAAAGGCCGGCCACAAAAGATCCGATGCCCCAAACAAATTAACATAATTAGGGCGCCTACCCAATGGCTGACCATTGAGAGATACGACGTGTATATCGAGAAATACACGCACTTTTGTGCCGCGATCATCAACGCGATCAAATGCAAATGAGGCGACATCAGTCAAGCGGCCGAAAGCGAAATGTGCATCATCAACACCAAAACTTTGGGCTAACAATTGCATAATCCGAGCCAACCAAACACGACCCCATTTTTTTCAAAATCGCAAAACCCTGATTGCCGATACACGGCCGACGAACACGAAGATCGAGCCAAAGTTTTGCATGAAGTATACGCAACGTGGTCCGCAATAATGGATCTAATGGAGCTGATGCATCAGCTGTTCCTGCACATATTCGACATCTTTAAGATTTACGTCAAGTTCGCCCTGATCACGCTGGTCATCTACTTCTTGGCCGAGTGGTATATACTCCGATATGGGGCAGAATTGGAGGCCGAACTGGGTGCCCATCTGGTGGAAGGTGCTGAATTGAGAGAGGAGTCCCCGGAGCGACCCGAGTCCAATAGCACTCTGAGCAAGGTGTTTCGATTCGTGGTGAACTTTTTCATCCTATAGCCGATCGACCGACTCGATCGAACCCACTTGTCAAGGTCAATCGCACAGCTGAATCGGTTTTGCTTTTTCGCGGAATTGCAATTCGATTCAGCCAGCCACATCTCAAGGCTCTCGGCAAGAGAATGTAAAATCGAACCAGTTGCATTTAACAACAGAAAAATACAAAGCAAGCAAAAAAAACACAATAAAATAAAGCAGCCAAAGCAAAAGCTGCCAAGTAAACACAATCTTTATATGTAATAAACAATAACAATAAGGAGCTGTAAAAAAACAAGTTGAACTGCTTTTTTATTTTTTTGGGAGGTATCGTAAGGTAACAAAATCGGACATTACGTTTTGTTCTGTTGGGCAAGCAAATAAGAATGACTCAAAATCATTTGGGGGTGCGGTTTTCATGAATTTGGGTTAATTGCTGGCAAGTCTGCAACCAAAACCTCAAGAAATTACCATAAGATTTACTTTGGTACCGCAGAAATTGCACTTAAGGAAGTGCTTTATTTACTGAAATGTTTATGGCCACTTTAAAGACTTCTGAAAATCCGCGTATTACTAATCAGATAATTTCTGAAACTGAGGAAGAAAGGATGTACTTCATAAATTAGTTTATTCCTTTTAAAGTTTTGATGAATAAGGTTTAATATTTTTTTATTAGTAATTAAAATTCGTTTACTAAGTGATTGTTTATTTCGTTTATTACAATACTCTTATCGTTTCTTCAAAGATAATTGCATGCTTGTATTATTATTATTTCCTGAACAGTTATGTAGTTACCACGGACCACCCCTTTGAACAAGTACAAATTTCACGAAATGGAATTTTTATCAGAGCTATCTAAAATACCTGGCAATAGCCGACTTCGGATCTACTGATCGGCGGATGGTTGTTGCTGGTTTGTCGACCAGTTAAGTAGTAGTTACAACACGTTGTGCCGACTTTTGATATTGTTGCTATAGTGTTTGGTGAGTGCTACCTGCAACAAATGTGGAATACCGGTTCAACAAACCGTTCGACCCACACAGCCAAATACATATAAAGAGCCGGCGACACGGTGCTCCCATTCTCACACAGATATAGGGACACAGATACAAGCGTTTTGAACGTAACTAGATGTGAGATGTGAGCCACAAGGCACAGGCACACGCCGTTGGCGATAAAGCACTCGACAATTCCGCATGCTACAGATACAGATACAGATACTTTGAGCCTGGCTGGCTCTACTCCAATTTGAATACCCAGACAGCCCAAGTTGAGTTCAGTTCGCTTGAGCCGGGTTTAGTGTTCGAATTCAACTTTCACATACGGAACGAGCGCAGATGCAGTGCAGCATTATTACTATTAATGCTGCTGCTACTGCCACTGCACTGGGAAAAAATGTTTATAAAGGTAAATAAATAAAAAAAAATTGTAAAGTACAAAACAACATAGACGCTACCAATCTAATAAATATATTGCTTAATAAGTTTGGAGTATCGAACATTGTTTGTTTCAAATACTAGCTCTTAAATCGCAACTTTTTTTCTTTATGTACTTTAAGCCAAAGCTGCAACACTCAGTGACGTAATAGCGGGGGGAGATATAACATAAGCCGCAGTGAACGGAGCTTGATTGATTCCATTATGAAGAGTGCCGCGAATGTTTTGCATTATTTTGCATTCGAAACAAATTTCGATCTGCGGTTTTCGGTCAATGAAAATCCAACTCGAAGTGCAGTCTTGACCAACTACCGCGGCCAGCATTTAATTGCCAAACGAAGCGGAGCACTCGAACAAGCGAACCACGCGGCGTATGCGCAATAATTCATGAGGCTTTTAAATAATTTTTGTTTATTTACTATTGTGAGTCCGGGGGTATGTGTTTGTGACTAATGCGTTGGCAGATGGCTTAAGTCCGTTTTGGGCCAGCTCGGTTCATTAATTGAACTGTAACCGTAATTTGGCTGCGTTATTGTTACCATTATGTCATTGCGGTCAGCGGGTAGTTGAGAAAAAGGAAAGAAAGAAGGAAAGAAAGCATTTAAGGCACTAAAAATAAACAGTGCACACAGGCATATTAGTTGGCAAATCGATAATGGACTTCGATCAATTTGTTAAGTAATCTATTGTAGGGTAAAGACGCAAAATTGTCTTGGCCATAAAAAAGAAATCATTTGTAATCGGAAGCAAAGCACTAAAAAGGAAATGTGTTTGTTATAAAAGATTATAAGTATGTAATTACAAGTGTTTTCGTTACCTTTTTGAATAGCAGTTTTACTAGCACATTATTATCAGTTTTATTTATTGATATATTAAGCCTGAGGAATTTTTGAAATTGGCATTAGTTTGACTTAAAAACAAAGTATTTACGTAGAAGCATTAATAAGGTAAAACATTTTGCTGGAAAGTAAGATTTATTTTTTTGAAGCAAGGAGATTGTAAATTAGGAAACATGTAAAGGATTTTGTTGTTAATTCAAACACTTGATAAATGTTGTATATGATTTATATGGAACATACTTTACCACCTTCCCCACAAGCTGCTCTGATAAAGCCATATTAATTTCTGTTACATTTTTTCAATATTTTGCAAGAAATCGAGAAAAAAGGTCTGAAAAAATCTTAATCAATAAACCTGTTAAGCACGATTATCGGGCAGCCGCCAAGTGAGCAGCCCGCTCAATGCAGAGCAAACACAGGGAAAAAGCAGAGCAAAGTCAACAAAGCCAGGGGAAAACACAACGGCAAAGACAATACGATTGCAGAATGTTGACAGAGGAAAATGGACAAAGTCAGAGCCGAGAAAAGCTCGGCTTAGAGAGCCGAGCTCAAGCTCTCCGGACGTTGTTGGGCTCTCCTCCATTCGGTGACAACGTGCTGCGCATGCGCAAAGTCGGCATCGAAGCGGCAATAAACCCGTTTTCTGAGGCGCAGACGGACCAAAATTAGCGAGCGATGAGCTTTCGACGGAAAAGCAAACGCAAAGCCAGCCGAATTCCCATTTTTATGCCAACTCCGAGTTGGCCAATACGATCTGCAATTTCAGTCTGCAAGCGGTCAGCCAGGTGAACGGCAGCCAGCCCAGCTGGTCTCTAAGTAAGTGGGCGTTATCGATCGGTTGCATATATATATATGAAAACGGATTATATATGCGAGTCTCTCTGTGCGTGAGAGAGCTGGGAAAATTATATAAAAAAGTGACCAAAACAAATCGAAAATTTCAATATCAGTCGAGCTAAGAAAATGGCTGCAAAGTGTTCAAACCTATTGTGAATTCCCTGAAAGTCCTTAAAACAAATCAATCGGAGCTAATGGCTGCTACTTGAAATAAAAGAGAGATAACCGCAAATGCAGTTACAAAATCAGCCAAACAACAATAAAAATTTCCACAAGTGCACTAACACAAACACAGGACCACAAAGAAAACTGCAGCATTAATACAAGTGCAAAAAAGAAAAACATAAATGATTTTTGCCTTTGTGTGATTTTGCGTGTGCTTGCGTTTGTGTGAGTGCCAACTTTTATGAGGTTAAATTTTTATTGTTCATTTAAGAAACGCAATAAATTGAAACAAAGTCAACTAAAGACATTTGGAAAAATCATCGCAGGAAGATAAAACCAATGCGAAATCATTGAACCCTTTTTTGGATTATACAAAACAAAATTTAAACACCTGAAACAAGGTAAGTTTGAAAATTTGCATTCGCTTGTTAGAGGGCTCTGCAGACCTTATCTGCAAGTCAAACACCTCGTAAGGGCTCAACACCTATTAAAACACCCTTCCTACTACACGAAAAAAATACTTTGTTGGTTTTCAAGCTCTGTTCAAAATATTTTTTTTAGTTTTTAGTAGACGAGATCGATATTGTATTGTTTATACAGAAAGAGAACAGAACCAAAAATAAAAAGTTGTACTCAGTTTAAGGTCAAGGTCCATTATTTTCGACTTAAAAACTGATTTGATAAGAATACTGTGTAAAGAAAAACATTGATTGGATAACATCAGGTCCATATTGACTTTATTTTCTTTCTCTGCTGTAAAATCTGCAGCTCTCATGGCCAAAAAGCCGTTTTGCAAACACAAAAGTACAAAAATGATCTCAGGCGTTGCTAATTATTTCGCTGCGCGTTGTCCATTGTAAGACACTCTACGCCCCCTCCGCCCCCTTAGGCCACAGTATATATCCCCCTAATTTCTGCAGTTACAGTTTATATTGGTGTTTGTGTGAGGAGATGTTTGAATGGTTTGCGCATCTTCAGCGAACAACACCAACACCAGGGCAACAGCGAATATGGCCAACATAACTGAGCCAAGATTTTACTTTCATCATCATCAGCAGCAACAAAAACAGCAGCAGCCACAAGCAACAAACGAAATTTTGAAATTTTACTTTCATCCATTTATTTGGCGCTTTTCACTCTCCATTTCTTCTACCGCTTACAGTTTTCCACAATTAAAAAACTTCAAAATAATATTTGCCTAATTGTCTCTCAGTAGAGCAGAAGTTAAATAATAGTTTTTTTTTTTGTTGTCTGGGAACTGAACTCTTTGCAAGTTCAGGTCAGAGTCAGTGAGTTACCCAACCTGAATGGGCGACTGAACCTATTTGACGAAGAGCTTTGGTAAATGCAAAAACGCAGCTAAGAAATAAAACAAACACAAATTGATTTTGATTTGTGTGTGGCCAAAAAGGAAACTCTGTTTTCACTTGCTGCCAACGACTCACAGGCATGAAGATGCTGTGCAGCGCAAAGAGATGAAGAAAAGCCGAGAAAAGCAACTAATGGGTTCCATGTTCATCACAGATTTAGGTTATAGATATGAAAAACGATGCATTTAAATACAGCTGGAGTTTTTATTTTGTCGCCATTAAAGTAATTAGCTTAGTTTATTAAAGTGGATTTTTTTTACGTAAATAAATTTAAAAAATGTTGTTTCTTGAAAACCGTTGAGCTGAAATAAAACGAAGGCTTCTAAGAAATATGCAAATAATATCACTTGCCGAAATATATCTCAGTTCATTAATAATTCAGACAGTGAATATTTCTCAGAACTAATTATGTTTAATGAATACAAATAGTTTAACAAATTACCGAATATTTCTCATGTAGCACGCGCTATACATATTATAGAAGATGCTTTTGATATAATCTATACAAATCAAAACAAAATCTTCGCAACAACTTTAATGAATTTATATCAAGGCTTCTGAGAAATACGCTACACATTTTAAGAATACTAATTGTTTCCGTTAGTCATAGTTAAAACAAAGTCTTTTTAGCAAAAGCTATGCTTCGCTGGTTCTAATTAAATCTTTAAGAATGAGCTTCCCCTTCCTGTGAACTAGTAACCCACGTTGCTTTATTAATAATTAATAAAAACTAAACGACGATTAAACGTATTGCAACTATAAAACTAAGTGAGCCGTAAAAATGTTTCACATTTCCGACATTTCCAAAATTATGGTTGTGCCATTGAGTACCATGAAGAGCGTTCGACTTCAAAAGTCTGCACTGCACCAGTAAACCACAAAAAAGTCGACCTTGAAAGTGCCCAAGACAAGCTCTCATAATATCTTATAAAGATGCTAATTTCTTATGACAACGAGCAACTTGTATTGGCCAGCTGGCAACTGGCTAAGAGAGATGATGGCAGACTGAAAAAACAACCACAAGAAACTTGTCACCGACTTCTGTTTCTATCGTGCAACCGGATTGGGACAACTTGGTTAATAAATTTTGATCCAAAAACTCGTTGTTGACGTCAAAGAAATTTATACCCAAAATATGCACGAATAAAGATGTAAACGAAAATGAGAGTCTGCTCCCAGACGAACTTGCTTATGGCCATGATGCATCTAACAACAAGACAATAAAATTAAAAACTTATAAAACTTTAATTTAATTGCTCATTGTGTCTGTGTGGGGCGAAACCTTCGGGGCTTTTGATTCTAGGCGCCTTTTATTGTTTAAAAAAAAAACCCCATTCAAAGTCAGAGAATCTCTGAACAGATGGAAAAATTTGCAAAGTTTCAAGGAAAATCCACCGACGATTTTTGCCATTTTAATGAGAATCTGATGCAAATGTTCTATTAAAAATCAAATAAATTTTAAAGCCTCTAGCCAAATTAAAAATGAATTTCCTAAACCAGATCCAGATTTTTTTATTGTTTCCGTTTCATCTCGTTATTTTGCTGCAGTCGAACGAGTCTAAAGATCCATCAATTAATTCCAAAACAAAGGTAGCAACAAAAATACAACTCACCGGTATTTGTCATCGTGCTTAGCCTTGAATTTGAACTTGGCCAAGACAATAAGGCCTGCTAGGCATCGACTTTTCGAGACATCGTTTATTGTCTTGTCTCTCCGATTTCTTCGCGGTCTGTAAAAGATTAGAGGAAAAAATTATTAAGTTAATATTTCATTAACAAACAAAGTGCTGCACTAAATTCGAAATTTTGTACAAAAAGCAGAGCCATAAATTACCTTTGTTTAGCACAGGGCAATTTATCACCGATATTCGAAGACACCTGATGGCTAAGCTAAGCTGACCTTAACTTTCAGTCAAGACATAAAAATGGGAATGATGTACATGAATGGGAAAAACTAAACAGAAGTTGATGAATGGAAGGCCTGTGTATATTAAGCTTAGCATGTGGGTAAAAACTATAATATTTTCAGTATTTTGACAGCTTACAAGTTAGGCTTAAAAGAAGGCCTAAGTTCTAAAGTATGAGCACCCACACAATTTTTGAAACTGTGCAAATATGAAACCAAAAGTTTTGAAAAAAAAACATTTTAATTATTTTAAATTGCTTGTTGTTACACTGAAGGCAAACAAAAAGACAAATATTCCGCCCACAATAAAATCTGAAAGCACAATCCAAAAACGGTTTTAAGAGTTTTTAGTCTTTTCAAGAACCCTTTGGCATTTCGAGTCAGGCATTCGTTTCCATCAAAGTTGTTATCTCTGTCAAAACCAAAAACCATTATCATATTTAGTCAGATATTTATCTCCGCACTCGGCCCACACAGTCGGGCGAAATGTCAAAAAGTGCAAACCAGCTAAGCCAAACAACAAACCGACTGGCAAACACTCAATAAGACAGGCCGAGAGACATCAAATCCAATCAAATCTCCACTTAAAATGCACGACACACTTTTGGTTAAACAACAGCACCAAAACAGGGTGTGATCGGCAAAATCTTTGAACTCATGGCACTAAAGTTGAGCACAAATTGTGCCATGCATAAACAGAAAGGTGGGGGAGGAGCTTCCCCAGCAATTCGCAATGCCCATCAAGTATACGCCCCGTGTGCAGGTCCAAGGAGACTCCAGCAAACAATGCACAATAAAAATACTTTTCGGGAGAAACAAATTGCATTCAACTTTGGCTATCGACTGCCAAATTACGGTGCTCCAATGATCTTTTCCGAGCCAAGCGTTTTGCATTCAATTTCGGAGCCCAGAAACGCATCGAAAACGAAAGTTTTTTCTCGTTCGCTTTTCAATTTGTTATAGTTATGCATTGTGTTTTTTTTGTGCGGTCAAACTGTTTATTTACTTGCTTGCCAGTGCGGCTGGCACCACCCTTTCAATTTCGCCCAGCCAATCGCTCTCCTTACGTAAGTCCAACCCACCGAAGTGACATTGAAGGCTGCCAAAGCTAATTATGCAATTACCCGACACCCGAGACGGAAATCGGAAAGTGAAGCTGATTAAAGTGTACACAATAAGTGTGTACACGAAATTTGCAGTGATTGCATTAGTAATTGATCGATTTGTGAACAAACGAAGCTAATTTAGCTGGTAAATAAAGACGTTTTTGTACATTTTATGTTTTAAAATGAATGCTTTTCAGCTAGTTTTAAACTTCCTGAGGAGTTAAAAACTATGAGAGAGGGCAGGTAATATACCTATATATTTTTTAGGTTTCTTGCGTGTTAATTTCTTAGAGTAATTTCACTTTATACTCAACGCTCTGAAAAATACAATTGAATAGCTAACCACCAAATATAAAAACTTTCAGCCGAGAACACTTTCTAAATCCAATTTTGGATAGAATGCATTTCTGCATAGGTGTTTCCTCCAATGTCCCCTATCGCTATATAGATTCAACTCTTACCGCCTGGAATGACAAGCACAAAAGTAACGTTAATCATGGCACGTGATTCGAATATTGAAACAATATTCAGTCCAGAACTCTCGAGCTCACAACTCAATTCGAAACCATGAAAGAGAAACAATGTCCAAGAGATTTCTTTTTTTTTACTTTGGAAGCGTTCAGCGACTTTAGCAGAACATAAATCTTCCACAAAGGTGCGGAGGTGTGTCCGAAATTCAGAAATGAACATAATATTTTGTACATTTTTTATTTCAGTTACCAAACCACCGGAGAACTGAAGCCCTCAAAATGAAAAAAGCCAAAGGCTGGCTGTTAATGACAGCAACAGGTGAGTTGGATTGAGTTGGAGGACACTCAACTTAACCCAAAAAACCACTTAATATCGTTGTTCGAACCGGACCATGATATAATACCAATCCTTGTCATGTTATGCAATTTGTGGCGGCTGTGAAATTTTAATTAATTTAAACTTCGTTTCCCTTTCGATGTAGTGCTGCTACTCAGCCTGTTGGCCACCACAGAAGCCGCCCTGCCCTTCAAGAAGGTGTCCATTGCCAAGACACCCGTCTCCACGACCAGCACCACCAGCACCACGACGACGGAATCGCCTGCCGTCGAGGAGGAGGAAGTGGAGGAGGAGCAGCCAGTGCCCAGCGGAGATGGCGGCGACAGTAGCAAGGTGGGCATATAAATCATAAAAGATATATTCATGGATCACTTATTTTTGTAATCCATTTTTTCAGTCGGACAACGGAACTCTGTCGAAGAACTCCAAGCTTACGGGCATCCCGCAGATCGATTACATCTGGGATCCCAATCTCCCCAGGGAACTGAGAGGGTAAGTTATGTTCACCAAAAATTTTAAATAATATAACACAATATAGAAGAACATAAATCATTTTTAAATTGGTTTGATTTAAATAAAAACTATAAAGGCTTTTATTTATTTAGCATAACTAAAGAATATTATTGTTACTCAATATAATATTAATATGAGTCTTAATTTTATTTGTCTAGATTTTATTTTATAAATAATTTTAAAAATATTTTGGGTATTAATTGCGCTGTTTCCCCACAGCTATAACCTGTCGACGTATCCCTTCCTGTCCACCGTGCCGCCCATGGATGAGATCCACTTTAAGTGCGAGGGCCTGCACGACGGCTTCTATGCCTCCATTGAGTACAAGTGTCAGGTGAGTGAGCCGGCGTGACCTTGTCTGATTAATACCGACGTAACATAATTGGTCATCAAACCTAAACCTAAACAAACCAAGCCCAACCCAATCCAGCCCTCTGCATGTCCAGCAATTTCTCTTTTTCAACTGGCAACGTGACGCCAAAAAGCTGAAACTTGTTTGCGCCTCGATCTTGACCCCAAAACCGGGCAAAAAGAAGCGCTAAACGATGGCTAACCGAGCGGATTAGTTATGGCCAAATGTGATTAACCCGAGCTGGTCTCGTTGCAGATCTACCACCACTGTGTCTATGGCATCAGACACGACTTTCTGTGCGCCAACTTCACGGCCTTCGACCAGCGCACCTTCATCTGCCACTTTGCATCCGATGTGGACTGCGAGGGATCCCAGAAGTACTGGAACAGGTTAGTCTTCGTCAGCGGGAAATATATTAATTTGCATATATTTTATTGTACGAATAATTTACACATATTTTGGGTATTAATTCCATTGTTTTGCCGCAGGAACGATGAACTCTACATGGCCACCACAACCACATCGACGAGCACCACCACAACGCCGGCGCCACCCACACAAGCTCCGCCACCTCGTCGTCGTCCTCAAAGACCGCAACGTCCGCTGAGGCGACCCCTTAACCGCCGACCCATCGATGACTATTACTACGAGGATCAGGACCAGTACGAGGACGATTACTATGAGGAGCGTCCCGTTAGGCGACCCAAGCCAAGACCTCGTCAAAGGAAACCCCAGGTGGAGCTGGACTACGACGATGAGTATGATGAGAAGCGAACGGAGGTGAAGAAGCCCATTAGGCGGAATAGAAATCGCTACCGCGATGAGGAGGAAATCCAGGAGGAGGACTACGACGAGCGGCCAAACAAGAGGGCGAGGGGCAAACCAACTGCAGGACCTGCGGGTCGGAAAGTATCTCCCAGGAAACCAGGACGCGCAGAGGAACGTCGCAGCTTCAACGAAGATCGTCCGCTGGGAAGAAAAAGGACAACTCCATCATCCGCTTTAGATGACCTGGACGAGTATGAAAAGCCCTACGGCGGAGTGGATCAGGAAGAGGCGGCCGAGGAGCAAACGCCGCAGAAGGTGAAGACCACTCCGAAGCCCCTCACTGAGTTTATCACTCCCAAGGCGGCAGCTGCATCCGTTTACGCTCGTCCACGGGCTCCTCCAAGGATAGCTCGTCCCGTTCCCATCAATGAAAAGAAAAAGTTCTCTTATCCGGTGCAAAAGATCACGGCCACCACTCAACCACCATCGAACAGCGCCCAGGAGGAGGAAGACTACCCGGAAGAGCAGGCGGAGGAGGACTATGAGCAACCTCCGGTTAGGAACACACCACGCAGGCGTACACCTGCCCCTCGAGTGGAGCAGAAACCCACGAGAAACACTTTGCGGAAACCAGTGACGGACAAGAAGCCGGCCGATGACGAGTACTATGAGCCGGCGGAACAGGAACCTGTGAGGAAACGCAAGCGTCCTGTGGCTCCCAGATCGCGTGTGACCGCAGCAGATGTGGACTTCGAGGATGAGGATTACGAGGAGAGCCCGGCGCCCGTTTCCACAGCGGCTCCATTGAGAAACCAGAGACTGAGAGCGAAGACAACGACCAAGAAGCCAACAGTGCCACCGCGTCCTCGTCAGCCCATTGTGGAGCAGGATGAGGAGCTGGAGGATGCGCATCCAGCGGAGCCCGTCGAGGAGGAGGCACCGGCACCCAGAACGCGGGCCAATTCGTTGAGCGGGCGAACTGCAGGCGCCCAGCGTCCTTCATCGGTACGTGTGGTCAAGCGACCCTTCCTGCCCTCCAGGGGCGGCAGTCCATATCTGCCCCGGGGCCTTCAGCCGGTGGGCGTGGCCCTGCGACCGCTGCCCACCACTGATAGCACACCCATCGACATGGGATCGACCATTTCGGGAGTGCGTCTGCTTGAGCATGGGGCTCCATTGCTGCGGGGAAGTCCCGACAGCGGGGAAGATGACGAGGAGGTGGGTCCCCCATCGCCCAGTCCGCCAAGGACGACTCTGCCGCCACGCAGTGCACTGCCCACCACGCCAAAGCGGGTGGAGCCACAGCGGCCCAAGCTGAATCTCGACGAGCTATACGAGAACGACTACGACGTGACGCTAAACGATGCACTCGATCCCACGCTGAAACCGCTCTCCCCGCAGCATTCGCATCCACATTCGCATCAGCTTCCATATCAACAGCAGCAGCAGCAGCAACAGCAGCAATCGCAGCGCCAATATGCGAGTGCATATAATCCATTTGCCTATCAGCCAGCGTATCAATCACCAACATCCGCTTCAGCATCAGCATCCGCACCTGCATCCGCATCAGCATCCGCATCGCAGTCGCAACCAGCGAACTATCATAGTGATTCCTATTTCTCGTCGACAGATATACGCCGGCGGGCTGTTGTCCCGGCGCAAGCCTCGCGTCCACATCGACTCGAATACGCTGCTGCCGGAGGAGCAGTCGGCGGACCATCCGGCAGAGGAGCCGTCTCCGGGTCGGGAGTGAGCCGGAGCTATCAGCCGGTGGGCGGACGGATTGCCCAGCATTTCTACGATGACTTCGCCTACTGAAAAGTTCGCTTGTAATAAGGTTAGTTTCACTTCGATTGAACAGCTCAAGATCCTAACCAACGTCGCATTCTCTCTAACTTGCAGTTTCTTCAGCTGTAAATAAGTTTCCCCTACACAAGGAGAGTTCCAATTTGGTGCACGGCTCCAACTTCTTAAACAAATCTGTCTCTACCTTAGTCGTTTAGCCGCGAAAACCTACTCGTAATTCAGCAAGGCTTGGGACATATACCAAGCACTAGCCGGTAAAAAACAACATAAGCGATATAAACTTTTCAAATTTTTACAAAACCCTGTATTTGAATTAACAATTTAATGATCTTACGAAATAATTCCTTTTAATTACACTTTGGTCGCTTATGCTATTTTCTCTGAGCTCCATATGTCCCGAGCCCCTACTTATATATACGTTGTATAATACTCAAATGTCGTGATAGTAGCAGCTTGCGAATTTGACTGCTAGCTCGAATCCAGTAGATTGTAAAACTAATTTCCTCCCATTCGTTTATCTCCGACAAATGAGAAAGAAAAACTGAAAACATCCAGCAAATCAGAGAAATATTAAACAGCAGCCTCGATCTTTAATGTACATTTAGAGAGAGTGAAAACTTAATGTGTTAATTTAAAATTGCAATTCGCATACAAGTTGTCGATAATATTTAAGTTTTGTCGGAGATCGTGTTCGTTGTGGAGAGCCCAGATCCAAGACTTAAGTCGGAGTGCATAACAATCAAAACAAAAACCGAAATAAATTAAAAACGTACTGAAAGTAGTGTTTTTCTTGGCATCGCTGATTGCTAATTGGTTTGCAGGCACATCTTCAGGTTCTCCGTTTCCTCCTCCAGATTATCAAGTTTTTTCATTAAAATAATCTGAAATGGATGCAATGTAAGTACAAGAGCAATTTTTGGGGAGGTATAAAACACAATATTCACCTTAGCTGCCGAGACAATTTCCGTGGCCACTCGAAGAGGCATGTGTTCCAAAGATTGCACCAAGAGCATGGGTTTTATTTTGGCTACATCCTCAATGGTTCTAAATCCTGCTGCATACATTTGCTTGGCGCGATTCTGGAAGCAAATATATTTGAAGTTTACATACCGATGGGGATTTTTGCGATTCTTGTATATTTACAATTTTGACTGCTGGCAGTTCCATTAACGGCTCCAGCTCATAAGTGCTGCAGCGATCCATTTTGTGCAAGATCCGCTCAAACAATGGTTTATAGCACCAGAACTCTTCCAGTTCCTCGCACAAACGAACTATGGCACTTGAGGCGGCTACAGACTGGCTGATCAGGTGCTGCAGAGTTCCCCGTTCCACATTATACTTGGTGGCCACATTGGGAATTGGCAGGAGATTTAATATATCCGACAAGATCAAGACTTTGTAGAGGCGATTAAGCTGCAGGGACAAAGGTCCCTGGACCGATTGCGTCTTGAATAACCTGGCTGCATGGGCTTCTGTGAAACCAAGTTGCTTAAACAGAGCCTGAGAATCAAGTGGAAGCGATGTGTATACTCCCACAAGGATGCCAGCATCGGCCGGAAACAATTCGTCGCCTCTTTCATTTGAGTTGAAGCACACAACCAAATACAGTAAATGGAAGTAGTTGGTTAGGATGAGCTGCTGCTGCGCCTGCTTTAGTTCCTTGTGGATGGCACTCGCCCGTTTGTAATCAATACCCGCTTTGAAGGCAGCTCTTCCAATGCTGGTTAACTTAAATTGAGTGGACTGACTTATAAGTAAACGTCTCTCGCCAGGTCGATTGGTCTGATTCACATCCTGCGTTGTTATTATCTCTGAAGAGTTCACCTTACATTTGGCAGTTGGTTCGGCTAGTTGCAAAACCTTGTTTTTGAACATCTCGCGAAGAATTCGGAGCACTATATCATCCACCGCCACTTCCAGGGCGCTTGCCTGCACAGACAAAAGGGTGCTCTTTACGAGCCGATTCAAGTCCCGTCGACATTCTGCTAGGTTCAAACCAACTACGCTTAATATCAGGGACTGAAAGATCAAAAATTAACATACTAACTCTACTTAACAATTTACTTGAAGAAGTAAACAAATAAAGACGAATCAATCTTTGTAGGTTTCTTTTAGCAAAAACTTACTTGCAAACCGACTGCTTCCATCTGATCCATTGAACTTAGGGCTTTATCCATAGGTGAGAAAAGCATTTGGCCGACCTGCAGATTATCTTTGCTCTGTGCTATCAGAATACTCTCTCCAGCTTCTCCCAATCCGGCGCGACCAGCGCGTCCCACCATTTGCTTGTACTTGCACAAAGTCATAAACTCCTGGCCCACATAGGGAGCTCGTATGATAACCCGCTTGGCCGGGAGGTTCACGCCCGCTGCTAGAGTGGAGGTACAACAGATGACTGTGACGACTCCGAAGCGATAGGCAGTCTCTATGTACTTCCTCTCATCTGTTGTTAACCCCGAATGGTGATATGCAATGCCAAAGGGCAGAGTTTTTGCCAACACCGGGCTAAGTACGCCACACATTTTATCCAGGGCATCCATTAGATCCACCTTCTCCTTGCGCCGATGCTCAAAGAACTTTTGCTTCGGCAGAATGCGACTGAGAAGAAGGGCCACATTCTCACAGTTCTTGCGAGTCGGGCAGAAAACGAGGCAACAGTGTTCCGGGGCACACTCGCTGATTAACCCAGCCAAGTGGTCAGGATCCGCACGTTTCACAGCTTCGCTATACTGCAAACAAAAAGAATTAGTTTTAGTTATGTATTGGTACATATATTTTAAATTTTGTTACTTGCATTGTAATTAACACTGCGACTGGGGACGAATATCTCCTCAAGCGTTTGTCCTGCCGAATTGATTTCCAACAAATCTGGACCACATTTTATGTACTCCTTCAGTTCCACTGGTCGAAAGCCTCTTGTGTAGACATCGGCATTCAGAAAGGTTGATATTTCGTTTAGGTTTCCTATTGTGGCACTCATGCCGACAATTTGTATGTTGGCTGAAAGCAGCCGGTGCTTAATGCATCAAAAACGTTGTAAAAAACTAACCCACTTACCATTTAAAAACATAACTTTTGTAAGAAATGCCTCCAAGGTGGCGCCTCTGCCTTTTTCACCAATTAGGTGCAGTTCATCCACAACCACAAGACCAATTTCATGGGGACGTTGTACATCTATCAGACTGTCCATGAGAACCGCACCCTTTTCAATTGATGCAATGAACAGGCTGCGTCTCTTGCGACGCGGCTGCGGCGGACATTTGCCCTTGCCGGCTGTGTACTCCTCAACAATGAAATTCAAGTCGATGGCGAACGGTGACATGGCGCTTACCTTCTCTTGGACAATCGACACATATGGCAGGATAAACAACACATTGCGTTCGCGACAAAGAAGTTCTCGCAGCATAAGGATCTCCGCAACTAGGGTTTTTCCACCACTCGTGGGCAGGGCATAGATAAGATTCTTTCGCTGCCTGATCGCAGGTAGATTCAGACACTCGTCCTGCCATTCTACAACATAAAAAATACTTAAATCATATTTCCAGTCTAAGTTAGTCGGCCTTACCATAAAGACTCTTAATGCCCTTGTGTTCGAGGATCATCTTTTTGACCTTATCGGGGAGGCCATAAAATTCGCCCTTGCTGGGAAATTTGTTCTTGTTTTGCTGTTCCTTTTCAAAGTCTGCAAAAGCCTGCGTCTCCCAATTGACTGGATCTAAAATAGAATGGTTTTTCAGCTCCTCAGAGGTCACGTACTGAGTGCCCTGTACTATGCCCTCTATCACAGATTTTGAGATAAAGGACATGGACTCGTCCTTAACAGCGTGCTGAAGCTTCTCTGGAGTTCTGGGCACTTTAAAATTCACTGCCTCCAAAAAGAGCTGTGTATTTTGGATCATGGGTTCACTAAAGTCTTCGGTGCCATGAAAAATATCTTCCATTTCGGCAATGCTCAGATCGTTGAGGTTGATTTTCTTAAACACCTCATCCGCGTTTTCCTCGTCTGACATATCAATTTTATTATGATCATTACCAATCCCAGCATTTTTGAATTTGGAGGGTCTATTTGGTGGTAATTCCTGAATGTCTGGAAAGGATGTGTCTCCGAAGAGTTCCAGCCCTTCATCCGAACCACTTTTCTGCAACTTGTTGCTTGTTGATGCCTGCGTTCCGAAGAGGTCCTCCTTCCGCTCACCCAGCAAATCCTCCAGTTTTGCATTTGAAAAGAAGCTGTCGTCGTCGTCGCCCTCTGGCCAAAAGAGGTTCTCGCTGCAGTGGCGCTTCGCATTGCTTCCGCCAGATGCATTTGTCAAATCTAAATTTCTTTTATTGCTTATATTTCGCTTATTCGCCATTTGGCGCCCGATAGTGTGACCGTCGCGAGGAACTGCCAGAATAATTATGGCCAGGGCTGCAGAGCATCAACTTTGAGTTTAGTTTAGCCAGTCAATAAGTCACAGTTGGTAATTTTATTGTTATTGAGAAAAGGACTTTTTAAATTTACAATGATTACATTTAAGCAACTGGAACTTTTAATAATAAAAAGGAACTGACAAATCTTTAAAGAAAATAAATTATAAGGAAATGGATATTTGCATATTCCGAAAAAGTGAAACACAATTGACAACAACCACTTGTTTATCTGTAGTTTGGTCCTTAGAAAAAGCGGTCACACTGAACACAACTGCCGCAATTTTGGTTTCTAATTTCATAAAAAAAAGGAAATAATTTTATTCTTTTCATTCAGAACAGAGCGTAAGGGACAGTTGCCCAGGATGAGCGGGTGGTATCTGCAGCACGTTACCACTGGCCGCCGCTACATCCTGTACAACGGAGATAATTCGGTGGGTCGCCACTCGCGCTGCAGGATTGTCCTAGGCGCAACCTACCAATATGTGTCTCGGGAACACGCGAAACTTATCGTCAGCGACAATGAAGTTATATTGGAGACGCTGGTAAGTCACCCTATCGCTACTGAATGTATATGCCTAACATTTTCACTATAGAATCCTCTGAACGGAATCTTCGTTAATAACGGCAAGCTGGGCTCAAAAATCAGAAGGATGGCAGTGGAGGATGGCTGCACTATTAGCCTAGGAGTTTCGGGCGTGGATGTCAGTGAAATAACAAGCCTTCATGCTATATTTTACCTAAGGAAAATGGCACCCAATGTGGCGGAGGTCATCATCTCGTCCGACGATGACGACACAACGCCGCTGCCCGCCGTGAAGTCCTCCTCGGGCAAGTTGCCCACCGAATTCAACCTTAATCAGCAAATTCCCGAGATGGGGAACATTCAGAATGAGGAGGAGCAGCCCTCAAGCTCCGGCTTGCATCTTCCAAAAATACCAGTTGTCAAGCAGGAGGCATTAAAGGCCGCAACTGAAAATATTAAAACAATCTTTGGCGAGGCCAACGAGGATATACTCCTTCCCATTCTAGACATTAATCCATATCTTTTCAACGAGCTAAACAACAAGACCGTAGGTGTTGCAACCGCTCACTCAAAAATTTTCGACGGCGACGTCATTGAACTGGATACAGATGTAAATAAGGAGCAGCCGGATTCGGAAAGGCAACAGCAAATCGACAGTGGATTGGCACCGCCAAAACAAATCGACGTTATTGAATTGGAAATGGGTGCAAATAAAGAAAATTCAGAGTCGGAAAAGCCGCAGCAAGCCGCCGAGGCCTTGCCGCGTGAAGAAATCGGTGAGGAGGAGCTCGAAGAGAACTATGCCCATTCTCAGGCTGTATATATGGAAATGAAAACTGAAATGGCCTATGGCGATGAGGAAGAGGACTTCCTTAACAATAATGGCCTTGATGACGTAGCACAAGGGTCCCCCTCGGGCTCTGCTTACGATGACGACGTCGTCATCAACATCAGTGATTCTGATGACGATGAGCTGTACGATAAGGTGGCCGACTGGTCCAAGCTTCTCAGTCAAAATGTGGTTCCAGATGTGCACCAATTGTCCCAGGCATACCCGATGCAGGAGGAAGAAGATTCAGACTCGGATCGGGATGTTGGAAACAAGTTGCCAAGGGCTCTACGCATAATCTCCTCTAGTGAGGATGAGTCTGGCGACGAGGTCATGTCTTCGAACGATCACGTTGTGCGCCAAGGTAATATTACTAAGCTATTTTCTATATTTTTCTATTCTTCAACTTTTTTTGATTTACCACAGCCGACAGCACGACTTCAGATCACCCGATTCGAGATTTCTCGGTGCGCGTAAAAAAATACAAATTTAACGACGATGTTAGCTCCACTGAAAGAGTTGAACCCATTTCGGAGAATGATAAACCAAAGCCCAAATCTTGCCTAAAAACTTTGACTAAGGAAGCTGTTAATGACAATGATAAAATGGAGGAAACTGGGTCGTCATCCAAAGATGAAGCGGATCCATCTACAAGACTACTCGACAACCGCTCAAAGTCCAGTAACATGGAACGAACTGAGAAATCGGATGAGCCACTAACCAACAACGAAACGGAAAATTTAAAAGAGAATACTCGCGACATGGAAACTGTTGATAACCGTGAGGAATTGGTGGTAATACTTGAAGCTCCTAAGACTCCAGAAAATATTGAAAAGCCTAAAAGAAATTATAAAAAAAGGACAACCAAAGAAAAAACTGAGCCAATCAAAAAACCACTTCGCAGCCGTTCAAAGTCCTGTTACTTTGACCGACCAGTGAAGGAAGAACCAAAAGACAACAAAAAAAAAGAATCTCCAGAGGAATCTAAAAAACCCGATAAAAAGGAAGCAGATGTAAACAAATCTTCGATACGCCACAGACGCAAGACAATAAATAACCGAGAAGAATTTGAAGCCATTGTTGAGGAAACCCATCGTTATACGCCGACGAAGCCTAATTTAACTAACCCGGTAAATGGTGAACTTCCCAGTTCATCGAAAAGCCCTGCCAAAAGAAGCCCTCGTCTGCTTAACCGTTCAAAATCATGCTGTGTGGATAGTCTTCTCACAGCCAATGAGATTACGCCAACGAAAAGCGATACCTCTACAAGAGTTCAGAACTCGAGTGAAGCTAGATTGACACGCGGACCATCCGTTATTGAGGCTCCATGCTTACCCAGCCATCGTGGAAAGTTGCGAGGGGTTTCGGCAGAGGTTAAGAGAACAAATAAAGATATGCAAAAGGTGATTGAGCGGCAGCAATACCTTAATAACCTGGATGCACTGAAGAGCAAGTGGATTCAGAAACCAAAAGACAAAAAAAAAGAAGATGAGCAAATAAGGGATAAACGGCGCGAAGCCCTAAAAAAGTTATCTGGTAAACCGAAGGAAAATGATAATATCCCCAGTACCAGCAAGAGGAAGCAATCTACAAGTGTACCTACCGTGCAGCACTCCAATCGCGGCGAGTTCCTTACCAAGGGAGTTGAAGGGCCACCGGCTAAAGTAGCCAAAAAGGACGAGGCTAAGCCGACGTTGAAAAAACCAGTTTCCAATCGCCGTCACAGCATTGAATCCTTCTCCCAACAGCTCCAGGCAGCCGATGGAGCCGTTCATCACCCTCAACCACTTTGCCCCCGCCCCGCCGAGCGTAAGGAGGCTTGTCAGGCGCGGAACCAACGCACCTGCAACAAAGTAACCTTTGCCGAAATGGAGCTTTACCGTCAAAATGACGAGGATCTCAAGCGGCTTGCTAAGAAACGAAGAAAAGTGCATTTCAATGACAACGTGACAATACACATTATCGATAAGGTAACCGGGGCCAGTGCTCGGGTGAAGGGTCGCAAGGAAAGCATGAAGCTCAACCTCAGTTCATATCGCGAGCGCCGCGAATGGTTTTGCAAGGGAAACAAACGAGTGAACGACATACGACAGCACTCGCGAAGCATCCTGGAATGGGCTAACCAGTGGCTAAAGCATGGCAGCGTTGATGCGGTGGCCGATAGAGAAGTCCTTTTGCCAATCCCAAGTGATTTTAAATGTTTCAGGCAATACTTGAAGTGAGTTCTTTACCTTTATCGTTAGTTGGCTCATTACTCTTTGCTTATTTTAATTTTGCTTCATGACAGCACCCTTGTACCGTTGATGAAACTGGAGCTGCTCACAACTATCGAAAGGGACTACAAAGTAAACGCCAAAAATAGTTTTTCGGTCGGCCTAAAGACCGTTTCTTCCCAGGATAACTGCTACCGCTTGGTATGCAGAGGTATGTATAGCAGCCATTACGGGTTATAAGTCCATGAATATAACAATCTTTGCAGTGAATAGCAAGCCTTTTGGCAAATTTGTATTATACACCCTTTCAAGTGGTACCCAACTGAACGAGACCTTTGCCAGTCTAGTGGACTTAAAATGTGTGGGTGGTAGGTCGCCATGTAAATGCCTAAGTAATCCGATATTAATCCTTTCTTTGTCCCCGGCAGGCAACGTTTTTGACTTGACGTTTGATATTATTAAGCAGGATATATCTGATGAGACGATCAACAGCCTGAAGCAGTTGACCGCCCGTCCAGTGGTGGATAGTCTTAGGGTCGAGTTAGGGGCTTTGAGTGCTGTCCATCAGCTCTATCGATCGCCGCTCTGTCGTCGCATCCTAAAGCCCACGCAAACGGTGAATGAAGTTTCGCTTCCTAAACAGCCGTTTGTTTTTAAGGGATGCAACAAGCTGAACGAACACCAGGAGCACATTATCATTCGCACTTACCAGCGGGTTATTGACGATCTACAGCCCAGTCTCACCCTCATTCAAGGTCCACCCGGAACGGGCAAGTCAAAGGTTATTTCCGAATTATGTTTGCAGACTCTATACGGAGTAGCCGCCAAACAGCTGGACCGCAAAATCTTGATTTGTGCTCATTCCAACACTGCCGTGGATCATATTGTTGGAATGCTAGGTCGCGTATTACGCCTTATGAGCCACGACCACTTTCAATTGCTGCGTTTCGGGATGCACGATAAGATGACCCATTATTCGCAACCCTTCTCGCTGGAGGAGCATTTCAAAAGACACAAGAATAAGAAGGTTGAGCGACTTGGTGCGGAGAATATTGAAATCCTAAAAAAGCAGCGCACCGATTTAGAGGCGGATATCCTTCGGTTGAAGCAGAACCCGAAGCTGACAGGAACATATCTGCAGCAACAGTTGCACCAAAAAGAGCGACAGCTGCAGCTGATCAACGAGCAGCTAAATCCTGTGCTCACGCAGCGCGAGGAGTTCCAGATCTCTCAATCAATTATTAGTCATGCCAATATCATCTGCACAACGCTTTCATCGTGCGTGAAGCTAGCCAACTATGTGGACTTCTTCGACATCTGCATCATTGACGAGGCCACCCAATGCACTGAGCCCTGGACACTGCTGCCCATGAGATTCAGTCTTACCCACCTGGTTTTGGTAGGCGACACCCAACAACTGCCGGCGGTGGTGCTTTCCAAAAAAGCTACAGAATATGGCCTTTCCAATTCGATGTTTGATCGCATTCAGAGGAGCCTAGATAAACAGCTAGATATGCCGGGTGGAAATCAGTTCGTGCACACGAAAATCTTCAAGTTAAGCGTGCAGTACCGCATGCACCCGGAAATTTGCCGTTGGCCAAATAAGTACTTCTACGAGGATCAGTTGGTGAATGGTAATGGCACCGAGCGTTTGGCTTCCCCGCTGATACCCTACTGTGTAATCAACCTGAGTTACACCCAAGATAGCAGCGGTGCTCAGAATAAAAGTATTTGCAACGACGAGGAGGCGCGCTTTGTGGCGAAACTCCTGACGGAGATGGACAAGTATATGCCCACCAATCGCTACAGCTACGGCTTGATTTCACCGTATCAAAGCCAGTGCATGGCCTTGAGTCAGGTGATTCCGGATCATATGCAACTTACGCCACAAACGGTGGACTCGTATCAGGGTTTGGAAAAGGATGTGGTCATCATCTCCAATGCGAGGACACGCGGCTGCGGCTTCCTCACTAACTATCAGCGTCTTAATGTAGCGCTAACTAGACCCCGTCGTTGTCTGGTAATATGTGGCAACTTTCAAGATCTAAAGGTGAGTCGGCTGGTCGCATAGTTATGCAGAACATATTTTAAAACTTCGATTTTGAAATCCATTTCAGACTGTGGACATGTGGCGTCAGTTACTCGACGACGCTCGCCAGCGGAAGGTTTACTTTGATTTGGAGCGCGCACATGTGGACGACCTTCAAACCTCACTGATTAAGAAGATGATGGTGAAACAAACTGAAGTTCTCTAGGGGAAATCAACTAGCCCCAGCCGTTACAAAGTTGAAGTGATTTTATTGAATATTTAGCTTTAAGGGACCACACCAAGTTGAAATTGGGAAAAGAGCTTCCTTTTATGAAATAGTGAACGAAATTCGTTAATTTTTTTTATATTCATTCATTTTCGTATATTTAACATAGACACTTTAAGATTTTTAAATTGAAATCTTTGTACACTTTGTTCATTAAAACACCCCAAACTGCATTTCTTCTATAAATGCCATACATATACTCGTATAACAGGATTTATAAGTAACCGATTATATATCATCTATGTACTTTTTGAGAAAGTTCACGGGTTGAGGATGATACTTATGAATTGTATGACCAAAGGAACGTTCATAAATAAATATTGAATTGATTAATCAATTGTTTACTGTTAACGTATTGCACTACATAGAATTACAGCATTGCAGATTCCTTCCCGATAGCTTGATCGCCTTCTCGTTTCTCAGGTAATTAACTAAAATGCGCTTTAATTATGCTAATCTCCAGCTTCTGGCGCTACTTGCCTGATCATCTCTAAAGTTATAGTTAAGGTAAGTAAATTCACTAACAACACTCACACACACATAGTCGATATTAAATTCATAGTTATTCTGTTTGCTTTGCCTTGCGTTGGATTTGTCACTAGGGCATTAAAATTAATGGAATCGCTTAATAATACGATTGCACAACGTAAGAATTCTGCCAACACAATCGGTTTAACTTAATTCAAGTAAATGAAAACACTAACTTAGGAAATTAACTAAAATGTAGCAACAAAATCTAACTAAGGACTAAAAACATAACAAAAATTATGCCCATATTTACTTATTTTATGTGGCTGCTGAAAAGTGCTTGCCCTTTGCTTACAGATATATATATCAATGTATATATAGAAATTTCGGCATTACATTATTGTAGAACGTACGACTAAAGCAAACATCTTGTCCGAATTTAACCGATTAAGCTTAGGTTAGCATGTCACCCAGGTTGTCCTTAAGCGACTGATAAATTTGGTATTGTTGATCGGGCTTGAGGTTGTAGATTTGTGTCAGCAGCTTCGCCGGCGACGGAGTTCTGATGAAGCTGGATATATAGACGTTGACAAAGGTGGCCATGAGGAACTGACAATCGAAGCGATCCATGATGCCGCCATGTCCGGGAATCATATCGCCAAAGTCCTGTGAATCAAGAAACGTTGTGTAAAACCGGCAATTGTTGGGATTCCAAAAAACTCACCTTAATTTTAAACGCTCTCTTGAAGCCGGAGGCAAAGAAACCGCCAAATGGTCCAATAATGGAGCTAAACAAGCTCAGGGAGATCGAGTGCCAAATAAAGGGGTAGAGATTTAGAGTTTTCCCAATGCCAAACTGGAAATAGATGAAAAAATAATTATTTTCATGTGCAAAAGATGTGAATAAATCTGCATAAATATCCCAGCTGCGAAAACCCATCGTCACTCACCAACTTGAGACTGTATTCCTGCGGCGTGAACAGATAGCTGGGTACACAGGACATGGTCATGCGACCCAGTTCCTCCGAGTACTGGATGGGGCAGATGAAGTACTGGTAGTTGCACAGCACATAGGAGAACAGAATGCCAAAGAGCACGGTGGCGAAGCCACCCCCGATGAAGCCCTCCCAGGTCTTCTTGGGACTGAGCTTGATAAGGGGCGTGCGCCCGAAGAAGAAGCCGAACACGTACGCCATGACATCATTGCACACAATCATGGAGACAGGTACGATGAACCAAATAAGGCCCTCGAATATGTTCTGGATAATAAGGTAGCTCTGGGTGACGACAATCAGCAGGGAGACGTGGGTCCAGGCAAACAGGCTGAACTGCTTGATGTAGTACTTCTTTACGAGCGAAAGCACAAACCAAACGAAACCAATTATGTATAGTGCAAAGGATAGGAAGCGGTGATAGGTCACCAGGAACTTGAGATACTCCTGCAAAAGAAGGACCGGGTAAGTATGATATCAAGGTACAGCATTCAAAACTAATAACTCACCACTCGATTAATGACGACGCCAAAGTAGTCAACCAAATTCTCGCCGTAAAAAAAGTAATTGGAGGTAAGTAAGAAGTACCAAGAGAGACTCCGGAACCAGGGCAAACCATGGATCCGATACACCTGGTACCCAATGGAAATGATTTCCTGGAAGCATTTAACCTGCACCAACAAAGTCTGCAGAGAAAGTCAGGAAATTAGAGAGACTCGTTTAAGATAAATTTCACTGAACTCACCGTGATCATCAAGGCCAGCGGTCCGCCATAGATGATCAATGCGAAGCCGCAGATCATAATCCATGTGAAAATGCCGCGGATGACCCAATTCTTCCATCTGCGGAATGTGAAATATATTATTGTTTGTAAAAGTTCGTATTTATTTAAAATATTTGCTCGCCAACTGCAGCCAGCTGTGGATATGGAATATTTTTGGAATAACTCATACAGCCAAAAAAATATAATTCACACTTTCATAAATTAAGAACAACGCAATGTTTATAATAAGACGTAACGGAAATTGTAAGGAAATATGTTTTGAAAATTTACATATGTTCTTTAAACAACTCATACTACTATAAAATGCAAGAGCTTTTATTTATGCTAAAATAACAAATAATTTAAATGCATAACTCATTACTAGTGGAAACTGTAAGCTTTAAGCAATCGCCAACCTCTCAAAAATTGTAAGAACAGATATTATGAATATGGTTACATACCTATCTGGCAAATCCTTGAGGGCTGAGTCAAGTATTTCGGGTGTCTTGTCGGTTCCTTGTGGCAGATTCTTGGCCAGCTCTTCGACAAACTTCTCCTCGGGAATCTTCTCCTCCTCCGAGTCCACCTGTAAGTAAATTGCACATATTGATTGGATTGTCTGGGAGTGCAAATGGGTCACCTATCGGACGCGATGCGACCGGAGTGCAGGTTTTAAGCACTTTCTATTGGGCGCTGAGCAAAGTCCAAGATACGAGTATGTGTGTGGCGATATACCCATAATCAGAATCACTCGTTTATCCAATACACAGGCATAAAAACGAGAGGGGGACAAAGTGGGCAGACAAAGTGCGGGCTTTTTCTTGGTGGCGTGTTTTGTTTGTTGCCAAATCGTTCGGTTGATAAGGAGACATTTGGGGGCTTATCACCCAGAACATAAGGAAAAAAAAACTTTGCCGGAAGGGGAGGAAGTGTGGCAATGGTAATAGTTCCTAGGTTCTTGGCTTCCGTAATTGTCGTCCGTCCACTTAATTGGATTTGCTGGGAATAATGGCGCTATATTGCAACACAGCAGGTGGGTGATACTAGGCTGCAGTGGGTGGGGGTGGGTTTGTGTTTGTTATTGGATTTTCTCCAGAAGAGAGTTCTTTCTCTCTCTTCCTTTCTCTTTCTCCCACCTGCTTGTGCGTCAGAGAATAACAAAAACACACACACCCACACACATTTGTTGGTATACACACATCAGGCTTTTCTATGCTCCAAGAATTATGCAAATTGGAATGGAATCCGGAACAGGCCGACTTGGATGCTCCACATACAAGTCATTGCCTCACTTACATGATCCGAAGAATCGGCTGCGGAGGAATTGCGCTTATTGGCTGCTCCTCCGGATCCGGAGACGGCGGTGTCCTCCAGTGGCTCCTCCTCGCCCTTCCTGCGTCGCACTTCGGCCATTGTTCCAATGTCCACCGACTGTAATCCCAATGTATTGATTCCTAGCGATTCCGCTCGAGCAGTTCGTTTGTGTTCCGCTTTGCGCGTTCGTCCGAATTAAAATGCTATTTTCTCTCAGTGTTACCTGACGGCTTTACCCCCAAAGGCTCCAACAATGAATTCCACAAAATACTACTGTGAGGTTTTTCCTAAATTTGACTGCCTTACTTAGCCACGTCACAATCCAAAATAAGCAAGTGCTTTCTCCTATTTTAGCTGTTTAAAAATATGCACCATGGAAATGTTTGTGGAACCTTTTAGACAAAACACATTTTATTATTTTTTAATATTTTAGAATAACAAGAAATTTTTTTTGCAGCCTCCCCTTTTTATAAGCAATAGAATTAAAAGTGGTTCATTTCAGTCCCAGTTTCAATCACGGTTAAAATCGTTATATTTGCCGTCCCTGGATATGGCAATGCCGACCTTTAAACGTTTTCCAACACCTCTACCGGCGGCGTCACTTGCACTTTTTCGCTGAAATTAAGAAAAATTACAATTTTCTTGATAAAAATACGTGAAAAGAAAAGCAACTAAAGTAAAATGGCAGCAGCTATTGATGGTGTTTTCCCCAGCACATTGCAAGAGCTGGTGAAGAAGTCCAAGGTACTGGTTGTGGGAGCCGGTGGAATCGGTTGCGAGGTGCTGAAAAACCTTGTACTGAGTGGCTTCTCAGATATCGAAATTGTAAGCTGTGTTGAGACTGCATATATATATGGTTTGCTAATATGTTTATTATATTCAGATCGATTTGGACACCATTGACTTAAGCAACTTGAACCGACAGTTCCTCTTCCATCGCGAGCACGTTGGCAAATCCAAGGCGCGAGTGGCGAGGGAAAGTGCTTTAAGTTTTAATCCTGATGCGAAGATAATCGCTTATCATGACAGCGTAACATCGTGAGTTAGAAAAACTATACCCTGGCTATAATGTACTCATATCCTCCTTTGACTTTCAGTACCGATTATGGCGTCAATTTCTTTAAAAAGTTCGATGTGGTGCTCAGTGCCTTGGACAACAGGGCGGCTAGAAACCATGTAAATCGCATGTGTCTAAATGCGGATGTTCCTCTAATAGAGAGCGGCACAGCCGGCTACAACGGCCAGGTGGAGCTGATAAAACGGGGACTCACCCAGTGCTATGAGTGCACCCCAAAGGCAAAACAGCGCAGCTTTCCCGGTTGCACTATCCGCAATACGCCCTCCGAACCGATTCACTGCATCGTTTGGGCGAAACATCTTTTTAAGTGAGTTATTAGCGTGTACAAGTTATAATTTTCATGATTTCGATAGCAAAACCCATTAAATAATTAACTTCTTTAATGTTATTAAATTAAATTCCCTTTCTTCTGCCGATTTTTCAGTCAACTCTTCGGGGAATCTTTGGAAGATGAGGATATTTCTCCTGATGCCGCTGATCCCGATGCCAAGGAGAAAGGTGAAGCCGGCGGCGATACTGGTCCCAAAACTGATGGCAAAGATACAGAAAATAACGAAGAGTCAAAGGAAGAAAAGGAGGCCAAGGAGGATACGGCCAATGGAAATGTGGTACGAATCAACACTCGAGAGTGGGCCAAAGACTGTAACTACGATGCCGGCAAGCTTTTCAATAAGTTTTTCAACGAGGACATTACGTACTTGTTGCGCATGTCGAATCTCTGGAAGACGCGCAAGGCTCCTGTCCCCGTGCAGTGGGACACACTTCTGTCCGAGGGCTCTTCCGGCGACCAAAAGGACGTCGCTAAGCAGCACCACAAGGTCTGGAGCATCGAGGAGTGTGCTCACGTTTTTGCCCAGTCTTTAAAGGAGTTGAGCGCCAACTTCCTGAAACTCGAGGGAGATGATACGCTGGCTTGGGATAAAGATGATCAGCCGGCTATGGATTTCGTGGCCGCCTGCGCCAACGTGCGGTCCCACATCTTCAACATTGAGCGGAAGTCGCGGTTCGAGATCAAGTCGATGGCGGGCAACATTATACCAGCTATTGCCACCACCAATGCGATTACAGCTGGTATTTCGGTAATGCGAGCTTTTAAAGTTCTGGAGGCTAAATTGGACCAGTGTAAAGCAGTCTACGCCCGACTGAGGCCGAATGCCCGCAATCACTTCCTTGTGCCTGATGCCTTGCTTCCTGGGCCCAATCCCAATTGCTATGTGTGCGCCCGCGATCCGGCCATTACACTCAAGATCGATACAAAACGCATCCGCATACGGGAGCTGCGGGACGAGGTTCTGGTGAAGACACTTAACATGCTGAATCCGGATGTTACTGTGCAGAGCAATGGCTCCATACTGATCTCCTCGGAGGAAGGCGAAACTGAAGACAACGAGGGCAAGCTCCTAAGCGAGCTGAACATCGTCGATGGCGTGATCCTCAAATGCGACGACTTTTTCCAGAACTACGAGTTGAGTATCATAATCTCACACTTTGACGCAGAGAGGGATCAGCCCTTGTTCGAAGTGGTTGCCGATGCTTCACAGCTGAAGCCTAAGGAGGAGCAGAAAAAGGAAGCTGAAGAAGAGAGAAAGGATGAACCAAAAACCGCCAAGAAACGGTCTGCCAACGGAGGAGACTCAAAGGACGAGGGTCCCTCCACCTCAAAGCGTTCCCGCCCCACTGAGGTGGATGAGGACGATGACGATGACTGTCTGGTTATCGAAGAGGATGAGGATGTTGCGGAAGTCGTTGCCGTTGCCACAAACAAACTCACCGTGCAGAGCCCGCCAAAGTCAGGCACCAAGCGCAAGCCAAGCGAGGTGATCGAGGATGAGGACATCACGGAAATCCTAGATTCCTCCGACGAAGAGCCTGCGGGACCCACAAAAAGCAAGCGCTCTCGTCTGGACGAGTCGCTGACGAATCCCGTAGAAGTTATTAGCATCGATTAATCATGTAAGATGAAAAGCTCTGAACAAGATCGACGCTGCACACTAATATATCTCCTGGATTCCTTCTAATGAATAGCAATTCGCTGAACTCATTCTTTTTTTTTTAAGAATCATAATAAACATTCAATGTTCTTTAAATATAAAAGGGAAAAACTTTTTATTTAAGAATGATGTTTTGTTATTTACATTTTTGTTGTCGTTTTCAATATATTTATTTGATAAATTCGATAAATATTTGGGCTGTGTAGTGTTGGTAAGTACTCAAAGTCCATGTGTTATTGGTTATTTTGGTCAAAACAGAACAGAGGTAAGCTTTTCCCTTAATATCTTTAAAAATCTTAATGAAAATGGGTTTTTTAGATGTCGCTGGCTACTAGAATATTGCAACAAGGCTCTCGCCTGTGGAATGGTCTCAGTACCGCACGTGGCTTTCACATTCTTATCCGACCGGCTGCACCGGTTAGTGAAATCATGCAAAACTCACATCTGATGGCCGGCACAACCGCTATTTCTCAGGGATCGGGACTTCTTACCCCGTGCTCCACACTGCTGCAGCAAGTTGCCGGGTTTAAAGTCAAGGGGCGCCTAAAACGGCGGTGCAAGGATTGCTACATTGTGGTGCGCCAGCAACGCGGTTATGTCATCTGTCCCACGCACCCGCGCCACAAGCAAATGGCGATGAAGAAGCGCGACTACAAGTCCTGGATCCTGACGCACGCTACCCAGTCCAAGGAACGCGGCTACTAGTCCTAATTAGATAATAACTAAAGCATTTTGTTTAAAAAAAAATAATAAATCGCAGTGGCCAACGCCTTGCTACGTTTCCAACACTAAGCCGCTCAGCTGATTTTTTGTTTATCTTGATTCTTGAAAAGATTAACGCTGCTGCAAGTCCTAGTTAATATAAATTTATTAACTAAACGCAGTATTAAAAAATAATCGAAAGAGGAGTCCGTTAAAGAGTGACTACAACAACCGTTGACGACTTCCAGCACTGGTTGAACGACTGACTTTTTGTAGATCTCAATTCTGGAAGAGATTTGCAGTCATTGCTCCGAAGCTTTGCGGTTTCCGGCCGTAAGATGACGACGCACTTCACTAATGTGCTGCGGCAGGCTTTCAAAACCTTTGACAGGGCGAATCACGCTAGCTTCAATGCGAATTTGCAGCATCTGCGACAACTGACGGATGAGCTGACCTACCGGGACTTGCACCTGCGCGAGGAATTATTCCGAAACATGGCCGGCCATCGAGCGCCCTGCAGCTACATGCATATTTTCGAGGACGACCGCTTCTCCATGAGTTTGTTCATTGTGCGCGGAGCGAGTGCGATTCCCCTGCACGACCATCCCATGATGTTTGGCCTGTTGCGCTGTATTTGGGGTCAGTTGAGAGTAGACAGTTTTTCGCAACAGATAGCTCCGGATGAGCCGCTGACCTATGACTCGCAGCCCTCGGTGGTGACGGTAAATGTGGAGGAACCATGCTTGGTAACGCCAAATAGTCCATGTGCCACATTAACACCACGGAAGAGAAACTACCATCAGATTGCCCAGGCTGGCAATGGCGTTGCCGCCTTTTTCGACATCCTTAGTCCACCGTACGATGCGGATATGCCCACATACGGACCGCGTCAGTGTCGCTTCTATCGCGCCAAAGCTGTGGAAGGTGGCCAGGTGCAACTGCACTGCATCCCATCGCCGGATTCGTACTACTGCGACGTGGTGGACACGCCGGAGTCCGTAGCACAGGCCGCCTTTCAGTGCGCCGACGAGGTCTACGCCGAAAATGCCAGCGGGACGCAGTAAATCGATGTCCCAGGTCCCTGCTGCTAGCTGCCCCTATTTATTCGCCCATCACCACCCATTGGCTGCTGTGGTATCAGCCAAGTATCTTCTGTGTTATTTAAATAAAATTGCCTCTTTTTTTTAGAAATCACTCCGCTTTCACGGAATTCGTTGGGTTTTATTCTTCATCAGCTTGATAGATGTCCTGGTTTCGTCGCTTTAGCTTCTTGACATTGGGACTGGCGGGCACTTGAGCTGGCTCCTCCACTTTGGGAGATTCTCTGGATTCGATTGTTTCTTCTGGTTCCCCCTCCTCGGGCAGATCTATTACGTTGTTATCGATGTTATCTGCAGGTGTTGATACTGGAGATGGCAGGGTTAGGTTCAGTTTCCGCTTCGTAGGCGTAATCAGAGGTTTAGCCATTTCTTCCTCTAGCTGTTCCTCTTCAGCAAATTTGTTCGCTTTACCCTTTGTTTCTGCAGATTCCAATGCTGGTAAGTCCTTTCCATTTGCTAAAAGAACCAAACAAAGAGGATCGTCTATACCTAATGTCGCGCAAAAGGTATTGCTTTGGGGGTTGAGATGCACCTTTGGCTGGCCCACAACCATGTGCTTGTAGTTGGACTGCTCTTCGGGATCGAACGCTGGAACTGTGCGCTCAAAGTTGCTCGGTACCTGGAGTTTCTGAAACTTCACGGTCACTGCTTCAAGTTCCTCTTCGGTGGGCGTAAAGTTAAAGCGTTCTGTAAGTTCTCCCGCCTTTTTTCCCGGCAGGTAGTAGTAGTTCTCCTTAACAGAAATCAGATGGTTGGTGCTGTGCAAGATGGCTAGCCACTCGGCATCGTATTCAAGATGGGGACTGTCCTCAACTGGGTCACTTGGAATCTCCACCACTTGTAGGAAAGCTCGTCGCGGCAGGCATTTATCCAGAGCCAGAAATTTTGTCACGGGAACAGGTTTAAAGGCGCGCGACGTTGGAGCTACCTTTTTTTCCTTCTCCTCGTCTTCATCTTCACTGCTGCTACTGCTAGAGGACGAAGATCCATCAGCCTCTGACTTTTGGTTTTGATTATGCGGCACGAGGGCGGCAAATTTACAATGCAAATGAGCCGCAAACCAGTATGCCGGCTGTACTGCTTTCAGTAGCTCTTCCAGCGGCTTGCTTCCTAGCTTTCCGCTCTCCATGTCTGCTGCAAAAAAGGGTTTTCTTCGCAACAGCTGCGCCTTGTTACCGTACTCATAAATCCCACTGGGCCAGTCGTGGGAGAGAAATATATCCACTCGACCTGACAACTGCTTTAGCCGGAACACTTCCAGTTGCCGAACGTGATATACGCTTCGGCAAGTGGACTCCGAATAAGGTGGATATTCATGGTGCCCGCGCAAAAAGTCATGTCCCTTGAAGATGCCACTTATTCCAGCGATTCGAACTCCATTCACATTGACCACACCTGCATAGCCGAGGTAGTAGATATTGGGAGCCACCCAACCGCCGTAAGGAAGCTCCTGCAGGTAATTGGATGCCTCGTGGTTGCCGCCAATGAAAATGGTCAGCACGGGAGCCACCAGCTCTCCGCTGTAGTATCTGTAAAATTAAAATGATAACCCCAACGAATAGTTATTGAAACTATTTTAAATTACTTGTAGAAGGAGCACATGTCTAGATATTTCTTTGGAACCGCCATCGTCTGCAAATCCTCCAGGTTTCGGGTGGACTGGAAATCGCCGCAGCACAGCAGTAGGTCGATCTTGGTGCCACTTTCCTTTTCGATGGCCGCTATAGTGTCGTAGATCCTTTTTAGTTCGCCGTGGGCGCATCCTTCTATAGCAACTTTCATGGTAGTCACTTTTTATTTATAAAATGAGTTGTAAATAAACAAAAGACAATGCGGCGGCATACAAAAGAGTGTTGCTAAGAACATCGTAGTATTTAGAGATGATAGTGTTAAAAATACTTTTTATCGATAAATTTTGTTTCAGGCGGTAAATTCAAATATTGTTTTTTATCATTAATATTATTATACCCTTGCAGAGTATTATAATTTCAGTCAGAAGTTTGCAACGCAGTGAAGTAGACACGAAGAATCGAAATACAATATCTATAAAAACTTAAAAATAATAAACAGAATAAGTAAAGTAAATAGGTATTTCAGTTTTCAAACGTTAAAAATTGTTTTTTTTGTTTATTTTTCAAAAATATCGCTCCATTTAGTACAGAATATACGTGTATGTGTGTAAAGAAAATGTATGTGAAATGCTCTGCGTTTAATTCTCATTCTCTGACCTATATGCCATCATTTTTGGAGTACTGCGGGGGCGTGCTGGTGGGCACAATCTCATTACATGAGACCTTCTCGTCCTCGACATGTTTGTTTTTCGTTTCGTTTCGATTTTTTACATACAAAGATTTACAATGGACTTTTGACTTAAGTTATCATAATTTAGTTGGCCGCCATGGCCACGAAGTAGGAAATAAAAAATAAATCTACAATAAATATAGTGCGGTCTCGACGCCGTTCGAACGATCGACTTGAATAATGCAACAATCGATCGACGCTGCATGCATTGGTACACGGAGTGTACGAAAACCAGGAGAATGCCTTTAAAGTCATCATCAGCATGCCAGATGTGTTTTGTTTGATGTTTTTGTTAGTTTTTGGAAAGAATATGAGAAACAATCAAGTCAGAAATCGGACCAAGTCTCTGGTGATCTGGTCAATTCAGTTAATTAGGAGCCGAACTTAAAAGACGTGGGCACGGCGGTCTGTGGGAAGGCGAAGCCGCCCTGTTTCTCGATCAGCTTCGATTCCTTGGCGGCCTTTCGTTGGTCGGCGGTCACCACGACTTCCTGCAGCGCCTTGGCCTGCTCGGGCGTGAGGTTGGAGGTCAGCAGCGCATACCAAGCTTGGTCCTGTGCGGAAAGTGCTGTTGCGTAGAAAAGTTGGTATTAAATATATGTGTTAAAGCAAAGCACAAATTAATCTTTACCTGTAATAACTTCCTTAAACGTCCAGTACTCATCGATAGCGCTCTCATTCTCCTCATCATCGATGGGCGTGGTGAAGGACTCCAGTCCAGTCTCATTCAAATCACCCACAGACTCCTCCTCTTCGTCTTCCGAATCGGCATCCTCATCCTTAATCTCGGCCTTCACCTCGAAACCTGCCTCACCGCCCTTCGTCTTGGCAAACTCGGCCAGTTTGTCCAGATAGTCGGGGGCCATTTCATCCATATCATCCTCGTCACTGGACAAGGCCTCCTCGCAGTCCTCCCCATCCTCCTCCTCTTCTTCTTCCTCCTCCTCTTGAGCCCGAGACTCGTAGGCCCGCTTCAAGCCATCGAAAAGCAAAATGAGGGCAGGCACAATCTTGCTGGCCACCTCACTAAGCACTTGTGGCTTGGCTTCACCCAGGGAGATGAGAGTGCACAGTCCCAGAACGCACAGCTTGCGATCGTGAATGCTAAATAGGATGAGGAAATTAATAAACTAACTAACCTTTCAAAAAGTGTGCTCGTTCTTACCCTAGGAAACAGTCCGTGTCGTGCAGCCATTGCTTGATAAAGTGCGCGCTGATAGACTCATTGTTCTGCTGCGACATCTTGTCCAGGATGGAAAGCAGCAACTGGGGGTTATAGTAAAGTGCCGCAATCACTACCTGCAGGCACATGGTGCGCAGCTCCGAGGACTGGACCTCCCGGGTTAGCCGAGATAAAGCGAGCTCCACGAACATGTGTATCACTGAGTCGATCTGTCCCTTGCACTGCAGGATGATCACCTCCATCAGTTTGGCGGCATGGCACTCAGGATCTTCGCCGGGGCTGCCAGTTAGCATCTAAAGAACATAATCATTTGTTTAGGTTTGTGTGTTATATTACACAAAACTATGAATTCACCGTCTTGCACATGTCGAGAATGGCCAACAGCCTGTTGGGATTGGAAAGAAAGGCGGGCGTGTCGACTGTCACATAGTTATGCAACGCAGGCATAATGTCAATAAAGTAGTCGATGCCGTCCTTCTTGAAGACCTGGTAGATCAGCTCCAGCATTTGCCACATCTCGGGAGAGATGGCCTTAGCCGTCAGATCGTAGACCAGCGAGAAGGTTTCCTCATAAAAGTCTAAGTGAGAGACAACAAATTTACCATATATTCAAATAGTTTAAAGCCAACCCAACGTACCCGTGATGTTGTGCTGGAAAATGTGTCCGACCACATTAATAACGATCGGGTGCAGGTTGAGCAGGACATCGGGGTGTTCCTCCATCACACTGAGCAGAGTCTCGATCGTGTTAAGCAGACTCATGGCCGTGATGGCCTTCTCGTCGGATCCCTCTTCGGATTCCAGGACCTGGCTGAAAGTGGTGGCTAAATGCTGGCAGATTTCGGTGGCCACCGGCAGCAACTGCTCGGTGAATGTGCACACGATCTTTTGCATCACGTTGGTCAGATCCTCGTTCTCCGTCTCGCGGATAATGGTGAGCAGCTCCTTGGTGATCTCCTTGATCTGCCCCTCCACGTATTGCGGCGCCTCGTCCTGAGACGATAGGAACATCTGCAGGCCGATGGCAGCCTCCACCTTAACGGGCAGTTCCTTGTCCGTGAGCAGAGCGTTAGTGGTCAACCGCATAATCTCGGCCAGAACCTGGGGATTCTTGATTTGAACGTCACAGAAGTAGTGCACCACCCAGCAGGCACGCGCCCTCATGTGTCCCGCGGGGTTCTGGAATTCGGGGAACACGTAGGTGGTCAGCATGGACTCCACTTGATCACGGTATTGAGCCTTTTTCAGCAGCACGTCCGCTAGCGTTCCAATCATATGCAGAGCACCGTCCTTCTGCTTATTGTCTGCATTGGGGGACGTAATTATTTGCATGATTGTGGCCATGGCCTTCGGCAGGATGCCCTTTCGCTTCTTGCAGATCGTATGCAGCAAGGACTGGGCAGCCGGAACAGGAGTAGCATAGTCCTCAAAGATGTCTGGTAAGAAGAAGAGCGCAAAAGTTAGTAGGGCAGTTTTATTTATCCTAAAAGTTTTCTTACCAAACTTCAGGCGAATGTACTCATAAGGATCGCTCTCCCAGAGCTCCTGATCGGAGTCAGTGAACGACATGATGGGGAAAATCACATCCTGAATGACAGCCACCATGTGAGGCTTGATCAGCTTCCATGTGTAGGCATGGCTAACACTGCAAGAACGACATAACAAGAAAAAAGGTATTTTGGAAATTATTTTTTGTCTGCATCTGAACTTATTAAATTGCTGTATAGTTTTTATGAGCAAAGAAGCAAATTCTATCCAAATAACACAAGGGAATACTTGTTATAGCCATGGCTAAATCATTTTGGCAAAATAAAACCAATCCTAACTAATTGGAATCTACTTTTTAAATGCAGTTGTATGGGAAACATCTTATCAGTTATACACATTGCCGGACTTTTTACCTATCTGTGATTAGCTATGACCTACAGAGAACAAGACTTTCAGAAATTACTAAAATTAAGTTTGAAAAGCCTCAAAACAAGAGGGCAAAGTTTAATTTGGCTTGCTGCTGTGTTCGATTTGTCTAACATCTTCTCTAAAACTACAATTTATTTTACTCCAAAAGCTTTTTTTTTTTGCTTAAAACAAAAAAAACGAAGATACTCACGCATTTTTCAGATAGTTGAGAACATCGGTGAGGACACGTGGCGAGACGTAGACGCGGTTTCGGTACTGGTCGAGAATCTTGAGAAGTACCTCTAGGACACCCTGACTGAACGTTGGCAGATACCACTCGGCAAATTTTTGGTATTTTTCACTAACCACATTGCTGGGACTGCCATAGCTAAGGAAATATATGAAATATAAGTTATATAGAGTAAAAAAAAGACCTTCAATCAACTCACCGCTCAAACATGCGAACCATGATGTGGAGGGCCCACTTCTTGGTCTTCCAGTAGGGGAACTCCGTTCGCTCATCATCGTCCAAGTGCGAGCTGTCGGGCACGGCACGATCAGCAACCTGGCGACAGATTTCCATCCACTGCGAGAAGATCTCCTTCGTGATGAGGTCGAGCGGCAGGCTGTATTGCGTGAGGGCGTAGTAGATCTTGAGGATTTGCTTTTGCAGCAGCACCGATTGCTCGGACTGCTCGGCCAGCAGACGCACCATCAGCTGGTAGATCATGGGCAGTAGCAGGTTCATGGCCTCGTTCAGTGCAGTTCGCTCCTCGGTGCGCTTGTACTCGTAGGTCTTCACCAGCTGGTACATGGTCACTAGAGCTCCGTTCCAGCCGTTAACATCCTGGTTCTGCAGATAGATGCTGATGTTGTCCACCACCTGTGGCCAGCGGCCTGGGAAATCGCTTTTGATGATGTGATTCACGCATACGGCCAGTTGGACCCTGTTTAGAGAAGGAAATTAGTTTCCTGAAAGGGACTCTCAATGTGCAAAATGTACCTGATCAGCTCGGGCGCATGCACGATGGCATCGACGATAGCGCCACGGATCATGGCCCGATCCTGCTCGTGAATAGAGAAGGGTATGGGCTCCCCAGGCTTGGCCTCGTGATCTGACCAACTGCTGTTGATCAGATTCTTTAGGTAGACAGCGCCTGCCTGCCGCACCGGCTGCTCCACCGTCGTCTGCATCACGATCTGCAGTATGGTGGGCACGAATCCAATGATTTTGTGTATCTGTAATATTTATAATGTATAATCAAAAAGTATTGAATGTATGGGATTTGTTTACACAGCTGTTGGCTGGGTGGGGTTAAGTTTGATTTGGTCAAGGAATCGATGGCAGAAACACTTTAAATTCTGCTCACAGAGCTCAATTTATATGGAGGAGCCAAGAGTTGTTGCTGGCCATAAATGCTGATAAAGTTAATTAACGCAGGGGGCGGTGAGAGGAGGTTGGGAGGGGCATGCAAATCGTTAGATGCTGACTCAGTCGTAATGAGCATGCCTCTACAGTGGGTCTAAAGCAATTGGTTTCCAAGGGAGGGGTCTAATTAGACTGGTCGTTCTGATTGGGCACATTTAATTCCAAAAGGAATTGCGTAAGCTCTAATTAAATGGGAATTTTTCGATATTTGCTAGGGATTAATTTATGATGTATGAACAAATCAATTGATTTCTGAAGAATTAAATTAAAACCACAATGCAACTGTATATATTATATATATGACATAGATATATATACATACATACTTGTTGCCTTTGGTTGACAAAATAGAAGTTGGTGTAAACTGGCAAACAGATAGAGGGTAAACTTTCTGACCGATATCGGTTTACACTACCCCACACCCACACAAACGTACAAAGTGCACAACAAGGGAGAGAGGGAGGTTAAAAGCGAACAATTAAAAAAGCACATGGTTTTAGACGATGGCGCCACCTCGAAGACCTTCCGAAATTCGTGATTTTATTTTCCTGAGGGGACGAATTTACCTGGGCCAGTTGATCCTCGGCTGCCTTCCGCTGCTCCGGATTCGGATCAATAGTTGCGCGCAACAGTTCCGTGAGTTTTTGTGCCTCCATTTTTGCGATTTACACTTTCGACTACTTCCACGTTTCGCCGGTCTTTCTGCTGCTCGTCGTCTGGCGGTCACCTTGCGCCCACTGTGCAACCCTCGCTTTGCGTGGTTCCTGGTTATCGTGTTCGACTTGTCGCCGCACAAAGTGGCTCCTAATGCGGGGGCCCAATTGCAAATCTCTTTTCCGGAGGAAAAAACGTGGAAAAGGCTCCACACGCGCACACACACACCGCCGAAATTCGCGAGACGAACGAAGCGTGTAGAAGAAGCAGCGACAGCTGTGTTGAATAGCGCCGCGGCTGAGGGCGCGAATAGTGCTGCAAAACACTATCCTTTAGCTTTTAACCGATAAACATAGATTCTGTTAAAGTGATTCGCCCATCGTTTTATATCTCATAACAATACAGTTTTATTAAAGAAATGATATATTGCTTACTAGGAATTATAAAAGAACCAATCACAATCAGACCATCAGAGGTTACGCTTATACAATGCAAGCGCGGTGTCTTTATAGTTTAAAGAAATAAATGTCTCAATAAAAATTTTGAATTAAAAAAAATATAAAATTGTATTGTAGCTACATTTGATTATTAACTCTTAGATAATTTTCTTTAAAATTAATTTTAAAAATATCCCTATCCATTGCCCTTTTCCAAAAACAACTTCCGAATAATCGCCATTCAGCCCGAACTGCCTAATTTTTGCAGCCCTGGCAGCTGCTCGTAAGTGAACACGCGAATGTGTGTGTGACGAAGAGCAAAGTGACACATCGTTGGCGGAGGTGTGGTTGAAAATATATAGAAATCTGTGTTTATCTGCTGCAGGAACGATCTCAAATCGGTGTCAACGGGGACCGCGGTACGCAACTCACAAGCTTAAACCAGCAGCAAGGCAAAATAACGAGCAGCGACCATGGCAGGAAGGCTACCGGCATGCGTAATCGATGTGGGCACCGGGTAAGTTTTTTGGTTTCGATTGCCCGCGGTGGTCTTCGTTTCCAATTGGACGAAAAAGAGGTTGTCTGACTAATACTGAATGATTGCAAATTTGTAGCTACTCCAAGCTGGGATTTGCCGGCAATAAGGAGCCCCAGTTTATCATTCCCTCAGCCATTGCCATTAAGGAGTCGGCCAGAGTGGGCGACACCAATACAAGGCGCATCACAAAGGGCATCGAAGACCTGGACTTCTTCATCGGAGATGAGGCCTTTGATGCCACCGGTTACTCCATCAAGGTAAGCAATCTTTACCGATGATTATAAGCCGACACCATCACCTTTATCTGGAAATTCCTTCAGTATCCGGTGCGTCATGGTCTTGTGGAGGACTGGGACTTGATGGAGCGCTTCCTGGAGCAGTGTGTCTTCAAGTATCTGCGCGCCGAACCCGAGGACCACTACTTCCTGCTTACTGAGCCGCCTCTAAATACCCCTGAGAATCGGGAATATACGGCAGAGATTATGTTCGAAACATTTAACGTTCCTGGTTTGTACATTGCTGTCCAAGCGGTGCTCGCTTTGGCCGCCAGTTGGGCCTCCCGGTCCGCCGAGGAGCGCACTCTAACAGGCATCGTGGTGGACAGTGGCGATGGAGTGACGCACGTCATACCCGTGGTAAATAGCCCAGCCCTTATCTTATCAGCAGAGTTGTGTTTGTAATAGCTACAGTGAATGCTCGAATGGGGAGAAAGAGCTAATTGGATTTTTAGGGTTTTCTCGTTTTTGTTGGTCGATAAAATCATTCCGTATTATCGGTGAAATGATTTACGGGGTCTTCCGTTATCTTCAAAACAAATTTCCAAAATAGAATTCGACAAGAAATATTCCAATAAAAAATGTTAAGTGTTATGGTTTAATTTATAAAAAAAAAACTTTGTTTATTTCATTATAATTGATCTACCTTACTTTCTTTTTCAGGCCGAAGGCTACGTGATCGGCTCCTGCATCAAGCACATCCCCATTGCTGGACGCAACATCACCTCTTTTATCCAAAGCTTGCTGCGCGAAAGGGAGGTGGGCATTCCACCGGAACAGAGTCTCGAGACTGCCAAAGCGATTAAGGAGAAGCACTGCTACATCTGTCCGGATATCGCCAAAGAATTTGCCAAGTACGATACGGAGCCGGGCAAGTGGATTCGCAACTTTACGGGTGTGAATACGGTGACCAAGGCGCCATTCAATGTGGACGTTGGCTACGAGCGCTTCCTTGGACCCGAGATCTTCTTCCATCCAGAGTTCTCGAACCCCGACTTCACTATTCCGCTGTCGGAGATTGTGGATAATGTTATCCAGAACTGTCCCATCGATGTACGACGTCCGCTGTACAACAACATTGTCCTCAGCGGAGGATCCACAATGTTCAAGGACTTTGGCAGGAGGTTGCAGCGAGATATTAAGCGATCGGTGGATACGCGTCTCCGGATCAGCGAGAATTTGTCCGAGGGACGCATCAAGGTGAGTGCTGGCATTTTGGAAAATGAGTCATAATTCTAACTATGTTTTGTTATAGCCAAAACCAATTGATGTTCAGGTGATTACGCATCACATGCAGCGGTACGCCGTGTGGTTTGGAGGTAGCATGTTGGCCTCGACGGTAAGTAGAAGTACCTGGATCCCCTGAGTAAATTGTAATTGGTTTCCTTTTGAAAATTTTAGCCCGAGTTCTATCAGGTGTGTCACACAAAGGCCGCCTATGAAGAGTATGGGCCCAGCATTTGCCGTCACAATCCCGTCTTCGGCACCATGACATAATTGATACGATTCAATCGGCCTGCAGCAGTTATTATTAATACATTTTTCTAATTTAAATTTGATTTCTTTTTCAACCATATATATTGCGATTATGTATTCCACGCTAAAGTATTCTTTTCTATACGTGTTTAGCTCTTAACTCTGTGTAAACCATTTTCGTTCTCTTTAATTTCGTGTGATTATGTTACTCTAACTTTATAGCAACAACACTGATGTCTGCCAGTTAAAGCCAGCTAATTAAGGTGCATTATTTCTAGAAGTCGTCTTTTATACTATACCCAAACACGATCACATACAGTCACACCAAACAAAGCTCTTGGAAATCCCAGCTCTATACACAATTATATACGAAAAAACTCTACTTGTCAAAGAAATATTTATAATTGCAATAAATGCAAAAAGGTTTACAGAAAGACAAATGGAGAAACCGCAGAAAACTGAATGAACAAAAAAGGAAAACGATAAGAAATATTGATGAGAAATCTGTTTGTTATATTGATAAGCGTAATTGAAAAGGCATTAAATAAATCAATAAAACATTCTTTAAGCTCAACACTGTCGCCGCCTTTGATCTAAAGCTTGTACTGGAAAATTTTATTCAATGCATAAGTTCATATGTTTTGTATGTGTTCAAATTGCTCTAATATATATATGTATATATATGTCGTATGTTCCAATTTTGTGATGGTGTTGCTTAGCTGAAAGAATAGCAAAAGGTGGTTTTCAAAAAACGCGTTCTAGGTCACAAATCCGACCAAATTTTATACGTTTCACGTAATTGACAAATTGACTAGTCAGCGTAATCGCTGGAGCCCTCCTCTTCGTCGTTGCTGCTCGTGGACTGCGCCGCCGCCGTTTCCGGTGACCGCAAATGCTCGGCGATTCGGAAGTTCTGCAGGAAGTCCCGCATGGCGTCCATCATTAGAGTGAGCGACTGCTGCAAGCCGGCTTCTGAAACATTTTTGAGGTTGATTTGTTAACTTGATATTGTGCTTGTGCTTCCTTTTGTATTAAAAAAAACTTAAAGATTTGAACAGTCCCGACAACCGAAACAAATAAAGACAAAGAGGAAACACCTAGTTTCGGAAAGAACATTGCCAAAATATGGTCATGAATTAAGAAATTATTAAAGTTACAAATCTTGACATAATTTACGAGCCATTTTCTGAGATGATACGTTGTAAAATCCTAATCGTTTTTAATTAAGAAGTACTCATACGAACCTTCTGCTTCACGAATAGCTCCTGCTACTCCAGCAGCTCCTGCTTCAATGTCCGCCTCAATATTAGCATCAGCTGGAGCGGCGCCTGCTGCTGGTGCTGCTCCTGCCTCCTGCGGCTGGCCAGCTTGTGCCAGGTTGTTGATGTTGAACGAAGGCAAGAGCGACTGGAAAAACATTGATACGGAATTGTTCGTGTTCGTTGTGGGGCTGCTGCTCGACGAGGATTTTCTGAAAGGAATTGATCTCTTAATGTTTTTGTTCTGCAGCACATAGTTTAAAAAGATGGAAATATTCTTTTGAGATACGCTACTCACCGTTGATAGCAATTAACGCTGTTCGGTGGCGGCAGTGGATCGTAGGTCATAATGGCTTGCTTCTCCTTGGAAACGAAAACGGCCAGTGGCACCTTCTCTTTGTAATCGGAGAGGATCACGTGCCGCAGGATGGGCCTCGGTGGGGTACCACTGTACCGCAGTGATCGCTTTTCCTTGTATTCATTCACCAGGGGGTCCTTTGCGTCGATGCGATCGAGGACTGCATTAACGTTGGATTCCAGCCAGGGCAGCACCTCGTTCTGTCGCCAAACGACTCGGGCACGGCACACATACAGGCACACCAGCTGATGCAGTGCTGGTGATTGACTGGTGGGCAAGATAAGGCATTAGACTCCGCTAATCATCGAGGCAGATAAGACTCCACTTACTTGCCCGACACATCCGCAAAGAAGTACGACGAGGCCAGCACACGTTTGTCCGTCTGCACGGACATCTCGTCCAGCAAAGGACGAAGTACACCCGGGAACATGAGCAGCGCGTACTTAAGCGCCTGGTTGGAGCGCTCACAGGCGCCGTGGAGCGTATGCAGAGCCAAAGCGTAAGAGTAGGCCATGTTCGGCAGCTGGTTGAGGTTCCTGGCTGCATTGTACTCCTCGTAGAACTCCACTAACCATCCGAATTGTTTGCTGCGCAGAGCGTAGTAGTCTATGACCAGAATCATGGCAAGGGGATCCGTGTCCGGCTGCAGACTGAGTAGCAGTTTGGAGATCTCAAAGGCTGTGCGGCTGCAGGCTCGCTCCTCCAAGTATTGTGCGTGCTTGAAGAGCACTATGTAGAAGGAACGGTTCTCCTGGCGGCGGTAGTCCAAGCGACAGTTTCCAGACGTGAGGCTAAAATTGATGTGCAGCGAAGACTCCAAAAGAAGAAGGGCTCGTTCCAGCAGCTCGGAGGCCAGGGCAAAGTCCTCGGTCATCTTGCACACCTCGCTTAGCTGGACCAAGGAGTCGACATGATAGGGGCAGCGTTTGATCAGAGTTATAAGGAATTCCGAGTCAATGCGCTCCAGGGCGGACAAGAACATGTGCTGAACTCCCTGGTAGTATTGACTATGCTCGAAGGCGAACCACTGGACTTCAGACCCGCTGTCCATGATGGATTTTGACGAACCCGATGGCGAGTCTGGGGTGGGCAGCAGCTTCATGGTGATGGTGTTTTTGGTCAGTGCCGGCCACGATTCCTTGGCGGTAACCATGTAGGTGGACTTCAGTGTTGGCTTCTGCCTGCCGCGCTTGGTTCTAAAAAAAAAGGGACAGCTTTACTTTGAAACTTAGCAAGGGTTAATAAAATTAATGTTAGTCGAGGTTTCGTATCACAAATCAATTAATTATTGAGATGTCAATGAAATGACTAATTACTAGTCTATCAGGTCTACATCCAATATACAAAATTCAACCTTCAACCTGATGTTGGGGATTTGATTGAGATGATGTTAGAATGCTGGCATCTTAATTAGGTAGTTCGAAAGTCGAACAGGAAATATGTGTCATTCTGGACGAATTACTACGAGTTCAGAGGTATCTTAAAGCCGCACTTACTCGACTTTAACCACCCGCTTGCCAAACGTGCGTCGCATCTCGTTTTGGGGGTTCAGATGGCGTAGCTCCACGGCCAATAGTTTTTTGGTGGCTGAGCTACTAGCTGCTGCTGAGGATGCCACCTGTTTCGCCGATTGCCTGGGCACCGCATCGTAGACCTTGCCAAGCAGCGGATCCACCTTTTCGAAGTACTTGTCCTGGCGCTCATTGTCCTCGCTGCTGATGTGGTTGCCACTGGACTTGGCCTTCTTCTTGCGCTTCTTTTTCTTCTTTTTGGCAGCGGAGGCAGTGGCATTGGGCAAAGCAGCCGAAGGGTGCTCCGTTTCGTTGTCGTCCTCCTTAAACTCACTCTCCGACAGACTTAGACCGGGCTGATTGAGCTGGAAAAAGGAATTACGTGGTGGAATCTCCGATGAGCTGGCGATCAAAATCCCTAGCTTACCAAATCGAATGGATTCAGGTGCGATTTGCGGTCGCTTCTCATGTCGCTGTCGTCCAGTTCGTCATTGTCGGTCAGCTCCTCGCAATCCTCATCCTCCGGCGGCGGAGCCAGTATATCAGCATCGCCCTGCAGCTTCTTCAGCATTCTTGCAGACATCTTGTAGCTGTCTTTATATTTTTATGCCGGAATTCTATTTATTTTCGTCGCAGAATACGTGTGTATTTCTTGTTTTTTTCTGCGCTGGATTCCCAGTCGCACATCTGCAGGGTTGTCGAGCTCTCGGTGGCAGAAAGTGTTTCGCAACACTGGCCGAGACAGGTGGTCACGTCTTGGCGGGACTAGAAAACTTTTTTAAATCTTGGTAAGTGCCTGGTAGGAAATCCAAGGTATATATGGTTGCGAGGAATAAATACAGTTATTGCATTTAAAATGGGAATTGTTTTGACGTACTTTGCAATTGTTCAGCTTGATGTTCTTGGGTTATTTTTCTACAGAAATTTTGAAGCTAAATAACTTTGACAAAGAGTCACAATTAGGTTGCCGAAACAAATGATTTCAAACTAGTATCTCTCAGAACACCCGGAACCATTCAAAAATAGTATCTTATTTTATTTCTTTAAGTTTAACTGTTTACTGAAATGTTCATTTAGATATAAAAAAAACTTTTTTTGTTTATTTGATTTCTATTAACCTCTAATATTTACACCCATACAAGAGAGAAATCAAAACGAGAAACCGAAAAGACTTAAATTGAAATTGTTTTAATTGACAACAAATTTTCTTACAATTTGTGCCTAGTAGGCTTAGTACCGAAAATGCCAGGATGAATAGTTTACAAATAGTTCTTGCCGTAGAAAGCGCCTACGACGGCGGCCAAGATGATGAGAATGAAGGTAACAAAGTTGAATAAAGTTGTGCTTCCTTGGCGCCGACGAACCATCATCCCCTGGCCAGATTCAGATCCAATCGTCTGGTCACGCATGGTGTCGATCTCCTCCTTAAGGGCCAGACGCTCGTCCTCCAGCATGCTGACCTGCTTGAGCAACTTGGCCACCGGCTCGGTGACCTCCTGGGCATCGAACTGGTGGTCCTCGCACTGTTTTTTGTCCCTGGCGGTTGAGCCACCACCTCCCGCAACGCGGATCTCCCCATGTTCACCCTTCAAATCGACCAGCTCACATTTGATCTTGGTGTCCCAAAGGTCCTCCGGTTTCTGCTGCTTCCAAAACTCTTGCATTTCGCCCATGTCGTCAGTTGCATTAGCCGCCAGCAGCAGGAACTTGTGGCGGTTTTGCAACGGCTCCTGGGCTGTCGGCTGCATGAAGATGTCCACGATAACCTTTTCTCCAGGCCCCAAGACTCCGATGTTGGGACGCACGAAGAAAAGCTTTGGAGAAGTGGTCTTCATCTTGAAGGCAACGCGCTGCGACTCACTGGGATTCGCGATGACCAGCTTCTTGCACACTGTACGATTGAAGGGTCCCTCGAAGAGGATCCCATCGCATGGCTCCAGGTTCAACTTGCTTGCGATTTTATCGGTCATCTTTGAATGTTTCTACTGTTTTTAGATTCGAAAGCGTTGTAAGAAAATGTGGGTCCGAAATATTTAAAAATCGGTACCAATTTAACAATCCCAGAGGTCACACTTGATTTGACAGAGACGTAAAAGTGAGGAAAAAGAATCGAGTACTTGACAAAACACGTTTTAGCGCTAGGTTGAAAGTTCGAAACTGGTTCGATAACAAAATGATACGCAACTTTGTCATTTTAGCACCTATTAAGTGTACTTTACAAAACTAAATTTTTTTTAATTTCTTCAATTTAAAATTGAAAGTAATTTCAGAGTTGATTTCAGAAGACTCATACCTGAAAATGGATTGCAATAAAATAAAAAAAAAATCCACCATGCTCATCGAGGACATTAGTTTAAATTGAGGCTCGGAATAACAAAAACGTTTTGATTCGTCAGTTCGTTCGGTTTTATTGTGATTTGATTTCTTTCATATTTACAAAAATTCGATTGTCTTGTGCGGTTGAGTGTGGATAAGGTGGCGGTCCTTACCAAAAGATCATGCGCCCAGCATTCGGGGAGGTAGCCTTGGACAGAATAATACCCGACAATTCTTCATCCTCCAGTTCGTTACTGTTTCGATTGGAAGGGAAGGGACAGGTGAAATACAAATTAAAATTGTGATGGGCAGGACTCTTTCGTTTTGTAAAATTATATACACGTTTATTAGTTTTGCTAATCGCTTTGTTTGATTGTTTATTTTTGTTGTTTTGCAATAAATAACAATGAATGTTGGTTGTCGAGACAGCGGATGCTGAGTGGGCATCGGTATTGATCACGGTGCGATGATGGGTTTTTCGAATTCGATTCGATTCGGAGGATGGGTGCTTTGTGGGCGGGTGGTTTACAACTGGCACAACGATAACAACAGTTACAACGGATTGCGCTAGCCAATTTCGCTTTTATGGTCTACAAATAAAGTCCAGGCGGATATAGAGAAAGAAAAGAGGTGGAAGAAAAGAAAGTGATAATATATTTACAAATAAAACATTTCGGATTCTATTAGCGGCACAAACACAAAAGTCAAATACTAAACGCAACAAAAACATAACACAAAACGTAAAATCGGGATGTGGACATGCGATTGATGATAAGTATGCACTGATAAAGCAGGGGAAGGGGTCTATCATTGGTCCAATAATACACATTTCGTTTTAATTAAGTCACATTTTATTTCTTTTGTTGTTTTTCGTTTTTTTCGGTTTTCGTTTTTAACTTTAGGCACTATTTAAATATTAAATATATATTGCAGAAATCAATAAAAATATGCCTTAAAAACTCTTGCGCTAAAAATTAGGTTTTGTACAGCATGTAGTTGTAAAAATTTTGCATTAAGTAAATTTCGAATATACGTAGTTCAATTATCACTTAAATATTTTCATTTTAAGCCACATGGGTTAATTTAAAGTTTTGCAATTTCTAATTTACGCTTGCGGACGGTTACAAGAACATATTGCATACGCGAGAAATGTACAATTTTTAAACATATTAATTATAAATAGCATACTAAATATAGGGTGTTTTTCTTTTATTTTTTCCAATGTATTTTTGTTTCTTGTAATGTTTAAAATTAGTTCGTTTTTTTTTGTTTTGTGGTTCTATAAATTAGGTTTCGTATTTATGCAGTCGTTAATTGTGTTTTTCTTTCCATAAAATAATTTTTGCCGTTTAAATTCGCTTTCTTTACCTCAAAAAATTAATTATCAAAATCAACAACTAATCACAAGGCAAATAGAGTTTGTAGAGAGAAATTGGAGGGAGGTAGGGGCGTTCGAATATACTTCTTGTAAAATTTGGGCAACGCAGGCGAGTTTTAGTGGATGCTTAGCGTAACGAGTTGAGTCAACGAGTGGCGAGTAAAAATAGCTAGCGAGTACCAACACCAGAATAAGAGAAGTAGAGAGGCAGCGAGTGGTGTGAGAGAGAGGTAGAGGGGTTGTGCAGGGGTCCCTTGGGGCTGGGGGATGTGAATAAGTGAATGATCGCATGAGATTCTTTTTAAATGGCACAAATGCAGCGAGTAACGGGTTAGCAGGCATTTAGTGGGCAAGTATCTAAAGCCACCTTTTCGCAATCTGATTTTTTATTATAAAAGTTATCATGAAAAAAAAAACGTATTGATCGAAATCAATTTAAGTGTTAAAAAAAAAGTTGTTTAAAAATCAGTTTGTGAAAAGGTGGCTGAAATTGATATGAAGCAGACAGCGAGTGACGAGCGACGAGTGGGGACAGCGTGTCCCGGTCTTCTTCGTCTGTTCGCCTCCTCGTTATGGCTTACTTTTTCATCAGCGAGCGGACCTTCTTCATCGTTCGATTAAAGATTGTCTTGTTGTTTCCCCCAGCACTGTAGTTGGAGCCCAGCGACGAGTTGGAGGTCTTGTTGCTGCTCAAGCTGGCTCCGCGATGGACCGAAGCCGATGCCCTCTGTTGGTTGCCGTGTCGCAAACACCCGCTATCCGACTGATCCTCCCGCTCACTTTCCGTCGCACTCACACCCTCGGGACTCTGACGTTCCCTGACTCGCTCTCTCGCTGGTTGTGGTGGTCTTTCCGGAGTGGGCGATTTCGAGGAGGAGCTGGTGTCCCTTCGCTGGGGTTGCGGAGTCATTGGAATGACCAGATTCTGCATGCTCTGCGTTCCATCAGCGAGTTCGATACTCGGTGGTAGTAATTCCGCAAGGGTCTGCTTGCTGAGGATGTGGTCTAGACTTCGCGACTTCCTGTGCTGCTGCACATTCGCCGGGGGGGATAGGGTGTGCTTCTCGCGCCGCGTCACCGAATCACTGAGGGGAACCACTTCGGCCTCCTCTTCTTCGGGTTGAAGGGTGCTTGTGGAGCTGGCATTCGTCAGAGCTGTGCTCCCCGCCGTCACCTTGGCCGCTGCTGCTGCTATCCGTTGGTCGGGAGTTGAGCCCGCCTGGTCCAGCAACCCGTCCACGCTGTGCGATCGATAGCCACTGCCCATGCCGGTGCCCGCTCCATGGCCCAGACCCGCCGCCGAACTTCTCCTGGGCGGCAGATACGCCAGCGGTGTCATGTTCTGCATCGAGGCCGATCCTGCCCCGGACTTGTGGAGCAGGGCCGCCTGCTGGGTGCGATAGGGTGTGAGGATCTGGGAGCGCTTCGATGGCGCCCGTGAGTAGCTGCTCAGCTGGGAGGTGCTGCCCCGTTGGCGGGCCGGCGAGGGGGATTGGCGGTACCTATTTGCCTGGTGATTAGCTGTGCGCGAGACGGCAATTCAAGCGATTTCGAGTGTGTGGCAATCAGAATTAAATCAATTATTAATTGGTAAGAGTAAAGAGTAATGGTCGTGGAGTAGTAGTAGGTTGTAATGGTTCGGGTGTTCGAGTGAGTAGGTGAGTGAGTGTATGGGTGGATAGAGAGTTGTACTAGAGAGTGTGACTTTGAGGATCTCTGCTTAAGCCTAGAACATTATATTCGAGTTGGCTAGCTCTGTAAGACTTTAGCTTAACTTGGCTCACTCTACGCTGGAGCCGCTGGCGGACTCTGGCTAGAGCTTGAGCCTGGATTTGAGTTGGAGTTGGGAGTAGTAGAAGTAGTAGTTGTAGTACTCGTTGGCCCACCTTGTCCGCTGCCATTGGCCGCCGCCATCAGGCCATCCACCACACTGCCTGCGCCGCCGCCGCCACCACCGCCTGCTCCTCCAGTTCCCGCTCCGGATCCGCCTCCGTTCTGGTAATCGGAGTCGTTGCTGTGCATTCTTTGGTATGTGACCGAACCGGGGGTGCCCGGCACCATCGCCGCAATGCGATCGATATTCTTTTCGCCGCGCAAAAATCTGCCGCATCAGAAGAATGGGAATCGTTTAAGTTTTAGTTTGAAGTGATTCTGGTAATCGGGGTAATGGAGCTAAACCATCGTCCTAGTCCCAGTCTAATCCAGATCTAAATGCGTCGCTTAATGTACCTTTCGAGCTTATCGATGCATGCATCCTGGTAGTCGTGGATCCAATTGACGCCGTTGAAGTGCGCCACGCTGCGCATATCCTCGGGAAGTCGCTCCACCTCCGGCCAATCGAAGTGCTGGTCCATGATGGGTATGATGTTGCAGTTCGAGTTCAGGGCAGCCACGATTTCCTGCGTATCAGAAGTACATCCCCATTGAGTATCTCATGGTGGAAGGCGGTTAACCCTAGTTGAGATACTCACTCGATGCACCCAGTCCTTGCAGTCCTCGTCGTTGATGCAGCGGTGCAGAGCATCGGGGGTTAATACTAAGACAAAGTTTTTTGCCTGTCGAATACTGTTCAAGAGGCCGTTGTCGAACTTGCCCGCCTCCAGGCGCTCCACATCGATGAACACCGAGAAGCCACGCAGCTGCAGGTGAACCTTTAAAAGAAAAACCACAATCTAAATAAAAAACACTCTTTACAAAGATCAAAGCACACGCACCTTGAGCAGACTGGCCAGCTGGGAGCCATTGGAGCGCCTGTAGCTAACAAACACGTCCAGTGTCTTGGCCATGTTCTCCTCCGAGGAGCTGGGCAGCGAGTTCTCCAGGTTCTTGACCGCATTGAGAATGCGCAGGCGGTGGATCGAATTGTGGATGCCGCACTCGGTCATTAGCATGTCCTCGTTGACGTGCGGCAATGCGCACTTATCGATGCCAGCATTCAGCATGGCGTACGTGTATGTGCAGTAATCAACGCCGATCTCCGAGAGAAACTGGTGCATCTTGGCCGTGTCCTTCGATGAGTAGTCAGCCATCCGTTTGAGATTTTGCAGCTCGCGTTCGAAACGCTTCAGTAGGATTCCGTTGGCGATGCCAATGTCCGCCCGCAGGTTGTCGTGGTTGAGCTTCAGCAGCAGATCGCCGTCCACCTGGGACTCGTTGAACTTTTCGATGTAGTCGTTGAATCCGATCTGCTTCACCCACTCCTGCACATCCTCCACGGACCACAGCGGCACCTGCTGCGACAGCTTGTGCGGCACCGTCTCTCCGATTAATCTCAAGGCTTGGGCGGCGAACTTGGAGGCGATAGCATTCGGGCAGCTGGCCACCGTTTTCAGAGCTTCGATGGCGTGGATCTCCCGGAAGATGTCGGTGTTGCCCTGCTCCCGCTTAATGCCCGCCTCCATGCAGAAGTGGAAGGCGGCCAGGTTGCGCGCCTCCTCGCGATTCGAACTTAGAACCGGCACCAGTCTCTTCAGCCAGTGCTTGCTTTGACCGTGGGCATGGGCCAGATTGGAGCGGGCGAACGCCGAGGGATCGTGCGAGGTGACAAAGGGTTCCACCAAGTCCAGACAACCCGACTTCAACACCTCCGCCTCGATCTCCTTGTTGGCCACCAGCACAGCAATGGCCAGGCAGGCATAGTACTTGATGTTGTCATCGTTGTGGAAGGCCAATGGAAACAGCCACATGGGCACCTTGCGCAGGATCATCTCCTCCTGGTTCTCGGCTCCGCCGTACAGCGATAGATTCGCCAAGGCGCTGGCACAGTGACGCAGGGTCTCCAGGTCGCTGGTGCGGCACTCGAAGAGCACGGCATCCAGGCCACCCAGCCGTATCACATCCGAGCAGGTGCCCTCCGAGTGCTTGAACAGGTGCTCCAGTATGCCGGTGCCGACGCGCGAGTGCTCCATGTTCGAGTTCTTGGTGCAGACACAGGCCACGTTCACCACCTTGTCGAGGCCATTGTCGACCACATGCTTCCGGTTCTCGGTGGTCAGACACTGCTCGAGCAGCTGGGCGGAGGAGAACTGCAGATCGGGCTTGACGCAGTTCTTCATGAGCAGATCGAGGCCGCCGCTCTGGCGCAGCGAGTTGCACAGCGAGTAGCCCAGCTCGTGGCCGTGGGTGGGCACTGCCCAGGCCCTCCGGATGACCTCGTTGATCTTCTCCAGGTACTGCGACTTCTTGGCGCCCACATCGTAGTTCGCTATGGCACTGCCACCCCGCTCGTCCTCCTGCAGGGAGCTCACGATCGAGGTCAGCATGTTGGAATACTTGTTGATGGTCTGCTCGATCTCCTGCTGGCCACTGCCCGCCGTCAGAGACTTGAGGTCGTCCAACTTGAGATCGGAGAGCTTCACCATCTGGCCATTCATCGCCGACATTTGGGAGGAGCTGGTGATCATGCTGCTGCCGGTGCTCGAGACGCCCTTGTGCGACATCGAGTAGTTGGCCTGCGAGGCGGAGGACACGTGCTTCTCCTGGCTGATGATCCCGTTGGAGGTCATCGTCTGCGACTGCTGCGACTGCGAGATCGCCTTCTTGTCCGCGGAGAAGTTCTCGCTCTGCACCGTAATACTGGATGCGGCCACATTGTTGCTCGCCTGCTGTGTGATGTCGCCGGTGCGCAGCGAGAGAGCTTCCTGAAATTTTCAGATGGTCGACGGCAAGGGAAGAAGGTATAACAATTAGTATTGGAAAAAAAAATTCAATATATTTATGACATATTTTTGGGAATTTTCAATAACATGATGCAAACGTACAAATTCAATTGATATTTAACTGTTATACAACCCGTATAACAGAAGTAATGCTCTTATTCAACCCGTATAACAGAATGAATACTGTTATACAGAGAGAAAAATGTTTTTTTATTTATTTTAATTGTGTAAAAGAATTTAATTATGCCACCTACGCTTTTTTTTTAGTGTGACTGCATTCATAACGTACATACGTATAACACATTCAACAAGTATACCTGTTTTCATTTCGCTATAAACAATTACAGTATGTAATTAGCATTGCCTTGTTAAATAAATACTGTTCCTAAAACCCATCGTTTTAAACTATAATAAAACCCGGTCTTATCAACAAATAAACCCCCTAGGTCCCTAAAACTAGACTGAATCACAACGAATACGCCCCCTTCTCTGTTATACCTTGCTCTGCTCCACCTCGATGGGGATTTCGCGTACATTTTTCATTTGATTGCAGTTGTGGTTGTTGTTGTGATTGGGTGTTGTAATTGTCGAGTGGTTGGTGTTGTTGGGCGTTGCTGATGGTGGCAGTTGTTGTTGCTGTTGTTGTTGTTGCGGTGGTGTGGGCGGTGGAGGTGGCGACAGTGGACAGTTGCTAATTGGCTGTGGGGGCGGGTTAGAACTTTTACGTACTCTGGTATGAGAACTAGAACTCGACTGCGAGGACGAAGACGACGACGACGACGAGGAGGAGGACGAACAAGCGGAGGCTGTTGCTCCAGACATTCTGGCAGCGGACGCAGTGGACATGGTAGTGGCTGCCGTCCCACCCGCCACAACTTGAATGGGCTGCGGGGGCGGGGAGAGCGGTGAGCTGATCCCGAATCGATTGGGGGGCGTGGCCACCGGCGGAGGGGACAGCGGCATCTCCACAATGGGACTGGGCGATCGCGTGGGCGTGAAGTCCGACTGACCGCTCGAGCGGAAGATACCCTTGCGAACGGGCCAAGGCGCCTGATTGGACATTACTGCTCCCCGACAGAAAAAGAGGCGGCAGGCAGGTATTTCAATGCCAAAGTCGGTTCGGTAGTTGCTGATTATTCGGTTCCGTATACTATATATTCGAGAATATATGAATGCTGGCTGCTTCGCTCGCGTATTCCGTGTATTCCGTATATTATGTATATACTTTGTATTTTTATTTATTTTCATTCACATAAAAATAGCGCACAAATTGGCTGCGTCGACGTCGCCGTCACTTTCTCTGTGTGAGTTGTTTTTCTTTTGTTTCAGTGTATTTGGTTGTATCTATCTGTGTGTGACACTGACCGACTAATAGAACTTGTAATATATTCACAGTTAAATGGAAATTAACAAGGCACTTGACACAGCTTTTCTGTACAAAATGATGAAACTATACACATTGCAGGGCATGAAATGACCGAATCAGACACTTGTTGAGCCACATTTGCATATGAAAATGGGGAAAACTTAACGAAGGCAATTGGTAAAAGCTCACATAGCGTCGAAAGCGGTAGGCCATCTGTCGTTAGGTTTTCGATTTTCCGATTTTCAGCAATATTCTGTTGCGTTTTCACGGCTATTTCATCAGGATAAGCATTATTTTCAATTTCCAGTTATCAGTTATTGCATTTTTCAATATAGGAAGTTAACTTTAGCTTTCTAATTTTAATTTTGTAAAATAAACTTTGCCTTATCACACACTTGGTTTTATGAATTTAATTTCACCACTGAGTGTATTTAGTCTGCGAGATTTACAATATTTGAAGGTCGGTGTTTTCACAGGTTTCGTTTGCCGTTCCACCTGCGACAATACTATATTCTCATTCGTAAACAAAATCGCTGTATGTTTATTTTAAGTTTTAATTAGGAAGTCTTTGTCACTTGCTCTTTATTTGTATTTAGTAGGGTCGAGCCACAGTCACACGTCAGTTTCTTATATATGCCATCGATTATACGGTTCTGCTCTATTGTATAATCCAACTACGTATAATTCGATTTGCTGAAACGCTCGCGACGCTTGTCTATCTGCTACTGAGATCCGCGTATCGCTCTGAGGCGTTTTATTCAAAATAATTTCGAAAATAAAACAAAGAGAGCACAGCGATTTTGTTTTTGCTGTGGAACATACAAAAATTCGGAGCGTTGGCTCGTGGGAAATAAATCAAAAATAGGAGGAGGGATGAGGATGGGGGTGATCGGTCGGCAAGGTTCTCCCATTGCTCCATTTACTTCTCGGAAATAACTTGGGATGGTGCGTGCCGTTCCATGAGTTTCTTGCAATTGACGCAAATGTCCTAAGCCATTTGGATTGTTCGCCAATCCATAAAAATGATATCAAAGTATTTTCATTGGACTTTTTATGAATGTTTGAGCCCAGGCACTTGTTGGCTGCACATGGAGCGTGGCTGTCTGTCTGTTTGCCCAATATTTTGGCGCAGGGCCAAAGATAAGCACCCATTCAAATTGATGCCCTCGTGTGAGATTCGAAATATCTATGGATGGGATTGAGTTGGCATATACTTTATAAAGGGGATCTGTTTTGATGGACGATGTGTTGATAGAGTCTTGTGTGATGGATTTCCAAATTACTAAACGCATTATTGTTTTTCCAAGATTTCAATGGTTTTTGGCATACCGACAATCCTTGACATTTATAAGCCACCCCTCAGGAAATTAATTATCCCGTCATAAAATAATTAGAGCTAATATACGTATGCAAATCAACAATGATGTAATTTAGCCGCCCGACCAGCTGATTAGATAAAATCTGCGGTTGGAACTTTGTTTTTCCCCCGTATCATTGTAACCCAGGGTAACAGGTGTAATCGCGAAAATAACAAACAATGAATACTAATGCATATTTCAAGGTTCGTTGGTACCTGAACTTTTCGGAACATTCCGGTGGGTTTTTCCTTCTTGGACTTGCAGTAGTTCCGGATGAATTTCGGGCTCCCGAGGAGCAGGCACTTGTTTAGGAGCATTTCACATTACTTTCGCTTCAAGTGTTGCCCGCTTTTCGGCGCCAGACAATCGATTTTCTTTGCGCTATGAGTAAGCCGGAGTAGTTATCGGGTTGACGACTTTCACTTTTGGACAGTTTTCACCGCCGGACTGGGTTATTAACGCCTTGGCGCGCGTGTCCCTGATGCGACCTTAACATGCACGCGACGAACTCCCAACTGAAAGGAGTGCCATGGGCTAGCAGTTAGCGAAAGCTACCGAAGGGGATGACCACTGCTTGTTGGGGGTAACTCCCCCTTGGGGGCATGCCAAAAAGCTCCTAGCGAAAGCTCTTGTTTGGGGATGAGATTTCAAGGGAGAGTTCAATGACTACTTGCCATAGGTTATTAGCTTTGGTTTCGGGATTGGTTATAGGGTTGATTAAGTTGAATAAACCTGAATTTAAATTTTTAAATTAGATTTATAAGAAATCTACCAAAAAAATCAGATTTTATAAACATTACGCTTTTGCATCATATTATTGCTCGATTTATTGGTTGCCAGGACTAACCTTGATAACTGCTGCATTCTCCTCCGTTTTAACACCATCCATCTCCAACCGATTCCTCATCGCCGATGCACCCTTGCTTTCCTGATAGTCTATATCTCCGGCTTGGAGGCGCTTCATCGCCGCCGAGTTGCTGGTGGCCTGCTCGGAGCTGAAGCCATCGGTGACCACCTTGGTCTTCGACTCGGTCTTCATGCTCTTCTCCTGGAACTTGATCGTGTCGATGGTTTTGTTCGACCCGCTCAACCCACTGGCACTCAGCTGGGCGGCGGTGGGATGGCTGAGGTTCAGGCCGCTGCCAAAGTGGTTATGCGGGCAGTCGTCGTCATCCGGCATGGTCACGATCCCATTGCTGTCATCGTCGTCCACCAGGTTCTCGAACGAGGTGCGAAGTCTGTGAAGAAAAGAAGGTATGTTAAAAAACATGTATGAAAGATAAAGGTAATATAGGGGCGGTCCGAAAATTAGTAAACTCTGAGGTCAGATTAGCTCCAATTAACGCCTGATTGTTGTGTTTGCTAGCTCTTTTGGAAAGTCTTAAGAAAGACTACAAGACTAACAAATTAAACTTTCTTGTGGAGTGCTTATAAAGTATTAAAATTGTTCCAAAAATAGTTAATATATTCATTTCAAAGCGTAATAATATAAATAAAATGAATTGGGTATTATGTCTTGGTTGGGATGCGTATAAAAATAAAAACCCTTTAATCTCCAATTAGTTATAACAAATTTTTATGTTATAAACACAAACATTCGACAATGGGAATTTCTACTTTATGTGTCATTGATATAGATTCTTGGCTATCTGCTGACTTGCTGATGTTCAAATCGATAGGAGGTCTTTCCAACTAGTCACTATGGAAAATTCCATGGTGCACAAACCAAGTAGTCTTCACTCACTTCTTTTGCAGCTGGGTGATCTTGTCCTGGCTGCTGAGACCCCTGAGATCGTCGATCGAGGGATGAGCCGATGGGGGTTTGGGCGCCAGCCTGCTCGTCGTCGTCTGGGACATTGTGCTGGGCCCTGTGATCGCTGAGGTGGTGGTGATGGAGCCAGGTCCACCGGTGATCCGCTCCTTGGCCAGATCGTTGATTTCCGACATGGACTTCTGGATGTTTGTGAGATCGCGCTTGATTTCCGCCGCCTTCATCTCCGATGAGGTGGACAGAGCCTGGGTGGTTGAGGAGCTGGAGGATGAGGAGGTTATGTGGTGGTGCAGGCGCTGGGACTTCTTCTCCACCCGCGTCGTTGTGCTGCTGCTGCTGTTGACAACCTGGGGCGGGTAAACAAACCGAGGAATACAATTATAGAAACTCGAGTTATTTTCTGGCAGACACTCATCGGCGGAAAAATGCGAGGAATGTGCGGCTGTACAGAGACACATTTTCCCCTTTGCTCTGTGCAAATATTATATAGATATACGAATATATATACCGTACACATATTTATGTTTTACTGTCTGGCGCTATCTCCACTCGCATTTTATGGCCCCGGGCGCTTAACTTGGTCTTTATAAATCAAATGAGCCATTCGTTTTGGGATCGACATTTGTTTTGGCCGCTATATAGTATTTGCCTTTCATGGAGCTTACCCCTAAAAAGTAGATGGATGGTTCTCTTTATCTAAATTCCTCAATTCTGATAACTAACCAAATGCTTTATGGCACGGGGAAAAGTCTATTTGATTAGAAGTGACTCTCAGCAAATTACTTCATTGATCAGTTTTACAAACGCTCGAACAAAGCCATTGACCCTAGGTCAGTAAACTTGGCGATGCTCTCATCTGGCCTTAATTAGCTAGACGTGATTCTTTTAAATATATGTATTGTTAATTAATAATATCTATAGATATTATACAAGTCCCAGACACTCATAACTTTCTAGGAAAAACCCAAGGAGGAGGATTTTCTATTTATGGTTTTGTTGGCTGAAAAGCCACAGCTCGAAGTGTTTTGACAAATGTTGGCGTATTACGAATCAAATCTAATTTTGGCCAGGTTTCTGGCGTCTGCCATCAAGAGAAATAAGCGAAGAAGAAGCCCCAAAAGTCAAACAAGTTGAACAGTTGAACGTTAATATATACGCTTGAGTGGGCAGCGATCGGTTTATAAGGTGTTCTTCTGGTTGGGCAATAAAACATGTGCACACACATAAATCGAGAGCGATTTGAATGGGCGTTACGCATACGACATGTTGGCCAAAGCGAATAGCAAACATTTCGCACCCCCGTCGCTCTCTTTCCGGCTGACATAAACTTATCGGCAAGGTAACACTCTCAAGTACCCCTGATCAATAAATATTTCCCTTACAATTGCGGAGGGTGAAGGAGTTTGGCTTGGACATGAAATCAAAAGATTAGATAGCACTTGTGTTTCTTTTTTCCTCGATTTCTGCGTCATTTACTAAATTATCACAATGATGTTTTGTGCGGCGATCGGTGGGACTAACCTCTTTGGATCGTTTGTTTTAGCTCAGAGTTGGCAACTTCTTGGAAAACTCTGTTGCTTTCAATTGAATTTCATATTACGTATACGCCTCCGTTTTGATAAAGCACTTAACTCGGGCATATATAAACGTACGTTTGTATGGCTAAATAATCAGCTTGGGATGAGGGGCTTATCAGCCACAAACACACACGGCTATAGAAAACACATATATTATATTTTCATATGGATTTTTACTTTCTGCCCTCCACAATTTTCTATTTGCAGGACTTTTACTTTTTTTCACCCACTGACTTTTTGACTTTTCGTTGGTATTCTCTTTACTACTTTCGTTGTTCGTTGTGCGGTTGGATTTTATTTATTTGTGCAATACTGATAACAAAGAGAGTTCGTTTAATTGTTCGTTAATGGTCAAAAAACCCACGATTCTTTGCTCATTGATTTCGTTTCGGTACTCGTTGAGGAGCAATTTATTATAAAGATGATTTGTATTATGTTTCTTTTCTTTCGACGGCACACACGCTAGCAAAAAAGAACTACAGCAAAATTATTTCCGCCTCGGTTGAGTGTTTTTGCTATAGTATATCTTGAATTTCTTAGCGCGTCGCTGGTTCGTTCGTTTCGTTAACTAAAATAAAAATGAGCGCCGAGCACGAAATTTCTAGCTCCACAGGCAGCGTGGGAGCTTGGCGGCTCGAGAGCTTTCAGTTCTGCCGCGTCGCTGCCGGCGTCATTTTAAAGTGCGATCGACAAGCCACACTCAACAAAAAATATTAGAAAATTAATAGAGAGAATTTTTTTTAAATAAATTGAAAGTTTTTGTTAGGCAATATAGAACTAATTGCGCTGTTTTGGCTAAGCGATTCAAAACTGAAGTGATGGATCATCCCGATATCATTTTCAGAGATTTAAAAACAAATAGAATCATTTTAAATTTTTCGAAATATAGCTTATAATTTTAATTTTATATTTTCTGTGTAAAATGAGAGATAGTTAGGGAGAAAAAAGAGACAGAACCAAGCGGCTAAATGGCAACACATGTGATAGGTTGTGAGTGTGTTTGAGGAATTCTAGGAAATCAAATTGTAAATACAAGTCTGGGCGGCTCTCCCTCAGCTTTTGTGTGAGGTTCGTGTGTGTGTATTTATTTTCGCCGTGTTTCCCTTCGTTTAATCTTTAATTTATGCCGTGAATAATTTGCATTTCCATAATTCAGCTGCTAAGTCGCGCTCGGTTCACGTTTCTGTTTAAGCTTTTCAAGCTTTAGATTCTCTAATTAACGAGTTCTCGGCTTTCCGATTTTTATTTTGTTTTTTTTCTTTTTTTCCCCTGATTTTCTGATTCAAGCTACTCGAAGATTGTATCTCGTTCTGCTCACTTCAATTTGCGATGTTTACTTTTCTGATTACCGCGGGACTTTTTACTGAGAGAGTGAGCCAAAGAGCTTTGTTTTGTTTCCGTTTAGTATTTGAATAATTGGGTGTTAATCTATGCAAAATCATTCAGCAAATTTGCTTAGCCTTTATAATATTTTAATTATCATTGAGGCTGTTAAGCTTGTCTAATAGAAATAAATGCGTTTTAAATGGATTTAAACACCATTATAAAGAATAACTGGTTTTTACAGCAGTTTTTTTCCGAGTTTTACATATTTTAGTAACTGCTACTCATAATCTATTTAAACAGATATGTATTTAAATAAAGATCTGCTATCTATATCAATGCTTTATCATACTTTACACCGCGTCATATTCTTTCAATCATTTAGTTTACCTCAACAAGTTCTGCGAAAGGCAAATCATATCAATAGCTAACCACCTAAAATAAAGCTTTTTTCTTCAGAAAACCTTAATTGTCATGCCTGGTGAAAAAACCAATTCGCCGAACAAACGGGTAATTTGTGTCATATTCTATTGAATCTGAATGAATTTGGCCCAGGCGAATCGAGATCTACAAATATATGTATGTGCACCCAGATGTTGAACTCTTGGTAGGGGGAAATCACATAAATATCACGTCGCGATGATGATGCTTGTTAAACTTGGACCACAAACACACAATCTCAGACAGAACCAGGATGTAAACAGATAACGAGTCTATCAGAACGATTCACGAATCACGAATCGCAATTGGGGAAGTGGGGAATACGGGGCGTATGAAACCGGACGGAATCCGAGGCGCTCTGCTCCGCTGACGTAGAATTCGATGGCGACGAAGTGTGCCGGTTGCCGGCAAGTGACTCAGCCTCCATTTAAAGCGAGTCAATAAGAGACGACGAAGAATGTGCTTTATATAAAGATACCCTACAATAAAAGGGAGCATATTGATAAGATGATGGGCTAAAACGAGTTATAGAAAATGTGCAACCGTTTAGAGATACTTTTCTCTGTTTTATATTTAAAACTTAAGTATACTTTGCACATACAAAGTGACATATGTATAACATTATCTTTAATAGAGAGTATCTTTTCTTTTTAATTAAAATTTTCGTTTGTTTTAGCGGGAAAGATGTTCAAACATTTGCGTCAGTCACCGCAGCGCTTAACTAGCCGGCAAAATGTGTCATCAACTTTTTACAAAGCAAATTACTTCTCTGTCTACCTTGTTTATAAAGTGTCAAGTTCTAATTTAGTAAATTAAATAAAGTGGGAATAATGCTCGATCAGGTCAGGGGCTATTTTTGACACATGAATGGTCAACGCAGAGGAACTTGAGCTTGATTTCAACAGGTCAAAAATATTTTTATGCCCAGTTTGATAACAAAAAGATCAGATAGTAATTTTGCAAAGTAAAAATTGTAAAATTTTGATGGACGACAGGCCTATAAATTCAAATGGGTCAGTATCTATTTTTGGCCGACGGAAAGTGTCAGCGTTTGATAAACACTGTGATCGGCGACTTCCTTATCAAATTGAAAGCGGGGAAAATTCAAAGATAAAAACGTGTGCTGGCTATGCAAATTCTAGTGAAAACCCAAAGGTATCTTATCTATTTCAATCATAAAAAAAACATAAACAACTTGTTAATAGGCCATTAAAAACGGCTAAACAATTGTGCGGCACGTTTTGCCTTGCCTTTTGACTTCACCCGTCTCTAAATTGTTCAATAATTATTCGAGTGCTTATTTTTGTAGCTACAACTCAATCAAGCTGGGCAAATAATAAATACGTGATTAATAAAAGCCGATTTTGCTTGCCCAGCAGCCGCAACGTCGCCAGTGGGACTATGAAATACCAAAGGGTAATCTTATCGCGATGGAGGGGCTCCAATAGAAGGGCACTGAGTTCATCGGGGAATTGGGATCGGTTATCAATGGTTAACCTCTAGACTTATCGGTGGAGCAGTACCACCAAAAGGTTCCATCGATTAGGGGGTTCCTTAAGTAATGCGTTAAAAATAGCGGCATTATGCCAGCTCAACCTGATTCCATGCGTTTTGAGTTACGATATCTAAACTGATGACCACTGCTGCGTCAGATTCTATTTTGTCTAATCAAGCACTCGAGTGGATGGAATTCTTGGTATACTAAACCGTAACTTGATTTTTATAATAAACATTTAAACATTAAACTAAGCAATAATAAGGTTTAATTTAATATTCTTTAACTTCGGTTTTAAACACTCAAACATTTTTTGAATATGGTACTTGTGAATTCTTATCACTTCTCACCTGTTGTGATGTGGATGTGGACTGGTGTGAGGTTTCCTTAAGACTACTGCATGAACTAGAGCTGGTGTTGATCTGCCTGCCATTCGCGGTGCTGGACACCACACCACCCACTGCAGACCCATTCAAGGTCGTTGGGGTTACTGTGGTGGTGCTGCTGCTGCTGCCGAGTGGTTGCGGCGAGCCATTCTTCTTGTGGAAATTTTCGATCAGCGAGGAAGCTGGACTCAACACCCCGCTGGGCGAACTATCCGAAAAGTCTGTCATCTGTAGAGTAAATAAAAACGACAGGAGAATATGAATAAGAATTGTGAATAGTCACTTTGCAATGCAAGCTTATCAGTAAGAGCACTTTTCCTTATATGGCAATGAATAACTAAAACTTTACAGATATACAAGCTCACAGATCTCGCAGCTTTCAGTAAAACTTCCCGGTGATAAACATGTACAAATTGTGGATTCCCCCATGAAGTAACAAATTTCTTAACATTGGCACACAAATTTATTCACTTGTTCCTACGCTCAACGCGTGCCATTCAATACGATTTATGTGTTGCATTTATTCATTGGAACTGATGGGAATTCTTTAAATAGCTGTTTTAAGAAATAATAAATATTTATAACAACCTTACAGTTGATTTTATTAATTAATTTATTAAGTTATTAGTACAAATTGCTTTAGGGTATGGAATAAGTTACAAAGCGAATGGCTTAAACACCTTTTTCCCGGATCGAAAACATTACTTCCCTGATACTGCCCCACTAATTCTCTGCTTACGTTCAATATTTTTTTATGGTTCTTTGCTAGTTAATGCAGCAGCTTTAGATAATATAACCGGCTAGATAAATAGACTTCTAATGGATTTTAGGGGCGCAACAACAAACGGAACAAGCCGACCAGTATAGTATCTGGTTCGATTCCGCGAGCACGGATTGATTTATATTTGATTTGAGTTTGCGTGTATAACAATTAAAAATTTACATAAATACAATACAGTGATTTATCTGCATTTGCTCGAAACGTAATTAATTTCTGTGCAATGCGAATTGCGAAATTCGATTGACGCGTGGGTCGTATACTATTTGAATTATACAATATGGCTGATGGGTGTGTTTTGTAGCGTTTTAGTGTGTGGGCAGCACGAGACCATGTTTGGTAAATACAGCAGCGGGAAAAATAGTAGAGGGTCCCAAAAATGTCATTCTATACTTAAGTTTAATGAGTCATAATTTATCTCCTAAAATTTTAATTTGTTCGTTTTAGGAATCGATTGGAAATCTTTAAAATTATTAACGATAAGGTGGTAAAAAATCGAACACAAAGTTGTTTTGTAATTCGATGTCAAGTGTTTAAATGACACTTTGAAATCGGTCTAAAGTTGACCAAGTTTTGTGTCACCTTTCTTCAAGACAACTTGGAGAAGAGGAAAGGAGGATCTTAGAGTTTTTTAAGGTTATTTATATTTATAGATTCTAAAAAAAAAAGAGCTACTCCTTTTCCCTCTATTATTCTAATCAATAATTTCGCAATTTATTTAAATCAGTTATGTAAAAATAAGTGGAGCCAAAAACCGTTACCAAGCAACCCGGAGAAAGCTTTTTCCCCCAAAGCTTTTGTTCGTTATTTCTCAGCGGTAACTTTTCCATATCTAACGCTCTATTCCGCTCCAAACACTCCAAGCACTCATACCATTCTCTTGGGAACTCTGTTCCGTACCGCTTACAACACTGATTACTGCGCAGGGCTGCCGTAATACATCAGCTGTCAGTAAGTGGTTATTTTACATTGTTGTGTGCTGGCTGAAAGAAAAAATCGCAGAACCAGTGTTTTCTGGTTAATTCGGAGCGAAAAACTGCAGAAAATAGCCAGCAATTCGTCGAGGAACCCACACTAAAGATGGTTCAAGTGGGCAACTGGATTTTCAAACTTCTTTTGCTGACTTTTTTCGATGGCGTCAGCATATGCCGACGTCACAACGCAAAATGCTCTTCTGCTGGGTGGAAATAAGAAACACAAAGAAGCCCCGGACTCCTCACTCGGTGGCGCTTCGCCTCCGAATCTGGTGTGCCACAAAATGCTGAGGCATGTTTTCGAGAATGCCACGCCGCGGGACGAACAGCAGGCGGGCGTTTTCGAGGAGTACAAACCCCAACCGGACACAGTGGAGCCCCTGGAGGAGGAGGCCTATCTGTGGAACTGCCTGCAGGCGTGCTGCGAAAAACCCCGCAATGCCAGCAGTGCCTGCAACGTGGTCCTGGTCTTCAAGGGAAAGTGCTATCACATCCGGTGCAGAAGCAACGAGGCTTGTCTGCCCAAGCTCAGGGTTCGGATGCCCAACGAGAAGGTGCAGATGGTGCTGGTGAACCCCTTGGGAGAGGCCACCTGGCCACAGCTCCTCAAGGCGGAGGCCGCCAAGCAGAATGCCGAGATTCTACCCTATGATGAAGCAGCTCTTAATTTCTGGAAACAACCCAGGAGATTGGGCTACCTGTCGCGAAATCAGGTGGGAATACAAAAAAACCGCTTTCAATTCCTTTATTGATCTTAAATTTCACCTTTTAGGAAACCCCCGTTTATGAGGATGAAGATTTTCCACTGGCGGACAAGCGGATGAATCAAATGATTTTCCAGCCGGATGAAAACGATGTGCTGGCCAACGAAGAGCTCGGCTACTATGACGCCAATGCCAAGTTCACCGCCTGCGATGTGGAGACGCCGTGTCCCCCACCCCAACAATGTGTCCCACTCCAACCGAATGCGGTGAGAGGAGTGTGCACCTGTCCCGAAGGCTTCGTCTGGAACAAGCAGAGGAAATGCGTGATGGCAGCGGTGCCTTATAGCTCCTATCTCACCAGCAACGAGGCAGGCCAGCAGGAAGCGGCTGCTAGTGAGAACTCCCCAGAGGTAGCCACTCCACCCTTGAAAACGGAAGAGAACAAGGATATCGTGGTCTCCGTGATGTCCAAGGAAGTTCGTCTGCCCGAGCAGGAGGTAACCCTCGCTGCTTTCACTGTTCCCGATGAGCAGACCAGCGACACCAAGTACAAGTACCTATGGACCCTCATTTCCCAACCCAAGGGTCCCATGAATGGCACCATTTCGGATCAGAGCAAGTCCAAGGTGAAGCTATCCAATCTCTCCGAGGGACTGTACACCTTCAAGGTCACTGTGACTGGAGACAACGGAACCTTTGGCGAGGCGACGGCGAATGTCACAGTGCTTCCCGAGAACCGAATCAATCAGCCACCCCAGGTCATCATCTCACCCAGGGAACAGATCATCCGGCAGCCCACCACCAATGCGATACTCGATGGAAGCACCAGCACGGACGACGACAAGATCACCAATTGGCACTGGGAGGTGATTTCGGGACCGATTGGCTATCAACCCGTCTTGCCGGAGGTCAACACCCTCCAATTGGATCTCACCTCTCCGGGAAACTACACCTTCAAGTTGACCGTCACCGATTCGAATAATGTAACCAATTCCACCACTGCCACCATAGCAGTCCTCAAGGAAACCGATTACGCTCCGGTGGCAAATGCCGGAGATGCAGTGATTCTGTATCTTCCCAACAATAACGTGACTTTGAACGGAACAGCCAGTTCGGATGACCACGAAATCGTGGCCTGGGAGTGGACCAAGGATGCCAGCGATGAGGCCAAGGCTGTGGACATGCAGAACACGAGGACTCCCTACGTCCAGTTGTCCAATCTGGAGGAGGGCATGTACACGTTCGTGCTCAAAGTCACTGATGGCAGTGGACAATCCAGCACGGCCAAGGTCCATGTGTTTGTGAAACCCCCAACGAATTCTCCTCCAGTTGCTGATGCGGGTTCTAATTCGGTTAGTGTCCTTAAGGGATTTCTTTTTCATCTAGTAACTAATTTATTTATATTGCAGACCACTAGTTTACCCATTAATTGGGTGCTGCTCAATGGCTCCGAATCGAAAGATGATATTGGTATCAAGAGCTATTCATGGAGACAACTGAGTGGACCCAATAATGCTGTCATTTTAAAGTCCAACTCATCGGTGAGTATTCTATGATTATTATTAACTTATTAAAATAAAATATCCAAATTCTACAGATTGCCAATGCCACCTCCCTAACTCTTGGCCTCTATGAGTTCGAACTTAGTGTATCTGATGAAAATAATAATACAGCCACGGACACTACTTGGGTGAAGATTGTCCAAGGTAACTAGTTAACTCTTAATTTTAGTAGAAGTTCCTTAACAAATGATTCCTCTTTATTAGAACGCAATGCTGCCCCAATTGCCAACGGTGGGGGAGACCACACCATCACCCTGCCAGCCACCGCCATCTACTTCAATGGCTCCAAGTCCTGGGATGACCTGGCGGTGGTTAAGTACGTTTGGACACGCGATGAGCACAGTTTGGCGGCAGGTGTGATTGTTGCAGATACCGATAAGGAGCCCGTGATGATTGTGAGTGAAGAATGAAACCTTAATCTTTCTAAAAAATAATATAATTACATATATTTCCCCAGTTAACCAATCTGGTTCAAGGAAGGTATGTTTTCACACTAACCGTGAGCGATGATCAGGGATTAACCAGTTCGGATACGGTGAGCGTGAATGTGCGTCCCGATCCCAAGATCCTTAACCTAGTGCAAATGACCCTGCCAATGGGCATTTCCGTGCTGGCCCAATCCGAACTGGATTCGGTGGTGCAGAAGCTGCAACTTCTCCTGGGCGACGAGAACAAGATCCAAGTGAGGGAGCTCAAGTACGATCTGCATACGGATGCCAGTGTTCTGGTTTTCTACGTCAACGATAGTCAGGGCAAGGCACTGGATGGCCTCCAAGTGGAGCGCCAGTTGCGGACTCAGCTTCAAAAGGATGCTTCCATACTGGGAGCATTCGCCGTGGATATTCGCACCACAGTTTGCCAGAACGATTGCTCTGGTCATGGCTCCTGCAATCCAATCAGCAGAGCCTGCATTTGCGAGGCCTTCTGGATGCCATCGGCAGGTTACTTCTTCAACAATCAAGAGGCCAATTGCGGTAGGTTTTACCATATTTAACAAGGATATCTAAGCTAATTATTATTCTAATTATTACTTCCAGATTGGTCTATTTTGTACGTGTTCGTTGGCGTTATTGTGTGCTGCCTGTTGCTATCTGGAGTATTTTGGGGGATAGCCTGTGCCTGCCGACAGTCGAAAAAGCCACGTCTGCGCCAGAAAGTGCAGAAATACTCTTTGATAGGCAACAAGGATGAAGAGGCAGCGAATTGTAAGTATATTTATATTTTTTGTTATTTAAGAAGGTATGTATTTATTTATATTTCTTCCATAAGATTCCCGCAACACATCGCTAACCGAATCGGAGACGGACTCCGATGTTCTCTTTGAAACCAGGACCAAATCGAATGGCTTGGGCAAACACAAGTCGCACAACTCTCACAATCATGGACATGGAAGTAGCGGAGGCAGTGGATCCTCCGGTCGAGACAGTCACAAGTACGGCGCACAAAAGTTGGGCCGCAAAATAAAGGCATAATAATAATATATAGAAATCAGGATTAGGAGATCTATATGTGTGTGTTAGTCGATCTACTATACCGTGTGTGTGATATCTATTTGTATTTCTATAATGTACTCTATATATTTGTACTTTCCGCCAACTCGCATGAAGTTGTGTATAACTGTATAAGTTCCTTTATGTGCAATTATGCTTAGGTTATTAGTTATTTATATTTCATTTTAAGCTGCTGCTGTGCAACAAACATTATTTTTAACGTTTACTTTTACTGCGATACTTTTTTATGTGTGTATATATAGACATAGCTGTTCACAATCAATGTAACAAACGACATGTAACTGCTTAAAAGTGCATTATTACCCACATTAAACGAAAACAATAGATGAATGAAATGGTTTTTGATTTTAGATTGGAGAGGAGAACATAAATCAGAACTCAATCAATGCAAAATGTCATTTAATTTATTTGACTAAGCATCAATCACATGTGGCACACTGTTTGCTTAATTCGTATGCAGAGAACACATTTATCAAGCGAATGCCGATTGCATTTAAAACATTTTCCTTTTGACGTTCTCCCTGATTATATTTACACGACTTGTTGACTTATCACTGCTGTTTTTCTGGCAGCTTCTTTACTTTGATCAGATTTTAATTCAAACATTGACGCATTTCAAGCCCACACACAAAATGAAAACACCAAACTAGGTTCGCCAGCGGATTTCTTGCCAATTTATGCACTGAGACAAATCATTTATACACTATGCATTAAATACTCTTTTTAATTACACATTTCCTTTATCTCTTTTCGGGAATTTTAAATGGGCTTAAAAGGTATTAACATGCTGATATGATAAATATGCAAACAACAGTTTTCTGGATTTAAAAAATCAGTTTGATATTTTTTTGACACTTTCGAGATTAACAACTGTCAAGAGATTGACTTTTTTTCTGGTTTGCGAAATGTCTATCTATCAGATAACATTTTCTAATACCTATCTGGCAAATAATTTAGTTTAACATTGAACCAAATACAACATTATTATATGTTTTTGAAGTGTAGCTGTCTATTACGATTTTTTGCGAAATATTTAAAGAGCGCGGATTCGTTGGTTCAGTCTGAGCAGGAGCTTAAGTATTTGCGTGTTTGTTATTGATTTTAGCCGGATTTGGCCGGCTCCGTTTGGACCTGACCCCCCGAATTCGCCCCCGCTCACCCCTCTACCACTTTTCTGACTGTCACGCGCGACCCATTTTTCACAGCTGGGAGCGGCCAAAAACACGCGATTTACCCATATCCCATATCCATGTGGCGCCTGTCGACTGCCTCATGTCATGACCATCGTGCGATGTCCTTTGGCCGTAATTAGCCCAGGCTCAGGCGAATCCTTACCGACCTTCGAGGGTTTTGCATGGCCAACGGAAGGCGAGGTTCTTGAACTCTTCAACCGCCCACCCACTGGATTTTCTCGGAATTTAAAGCCCGCTTTATTATTTGTTTTCCCCTCATAAGTCTCAATTTAACGCCTCTCGTCTTCGAGGAATGCCTTTAAATTCTTTTCCACGAACTCTTCCCAAATTATGAATTTTTAATTTCAAACTAATTTGCATGATCTGCGATCTCAGATATCGCAGATGATGACCGCTGACAGTTTACAGCTGTTGGAGTTGTTCACATGGCGACTGGACAATAATAATAACGTCTATATAGTATAATTCCAGCTGCCTACAGCAGGTGGCTACTGGTATTATCATTATTTTTGTCATTTGTCAAATCAGCCAAACACAAAAAGACGACGATTTTTCGCTGTTTGTTTTGTTTTAAAGGTGAATTCCGCTGTCGCGTTGAGTTATGGCCATTTTGCATAAATTAAGCGATGGCTTTATTTTGTTTTAAAAATTATAAAACGAAGAAAAAACGTTTATACCCACAGCTGACATTATTTCATAATGGATTTTTGACAGTGGATGATTTATGTGGAACAAAGGAAGATAAATAACAATTTAGACTTGAGATGAATTTTCAATTAAATAATTAAATTTTTATCTTAATTAAAATGTTAGGTCCATCGGGGCACTAATGAATCGAAAAGATTTATTCACTCAAATATTGTGTTTCAAAGTCAAAATATTTTGTGATTTAACAGCTCTTAAATAAGTAGCTTGTACTTATAAAAATGAATTTATAGATTTATTATAAATTGCCTTTGATTTTAAAATTTGTAAGCGAAGCAATATGGAAACTTATAGCAAAACTTTACAGCATTTTAATTACTCATAAAAACAAGGGTATTCACTAGTCAATAAAAGGCTTTGACACTTAAGTGCCGCCAAGATTCTTATTATCTTCAATTTTAAACTCGATGATTAGCGAAGTTTTGTTGATTTATCAAAGCATTATTTTTGAAGACTACTTACAAATTCCACAGCTAAAACCGTTTCAAGGTAAGGATTGTTTTTGTCAGTGTGGATTTGCATTTAATTTGCGGTTCACTTCAGTTTCGTTTTGGCTGTTTCATTAAAAAGTTATAAAACTTTATCAATTAACATACGAAAAAGACCAGACAAAAACAGAACCCATAATAGAACATCGAAAATAAAACTGGCTTTTATGTGCTGTTTTGTTTGATTTTTATGTGATTTAAATGAACACCACATTTAAAATATACAGAGGAGGGGAAAAGGGGGTTGGAATTTAAGCAAACTAAAAAGGTGAGGGGTTTTGGGGGGAGCAACAAAAAAAATTGGCACACGAGACAACGGTTGAGTGATTTTTAATGTATTCGTGACAATAATTTTGGGTGCTGCTGATATGGCGAATAGATTGAGTGGTTAGGGGAGGGGATTTCGAGGGGGGTGATAGCTTTTTTGGGTGGGCGAGTGGGTGGCGGCAACACCATAAAATGTTTTGTATTGTCGTTTTATTTGCGTTTTATTATTGTTTAATTAGTCCCTGGCATTCAACTATGAATGACAAACTTTGTTTGTTTGCTTTGAAAAGTAGTAGCAAGCCCCATTCCAAATTTTTTTAGCTACCAACCCCCTCTAAATTGCGCACACAGAGAGAATTTCTTCATAATGAAAGTTTATTGTTCTAGAGCGGCAGAATTCAAACGAGAAATGGCAACAAGGAACGAGGAAAAAGGGGGAAAATGGCGAAAAAGAGAAAATATGAAACGAAGATCTAGTGTGGGCTGTGACATTTCTAGAAGAGACAACAAAAACTGAGACTGTTCCAATGGGTCGTAGGTTGAGGCCGTCGTGTGGGCGAAGGCAATAAACAAACTGGAAGTGCAAACAGTGACTTCGAAAAGTTAATGAATCCCAACTGTTAGCGGAGGGAAGAGCAAACAAGTCATAAAAAAGCGTTCATAACTTTTTGAAAAATATAACATTTCGACTTTTAAAAAGAATACGGTCGTAAAAGGTGCGCTTTATTGAACAGTTTAGCCAATAGTTATTTTAAAGTTCGACAATTACCAAATTTATGTATTGTCTTGTCTGTAAGTGGGGCTTATTTATGAGCAAAGATAATATTTTAGAGTTTTTGGTTATCGAAACATTATATTTACATATATTACAATTAAACTCTATTTATAGCCAGCTGATAAGCAAAGTTTTTTTTAAGGTCACTGCTCTTAGAAAGCGATTGAGTACCAACAACATAAATATGACCTTGTTTCGAGTGAGAACTTCAATAAATCAAATTTGAAAGGTCTGAATAAAAAAAAAAAACCTAATTGTATGTGCGAAAAGTGTACTTCTCCCACTCACAGAATTTAGCTACTGCCACCTTCGAGTGCACTTATTTTAGCCAACTTTCAGTAATTCGATTTTTGCACTTTCGTCTCCGTCTCGGCTTTCAGTTTTCCCACTTCTCAAGCTCTCCTTTCCCTGAGACAAATAATTTTTGCCCGATGCACCTGCCAATGCACCTGCCAAGTGGGTGACGCGCTCGGCAATTTGAGCACTCAGCGGTAGAAAATTGAATAAAAAATAAAGCGGGAAAATATTTACGATGACATGGCAGGCAAAGGTATTTCCGCTCTGCTCCACCTCTGCCTCCAACTCAATTTTCTATTCAAATTGCTCCGCTGCAATAGATAAGTCGCTCCGCTGAGCAAAGGAAAATCGGCAAAAAGGCAAGGCAAACGGGAAAAATCGCACAGGTTCAAGGTCAATGCCATTGGCATTGTCGTGCTCTGTGATTATGTTTGTATCTGCATCTACATTTTCTATCTGCATCTTGTCTGTGGCAACAAATGCAACCGAAACAGCTGCGTCTGCAACTGCGACTGCCATTGCCAATTAGATCTGTCTGAAATTTGTCTCATTAGCCAGAGATTAATCTAATGCATTCGAATTTGACGTTACATTTAGCCCGCTGCGTGGGTGGATGGCTCACCTGAGAATCTTGCCAAAAGTTAACCGAAGGAGCGGTGAAAAGCGAAGGGGTTAAAGGGTGCAAAAACACGAGATCGGAATTCGCCTGATTCTGGGAAACAAAATCACTAAAACAAACAAAACCTACAAAGAATTGTCTTAATTAAATGCTGTTTAAAGCAACATTGTGAAATTGTTTTCAATACCTAAAGATAAGGAGCTTCATTATAGCACTAAATACATTATAAAATATTGAGGTTTTTTGTTTTTCGAGCTCATATTCATCAATCCCCTCTACCTCAAAGCCGCAGACAAGATGCAGATACAAGTTAAATCACAGTTGAGTCAAGATGCTTGTAAATCACACAGCTTAATATGTAATTTCACCATTTATTGAAAATATAAAAATTGTAATATGTATTTCTTAATACGTATATTTTGGTTTAGACATCCCAACAAAGAAGATATATACTAAACACAAAAGGGGATGTTTTTATTGAATAACCATTCCCTACCCCACTTCAATTTGTCTCCCTTTTTTTTCTAATAAAATGACGCATTTGGAAATTGAATTCGTCGTTATCCCTATACTTTGTTTGTCGGGATTTGGCTTCTCATGTTTTTGGGGGTCGGGTCAGGTTGCAATCCCTGCAATGGCGACAAGGGAGTGTTCGCTTTCGGCTACCCCTTTGATTGCCCGATTGCGTGGGCCGCGGCAGTGTCTTTTGGACAAGTTTGTCGCGCTCGCGATTCGATAACAATTGTACGGGCCGAGATAAGCCATAAATAAACGGAGGAAGAAAAACATTTCACCAACATTCGACTCATATCTATGTAAGACTGTGTTTACCTGTGTACGCCGCCAAACCGGTTCGCAGATTCTTTTCACCTGGGCGAACTGCCAATCCCGGAGACGTGAAGAGGTAAAAGTGCCAAATTGTATATCGTTTTAATGGGTTCTCTATGTGAGTCCAAGTGTGTAGTGCAATCAGAAAGCATAATCGAGGCAATCGACCATGAAACTGAGCAACGACTACGCAAACTATCTGTAAGATACATTTCCCATCGTTCACCCAATTGTGGGAAGGAAGGAAGGGGTGATTGGCTTATTATACCCCTACTATAAACAATAACAAGTTTTTTATGTCTTTTCAGCTGAAAAGTTTACACAGAATTTCCTGTTGCTAAAATGTACAAAAAAATGTTTTTAACAACGAATTACAAAGGAAATATTGGCAAGTTTTTGTTGGAAATTAGAACTAGAGAATTGTATCAAAACATTTCGAACTGGGCATACATTTATGGAATTAAATTTTACTAGCTATAAAGCTAATAAAAACCACTGTTTGTTTATTGTATTATTACCTTAATATTTACTTTAATATATTTTCTGTGATTTCTGAGATGAAAGTAGGTTTCATGCGGTCTAATTGTGTTTTTCACTTCACAAAATCAGCATTTTCACATTTTGTTAATTTTTTTGGCCTTTATAAGGTGAATTTATTTAAAATATTATTAAAAAAAAATATTTGAATATTTTTGAAAATTTGTTTTTGTTTCCGCCTTACAAGATCAACGTTTTTATACTTTTATTTCACTTTAATCGAAGTTTTATTATTAACCGTATCAATAAAAATCGCTTTTTTTGCGATTTATTATTACGCTTTGATTCTGTTTAATTTAGCACTGGTGTTTTGATTTCAGCTTTTGAACGCGCGACTGCGACGAACACAACTGAGTTATGAAAACTGAATGAAATGCACATAAGCAGAGCAAAGTAAACTTGTTTGCCGCCCGTCCACCCCAAACAAAAGGGAGGGAAAGAGAGACAAAAACGCAAAGAGAGAGAGAGAGCAAACAAATCCCCACAATATTGGCGCTTTTGAGCGCTTTTATTTAGCAACACTGGCAGTGAGAACGGGGCATTACCATCTGGTAAAAAAGCTTTCAAAACTTGTTGCTCTTGTTATTGTTTACAAAGGTTTCTTATTTCTTTTTCTGAAAAAATATAAACATCCCACCCTGCAAGAAGAATACATAGAGTCTGGAAAAAATTACAGTAAGAGTAATACAGATTATAATTAACGAAGTTAATTAATTGAACTTTAGTTGTTTCTCATGGAGATCACCCTCTTTTTCCCCCTCTCTTTCTTTCCACAATACTCATCTCTTTCTCTCACACTCAACCGTTGCAAATTTGAATTAAGGCTTCGCCCTGTTGTATTTTGTATCTCTTAATTGAGTTGGGCTGCAATTTAAGTGGACCGTGTGAGATCTACGAGTGCCTCTGGGGTTTTCCCCGCTGCTTGCCGGGAAATCGTCTTAATTGAATTCATTCATAAATTACAGCTTTGAACTGGACCCACAAGTCGCTATCTGGAAAACATCTACCAAATTGGTGCATAAGTCAGCGAATCAAATGAAAGGCTATTCGGAAAATGGTTTTCATTAATGGCGCTTGAGATAGGAATGTCTGAATCGCTGAGATATTGCTTATAAATGATTGTAAACAAGAGATACATCAATAAAGATTCATTTTATTTATTATTAGCTTACAATTTAAAAAGAAGAATTCAATTTTATTAAATCAAATAAATAAATTAGACTTTTTTTAATTTTCAAAACAAAATAATCTTGTTAAATAGTTTCTAATTAAAACAAAATTTCCCAAGCATCCTCAAAGACGTTTTCAAATTGTATCAACAAATTTCCCAATAATGGAAAACTTTGGGCAGTAAAAGAAATTAAAATTTAGTAACCCCACAGCATTTATCCTATAAACAGATCGAAGGGGCGCCGAAAGATATCTTAACATTGCCGCAAGATGAACAACGGTCGGTGGAAAAGTAAATCCCCGATCCACAACAGGGTCGCCTGCTCCACCAGTCCGTCCGTCCGTCTGTCCGTTCGTTTGTCCGTCCGTATGTCCGTCAGTCCGTTCCCCCAATTGACGTCAACGGCGCCGCCGACAGTCAGTGAGGCAGGCCGAAAGAGGCACGTACTGGAAATCAAATTATGTAGTTTCTACATTATATAGGCAAAGGCGACGGCGGCAATGGAAAACGGAATACAGAAATAAAACATTCGGTTCCACTTTAGAACGAGACCAAAAACAACCCATAAGATCTCGGCAAATGCGCACAGCAGAGATCCAGAACTCGGCTATATAGGCGGATGCGATTGTATTTATAGAGGAGAATCGAAATGGTTAACCAATCTAAGAGAATAGGGTCCCCAGATACTTTCTTGGCCCAGGTCGAGAGTGCAAATTAGCAGATGTTTCTGCGCTTCTGGAACCGTTCAATATCTCTCGATTTATATGGGCTAACCACTTACTATGTATAATGGGAAAATTGGAAAGCCCCGCGCCAACTGCAGTTGACGCATTTCCAGTCGACGCATTTGGATCTCAATAAACAAAAGCCGCATGAAATTAATTATAAACAAATAGCTCGATTTCGTTCAATTTATGTGCCGGCAATTTTAATGGTTTGTGTTGTTTGGTTCTCTGAATTTGCCAACGCAGTGCCATGGATAAAGAAAACGTGTTTGAAAAGTGGAAAATTAATGTTTATTTTCAATAGGTTGGCGGTAGCCATTAAATCTATGGCATTAAGCACCAAAATGCGTTTCAACTTTCGGTTAAAGTGCGTTTTATGGCGGCTCGTAAAACGTTTAAATCGACGTTTACAACTTGAGTTGGCCTTCAGACACAGTATTAATTGCATTGGGGATTTTTATTTATTACAGTGTAAAAAGGCCTAAGATTATATAATTAACTTGGAGAATTAAACAAAAATTCTTTTTTTAATGTTTTTCTTTAAGGTATAATGAACTTTAAATACAATTTCAAAAATAAAACATAAAAATATAAATATTTATTTAAAAACGCTGTTGGGAACTTTGATAGTTCAGTGTAGCTTATTATATTATATTTCTTATCAGTGAAAACGTGATTTTGTTTTAATAAACATGTTCTTTAAACTCTGTTGCCTTAGGCCGGATGTTTCGTTAATATTTTGTATGCTTTGTAGATAGCTCTGAATTTCCCAGAATTTCAACCCTAGTGCATTCAAAGTCATTAACACATTTAGACGTGCCGTTCTCGTTCTCTTTCTGTCACAAATAAAACAGGTCCCAATGCCATTGCGTCAGAAAACCAATCATAAAATCATGTTTTTATATACATATAGTATAGTAGGTAGCCCTAGAACGAGCGTCTCGGAGTTTCGGGCCTTTCACTGACCATTAGGCGAGCGATCGCCGCCGTCTGGTTGGTCATTTTAAAGCGTCGTCGGCGCCTCGGGGTTAATGTACTCTGTGACCTAATCACTTAACCAGAAACCCTTGACTCTTCGGCACAATTGGGCCTGCCTCCGATGAGAAAGAAAGTTTCGGCTGGAATTGATTGACAATTACCTGATAATGCTGCCGGGGATATATGAGCCGCGATCGCAGGGCGGCCGTCGTGTGGCTGCCACTCGAAGTGGCATTTGTGGGCTGGGTTTGCGCCAGAAGCGGACTTCTTGTCGATGTGACGACCATTGTTTTTTATTTAATTATTTTTCACTTAAGATTCACCGCACTTTGATTTTCAAAATTATTCAAATTCAATCACTCGAAGCACTGTTTTATTTTGGGGGGTTTTCCTTCTACCCTGGCTGTTTGTTTACCTTTTATTTATGGGGGTTCGTTGGCATTTTTCCTCGGAATTCTTAGCAACAGAAACAAAAGAACCAAAACAAAAACATTTTTCATTTATATAATTATTAACAAGCCCGGCGATTAGCATTCCTTGGGGTTAACAGCAGAAAGCCGAGTAATTTATCCGCATAATCGCATTCAGAAAGTGTTTTTTCCGCCAAAAGTATTTTACCGTTTCAGTATTGTTGCGCATAAACAATTATCAAGCATCTGGTTTTGTTGTGCTGTTGCTGGTTTATTGTGATTATTTTTATTTTTATTTCGTATCTTGTCTGCTTTTGGCAACCGTTAACCGAAAGATCCGAGAGCCACAAAAGATCGCAGTCGGAAAGGCTTACACAAGAAATGCCACAGAACTGGTTTCCGTGCCTGGTCGTGCCTGTGACAAATGTATCTGCAAGATACACAATGAGCGTAGCTGATTATGCGTTCCTTCTATGGGAAGAATGGCTCGGACTTCTCAGTATTTTCCAGATACAATGCCCATTAATGGAGCTGCACTCAAACGTCTTTCATCTCTAAACCCCAAAATGATTCGTAACTTTGTGAAATAGCTAACTAATGAAGGGGTTCAAATAAATCTGAAGATTGAACTTGGTCATAACTTGGAAGACTCCTATCCAGGTGCTAAAATATGTGTGTCCCTTTCTTTTTATTACAAGTTTTGAATGAAACCCGATATCTAAAATAAACCAGACAGGCATAAATTTTAAACATTTTATTATGGAAGACCTTACCCTCTGATATCTGAGTTAACGATCTTTTTAATGCTCCATAAAAGCAAAGACTCTCTGGAAATTCCCCCACTTGTTTTTACAGATATTCCAGACTTTTCCATTGCCTGAAAACTTGGCATACAAGAGATGCAAATAAGATACGTTTGACATTTACAGCTTTTTAAGATCAGACCTTGACTTGATTCGACTTTGGTCTGGTTTTTCACACCTCTGGGCGTGGAACAAGTTCAAAGCCCACACAGAAACGCGGCTGAAACACTGGGGAAGCCCACGTGCTCGGGGTTTTCCCCACTTCCGTTCGTTTGCCAGCGTTTTCTTTGTGTCCCCATGTAACTGGCTAATGAGTTTCCGCTTGGCTAATGCACCGAATGCCAACAGGCGACTGGGCCAAGAGCGACAAAAGGCGTTAACCGCTTTTCCTGTTGCACTTTTGGCCCGTTGTGTTATTATTCCGAGTACTGTGGGCGATTTCTGATTGATTTTAAGTCTGCCAAAGCGACGAAAAGCCTACGCAACAATTTGATTTCGTGGTCTTTGAGATTTTCCAAGCACATTTGTTTCGGGACCGGTTTTCTGTTGTTAACTCGTTTTATTAGCCCACTTAATTTATGTTTCAACAATCTATGTAAATTTATTCTTGAATTTTCTATGCACCAATTTTGAGTGGTAAATTTCAGTTATTACACAAATTTTAAATTTGATCTAAATTATAGACCGTGCAAATGTGGTTTATTTATTTTAATTTTTATTGCAATTGAGATACGCATATTGTGAGGATTAAAATTCTGCGAAAAGTATTTTATTTTGTTGATTTATCAGTTTTACACATCACTAATTTTATTTAATCATATTGATTTGGTGCTAATTTGTATTTTTAAGCTTGTTAAAGTTGAATTTAATACATAGGCTGTAGGTTGCGTAAATATATATATTATCCAGACAGATTCCACATGCTTTTATGTATCTCAAAAAACACATATGTGACGACAAAATAATATTTTATTTTTAATCGCACAGTTATGAATTTTATTTTTAGACTTTGTTTTAATCAATGTTCACAAATGAATGAAACTTTTTCTTTACGCACTTCTCACTTCGATTTACTTTGATCTTTAGGCATTTTCGCTATTTCACAATAATACGTTTAGACAATAAATTTATTGTATTATTTTTAAGTAGCTCTTTCTGGGCGTTTGACTGGATTTGTCGTTGTCTTCGATAGCGCTCAACGAACTCGACGTTCGAGTGTTCGACACAAGACTGAGGCCTGAAATTTTGTTTTGTGGCTGACTGGCTGAGAAAACCGAAGAGAAAGAGACAGAGACAGAGAAGTCAGAAAGAGAGAGCCGAGAGTAGTGATCCTCTTTCTCAGTCCGCCGAGCAAAGTGTTTTTATTTGATCGTTGGGTGCAATTTACGAGTATTTCTGTTTTGATTTCTTGTTATTTATATTTTTACATCACATTTTCTTTTTGCATTTTGGCAATGAATTTCTAGGAATTTTTTTCGCGGAAATCTTGGTTAGACTTGCCCCCACTAACATTGAGCTTCTCGAGCAGTCACATCATTGTTTATATTTACCATTTATTTATTTGCATGTCTATTTTGTTTTATTTACTCGGTCTGAGCAAACAGAAATCATCTCAAATTGATTCGAAATCGACACGTGCGTCTAAATGGGAAAAATCTTTTAACATGTTTTTTTCCTAGGTTGTTTTTTATTTGTTCTTTCTTTCTTTCAATCTAATTGATTTGGTATTTGTTTATCAAAGCGTTTTTTGCTCGCGTTCGGGCTTCCAGGAAATGCCAAAGTGGAGCATGCCAAAATAAAGCAAATCGGGCTGATATATTTTTGGGTAGTGAAATGCCTTGAACCGAAGTAAAGAGTTCGCGGCACCTACATCTCGTATTTTTATCCCAATCGATCATATACTTTTGGCAAATTGCTCGAGAGAAGGCCTTTTCTTTTAAATGGTTATGCAATTTAACTCGGCTAATTCATCATTTTTTCGTTCACATTAATCTGTCCCATCCTTCAGCTACTTTCGCTTTTCAGGTCAGCAAATTACTCACTAAAAGTGTGCCAGTTTCTTTTGATCGTTTTGAAAGAAATGTTTAAATTAATCACAACTTTGTCAAGTGCCAAGTCCTTCACGTGAGTCATGTTCGTTCAGCAAAACCATAAGCTTATAGATTTTTTTTTTGCACTTACAGTAAACACTTTAGAAAGGGAACTTTGTGAAATCAAAATTAGGTAAATAATAATAATAATAATAATAAACAAATAACCACTTCTTCTTATTTATTATTTAAAGACTATTTTATTTGTTCTTATAAGTTTACTTTACAGAGCTTCTACTGTAAACGTATTTTCTTCACGTTATATATCTGTATCTACTCGTGTATCTACGTATGAATGAATTGGCTTTCGCCTAAAACATCTCTGAGTCATCAGAAAGCCGTGATTGAGTCTCCAATAACAACTTGCACCGATCGCGTTGCGCAGAAGAAGTTTTTAGCTCTGACTCATCGCCGTGGGAGCTTCAACTCTTTGGATGCATCCGCATCTAAGACTTAACATCCAAGACGGTGTTACCATTTTCAAGGTACCCCCCTTACCAAGTTGCCACGCCCACTTCCCGCTTTTAGCCCAAAGCCACGCATGCGCATTGACTTATCGTTGAATTATTTTTCCCTCAATTGGAATTTTCATGCGTAATTGATTTTTATGCATTTCCCTTCTCCACCCGAAGATTGTTTATTTATTTATATGCAAAGCGTGCTTAACACGTTTTTTCCTCGCTCTTCGCTTCCTTCGATTTTTGTGATTTATATGAGATTCGGCGGAATTGGGTCACTTGCCCGTCGAAAAGGGGCAATAATTTCTTGATACAACTCTTAATCGAATTCACTGGGTAATGGCTTTCTGGTTTGCGAGCTGAGGTAATTTATGTTTCAGTCTGGGTTTTTCTCTGATTAAAAGGAGACTCTTGGGGCAGATACAATGTGTATATTTAAAGCATTTAATATAAATGCGTCTTTAATAGAATGGCCTTTCAGAAATGTTTAATCAAATTATTGTGTGGGTTTTTCTATATATTGGGTTTTTCTATTTTTAAATATAAAATGCATTTAGGGTTACTAAAAATACACATTTTTGTAGATTAAGTACAGTTTGAAATAATTAAATAATAAACAAATAAGAACCAAGCAAATGGTTTTAATCCCTGAAATATTTTATTATTTTTGCTGCCTACTGCTTAATTAAATAATAAACAAATAAAAACCAAGCAGTGTTTTAATCCCTGAATTATTTTATTATTTTTACAGCTTTCTTGCCCAACAAAACAATAATGTGTTTACTAACAGCCCTGCCCATAAAGATAACTCTGTTGTAATCGGCTATTTAGAGGCATTATTAGATATTATTTGCCAGAATAATGAGTAGAGTCAACAAACAGATTCAATTTACTGATGGGTTTGCGTCATTTACATACATTATCCACTTGTTATCAAACAAGTTCTTGAGACCCTTGGCCAACTCTCTTCTCAGTCGCAAAGCCGAGATTATTGTTTACAATTTCAATTAGCTGTTGGTCATAAATTATGGCGGCTAATCCCGATCGCGACACCTTACAAGCATCCGCATTTTCACACACCTGAAATGCTAATGACACACCATCAACCGAATCCGAAACCGAAACCGAAACCACTCCGACAATTTGTTTTGATTTTGGCCGTGAACTGAGTAGCATATCGGAACAATTCAAGTTTGTCTTTTGTTTTTACCTCGACGAGCATATCTATTTCCATTGCTATTCAAATGCGCGGGAGATACAAACAAAAACAAATGACATAATTGAGGTATTTGAGTGGAACTCACCTTGGCAGTGGGCAGTAGTTGGGCATTAACTTTCATCTCGGAATCGAGATCGGTTTGCTGGGTCAAATCCCGAAAGGTTTGCTCGATGGTGGAGATGTTTGGGTTCTCCGAAGGGGTTTTAATTGTTTTCTTGGGGTTATCTCTCAGCGATAAACGGCGCACGCTTCCCAGACGAAAGGTTCCTCTACCATCACTCGAACCACTCGATTTGGTTCGGTTTCGACTTGATTTATGATTTATGCCACGGGTGACTTTATCGTTGCGAGTTTCCCGGGGATTCGACTGCTCTTCGTGGGTTATGCTCAATGTTGTTTTCTTGCACCACAAGCCGCTCAAACGATTGCCCATGCTATACGGTTTTCACATCAACTTTCCGCGGGACTTCAGCACGATCTAACGTTCGAGCAATTAATCTCGTCTATTTTACACGGATTCTCGGCGCTGCGAGAAGCTGAGATACTCAGATACTCAGATACTCGGATACTTAGATACAAACAGAACAACATTCAGAATCGGAGACGAACCGGTGCGCATCTCAATTCGACAAATACTGAAAATGGAATTCTTGCCGAAAACCACAAAATGCCAGACCCAAAACACAGTTGTCCGTCCGTTTATAAGTAGCTTTCGTACCCCTCTCTCCCCCTCTTTCCTCTCTCTCTTCTATCTCCCCTCTCTCCCCCTCTCTCCCCTTTTGACGCCCGCGTTTGCCGCTTTTTTTGGGAGCTTTATAATGCGAACAAACCGCGACGTCGACTCTGTTTGTATTTCGACTGGCACTACAATACCATATACCATATGCCCCTCGGTCCCCAAAGCGTCGGGCTTCCCTTTCGGTCGGCGTACTAATCGATTTTTCTCTTGACAACACTCTCTGGTTTCTCTCTCCGGGAAGATTCCCCAGCAAACCCAGCAAACCCGGCAACTAATTAATATGCTCGGGCGCTGTCATACACCCAACTTCATATAATATTAACAACAATCTTCCGCGACTCACGTTCTTTGTGTGTTTGCGCCGAAGAGCTTGTCAAATATTTAAGAACGGTGGGGTGAAAGAAATTAATCGATCTTCGGTTGGTGAATGGTCATGGGAATACCCTGAAAGATCGTTGGGGGAATCCAGTAATTTGGAAGTACAATAAAGAAGAGAACGGTGGTGGAATTTTAAATGATAAAATTAAAAAAAAATTAGTTATGGAGTTTAAAATAATTGCGTAATTAAGTAAATCGTAGAAAATATAACTGGTAGCCATCAGTTTATATATTATACCCCAGATAGGAATAAAACACCAAAATCAAATCAGGTTGTGTGGCTTATCAGCCCTTTGGGAAATCAGATAACACTATAATTTAGATCAAACAATAAAAGTTATTAACAAAACATATAAGTCAGCTGGTCAAGATATCAGCCAAAGTATAATGCCCTCCAATATATGGGTCATCGGTTAAGTTCTTAATTAAAAGGTTGTAGACTCACCTAATCGTTCGATCAGGGAACACAGGTAGTTCTTTGTTCCCCTTGATAACAGCTAAGATTACTCAAATTGAAATGTTCCTCACCTTACCAAGAGATACCACCATAAAGTATTTATGATTTGATTATAGGAACAAACCCCATGAGAATATCGATATGCCCAGGGAAGGGCATTCGCAAACGAGAAATTTGCTTAACGACGCACGAGCCATGCTAAAAATCAACGCCAAATGGCGATTATTCATACCCGGCGTATCCACCCAATAGTGTGGCTATAGCGCTATATACTGCGGGCTCGTTTGCCTCGACTCGTTCCTCTTTCGCTGACCCCTCCGCTCTGCCACTTCTGTTTTGAAAACGTGCTAAATGTTATTTATTAATTAAGTTGACGCTCTTTTCTACCTATTTACGTAAAGTGTACGACGGAGAGGAAGAGAGAGTCATTTCTACGCGGAGCCGGTTTTAGGAAAGTCGCCAAGTCAGGGAGTGGTTCAGGCCCCAATCCCCAATCCCCAATCTCCATGGGTTCCCCAATCCAGAAAGAGTCGCGTGTGAGGTGTGAGTTATGTATTTGCTTAAATATGGCACTGCAAAGCTCAACGTGGTTTGCGTTTGGTCTGGAGAGTGCAGTTAGAAAACCAATTTTTAAAAACCTGGGTATTACTTCGTTGTTCACAAAACATAATAAAAAAACAAGTATTCAATTAATGACAGGTGTAATTCCCAACTGCTTCTAGCACTCTCAAAATTTCGATTAAAAAAAGAGGTACCTAAAAACCAGGTACAGGTAAAGCGTAGTAGCTCAGATTATTTCAAGTGTATTCAAATCTATAATCAGAATGAGCCCAAAAAAGTAACGCACGGGGTTGTAAAAGGTACGAATGAGGGCCAACAAAAACTTGAGTGAGAGTTTATGGACACCATAAAGCCAGAGAAGAGCTCCAAGTGAGTCATGACCTTTGCTCGCTCCGCTTATTTATAAATAGCCATCGGCAATTATTACGAGTGAGACCTTATAAAGCCAAAAAGGGACGAATGAAGTGCCAGTAGTTGGAATATATAGTAAGTACAAGTGATGGGGATACCCTATATCTTAATATCGTATTTAAAAAATAAATGAATAACAAATCTTTTAACACAAATTTAAATTTGTACTTACATTTCCATAACTTCTGATGCTCGAAGGACTGAGGCTGAATAACCTGCCCAGCTGGTGGTGATGTGTTGGGGATCCATTGCTGTTGGCCGAAGATAAATCCGTGAACATGGGCGAGTGGGAGTGTTCTATTCGGGATACAAATGAATTTATAAATATTGTGTAACTTTAAAAGTATGAATAATACAAAATATAAAATTAATTTGAATTGAATTAAAGAATTCTACTCACCACTCATAACAGGCGACATGTCCTTGGGGAAGGCGAACAGATCGTTGTTGTTCCTGATGTCAGATGAGTTCAAGGTCAGGCTGGGTTTACGCACCCCCAGGAAATTGGATGCTGACGAGGCGCTGGAGCAACCGCTGCCTCCCCCCGTCGTCTGGATTCCATAGCCCAACCGGGTGGGGGTGGGCGTGACATTGGGCAGGTGGTGAGATTCCAATGGCGAGGCGGACTTCGGAATTCCACTGCTGCAACTGCTGACCGCTGGAACGCGCTTCAAGATCGGCGCGGGGGGCAGTTGCGAGGGGGACGGTCGGAAGAGCCCCACATTCGGTGGGTGGTTGAGGGGATCGCCCTGTGATTTCGGTATCGCCAAGCGAAGAGTTTGCCGCGCAGCTAGTCTTCTTCCAGGCGCGTATTTATTCCCATGCTGCGCAGTCGACGCCGATGCCGATGGCGACTGCGACAGAGGCGGGGGCGTTTGCCCGGCGCTCTCAGCGTGGTGAGCTTGCGCAGCCGTGTGCACCAGCTGTGGTGAGTTCATTCTTCGCTGTTACTCTCACTGTTTTGGTGAGCTGCTTTCTTATCACTGTTGCTCGTGCTCTCTCCTTCACTCTGCTGTTAATTCTCCCACTATCACTGTTAAACTAACAGCTTACTCTCACTTGTTTGCTCTCCACTTTTATGTCTCTCTCAAAACTTTTATAGGTTTTGCTATTGTTTTTATTTGTTGCTCTGCTTTGTTTATTTCGGTTTAATTGGCACTTTTTTGAAAAATGTTGTATTTGTTATAGTTAAAAAAGGTTTGCGGTAGTGGGGATCCTAAATTTATAGATTTATTATTGCAACTAGTTGTTGAAATGTAAGTTAAAAATAAATTATAACAATTGATTGTTTTGTTCGACGTTGAACTTGGTTCAGTGTTATATTACTTTGTTTTTATTTATTTGTTGTTGACTTTCCGGCTTGTTGAACGTTTTCTTTTTTTGAAATTTACTTCACTTCAGGCACTTGTTAATTTATAGCCCTTGTTGTCAACGCTTTTTATCAATGAACTGCACGTTGATTTTGTTGTTGTGTTGGCGCATTCAGGCAAACTGCAGCGATTGCATAATTATATATGCACAAGCGTGAGCAAACAAAAGAAAAAATGCTAAGCAGTACTATAAATTAAGTTACAATTCGTTGTAATTGTTGATATTGCAATTTTTTGGAACGTGCCAATGTTGGTGTTTCTTCTTCCCTTTTACTTTTGACCCAATTGCAGTTAATAATTATATGTTTTTGTTTATTATTGATTATAAAAAGCACCGGTTAGCATTTGATTGAAGCGAAAACTTTTATCTCTGTAGTACCTGATGTTTCCCACACTGTGTTTGAAAATCGTTTACACAAAGAATTCCAATTTTTCACTGCTGAACTTGAGATTTGCTACGTGGTCGCCGGGCAAATGCGAAATCTCCGACAATGAGAAATCTCCGTCCAATTTTCGTGACTTTGCGTGGGACCAGCGACCATAAAAGCCACACGCCATTTAATTCTCGAGTTAATCTGTAATAAATATATACACACATATGGGCATCAGTATATGGCGAAATTCGTTTTAGTTAAATTACTTGGAAACGTGAATGAATCTTAGACTATTGTCTTTATTCGTCTAAAATGCTGTGGGCTGAGAGATCGTCGGAATTGAGGTTGCCCTTGAACTCGGCTACAAAGACTATGAGAACATAGACGAGATTAATGGAGGAAAGTAGATCTTAAGATCTCTTTCTCACATACCCAATTAATTTCATAATAATGCCAAGTCAATATACAATATCAATTACTCCCATAATTAAGCAATTAAAAGGTCGCGAATTAACGAATTTTAAAGCAATTTATTGGAGCAGTCCCTGCAATTCATAGGCAATTTATCAATTACTGAATCGTTAACCCACATGGACAATTGCGGTCGGCAAGTGCAGTGTTGTAGCCTCTTTGACAACTAATTAGCAACAATGTCAGTTGGAGTGCACACACTGATTGATTGCCAAACGATTGGCACGAAGCAGCAGAGAGTTTCGATGAATGTTCTTAGGGGTTGCCAACAATTAGTGGGACTTAAACTCCGAAGTCAGACCAATTTGCATATGACAGGGGAGATACTAGAAAACCAACAGACAGACAGACAGTCAGACAGATTAAGCAAATCCGAAATGCGAATCGTGAAAAGCCGTTGGCCTCTGGTTTGCCTTAAAGAGCTGCGAATTTCTTGCATATTCGCACACGGATTTACAATAAATTGCAATTATGCAAATTGTGCGAGAGAATGTTGGTTTCGGAGCCGAAGCTCTCGAAAACGGCCAAAGATGCCAGACATTAATCATGGCCAGCAATTAGCAATTATTTATATTGACGGGGCGTGTCAATATCTGGCCAATGATAAATGATTTTGGCGTTTCAATATTTACAACAATCCAGCCCTGTGCTTGCTATCGATTAAATTCGTTGCGATTTATTGTGGGGTCAAGTTCATAACTAAGTTGGCCTTGTGTTTTCAATGACTGCAGGAACAAAGATTTTATTGCTCCAGAGAACCAAGAATGGAGAATGGAGATTTCCTGCAGGAAATAGATTCGTCTGCCGAAGAATCATCCAGTTCACCGGATCTACAGATAGAGGTTATCCATTTGTTCCTAAATGTGACTCCTTTGCTGAAACCCGTAGGCCGCAGCATCTCCTCAGGATTTGACTTGAAGTGGTACTTCATCAACGTGTCCTCCGTTTCTCGTAGGAAAATGCGATACTACATTAACCTCACGCGCTGCCCCAACCAATTGCCAAAGGTCCTTTTGAACACCCTCAAGTATGCGAACCATCCAAAGTGGACAGCCATATTCCTGTCGACTGCGCCACAGGACTTTTATTACTATAAATCCCTTTTCCCAATGGTTTCCATTGCGACTGGGATGCCCACCGATCGGACAAGAAACTTCATCAAACAGGAGTGCACCCTTAAAAGGCCTAGAGCTCTGCGGTTCAACGCCAAAAAAATTAAGCAACATTCACTGCAGTTCGATAATAAAAACTTAGTAACGTAAGTTAGGAAGGAAGTTACAAATAGTTACAGCAGGCTGTGATTGTAACCACTAAGTCTATCTAAAAATGAAAAACAATCTTTATATAAACACACTGACGTCCTTCAACGAGTTAACAGAAGAAGATCAGGAAAAATGCCAGAAGGTCTTCGAAAGGCCACTTCCCTTCAAAGAGGAAAATAACAAATATTTTAAGTTAACACAGGAGATAATCAAAAAATTTGAAAATGAAACGCAGGAAAAGTCTTGCTTCTTGACATTCCAGACTATATCCTTGAATATCAGTTACAGTGCTCTAATTTTTAGTCTGTGTGGACTGTTCGATACTTTTCATTTAATTATATACGCCGCTGTATTGGATGATGCAAAATTATCACAAAAGGAGCAATTTATCGGTGATATTGTTAAACATTTAATCGAAACTGAGGTGCCAAAACTCAAGCAATTCAGTGTGAAATTCGTGCTACTGCAGAACAACTTGATTAACCAGAATGTGGTGAAGATTCTTTCGGATATGGAGCAAAGTGTTTGTAGCGACTATCTATTCATTGCCGATCCGGGATACTGGCGATACTCGAATCTGCACAATCCCTATGCACAAAATGCCTGCTTTGAGATCTTAAATACCATGATTACTAGGAAAAATATAGAGGGGATCTTTAACAAATATAAAGACATAGCCAAAGTCAAGGACCTTGACTATCTGGGACAATTCGTGAATGATTATTACAAGCTAGCCCTATTACTATTGGCTGCCAAATCCTCTGTAACTCTTCACCTTTGCACTTTGGAACGATTGGATAACTTTCAGAAGATAATACGCAGTCACATGGAGCCGTTCAAGGAGCAGAGGGTAACTCGAACATTGATCTTTCAACTCTTGAGGGCGCTGATCATCATCTATGACCGCTAACAAAATTTAAATTTATTCAACACCCACGTTGTAAACAAAACGATTTGTGGCAAACAGAAATTTGAATTTCGGTTTCGTCTTTGCTGCGAAAGAAATTCTGATACGATATCGACACGTGTCAGGATGGCCGAGTGGTCTAAGGCGCTGCGTTCAGGTCGCAGTCTACTCTGTAGGCGTGGGTTCGAATCCCACTTCTGACAAGAACTTTTTGCTCAGAAAAAGTAATTGATCAATATATAAATTTTCGAAATGTTACTTTAGCAAATACACTTATTTTTATTCGATAAAAAAATATATTTTACCTTTTTTATGTGCCGAAATTCGAATCAATTAAAATTAATTAAGAATAATTAAGACTAAATCAAACTGATAATTTTCTCTCGTTACTTTAACAGTCAGGATGGCCGAGTGGTCTAAGGCGCTGCGTTCAGGTCGCAGTCTACTCTGTAGGCGTGGGTTCGAATCCCACTTCTGACAAGATTTTTTTCTCCCTCATTTCCACAAAATAATTAGATAATAATTTCTGGAATTTAAGGAATTTCAAATATAGGAAAACGAACTGGCATTCATTCTTTAGAGTTTAAATCCCTCAAAAATATGTTTGTTTACTATTAAGTAAATATATTTGTTTTGTTTATAATTGTTAGCTTTTACTGTGTTTTGCCGATGGGCGGGGTGCAAAGGCCTGCCAAATCGCACACAAGTAATTTCTCACGCCACGCTGACAATTGGTCTCCAATAAAAAGTGTAAACCACTATCTTGCTGGTGTGTTGTGCTTTATTCACATGATATTGGGCAATCGAAGGCGGCATTAGAGTGCATTAGGAGTGCCGCAAAATGGCTTATCACGGCCCGAACATGACTGCGCAGCAAAGTCATTCATCAAACTTTTGGCCGTGAGGAAAAGGTACAACGCACAGGTTTATGGCCAGAGGAATCCCCTCCCAAACCAGATAAACACTCGAAACTGCGCCGATAAGTTACCCGTTTAGACCTTGTACGACAAATGGTTCTGGTTCCCGTTCCCAATTTGCTTACGTAGTTGGTTTTCGCGATATATATATATAAATATATATAAGAAAAGTAACCGCAGAACTGACCCAGCCAAATGGCATTGAGCTCCTGCCCTGGAAATGCAGAAACCAAAACCCAATCGAACTATGTCAGCTTCGTCGAATTGCTTTGTTTACAAACAAATAAGGCGAAGAGAAATGCAAACTTCACTTTACTCCGCTTACTAAATGGTGTCAGTTTTATATTGCCCTCAGCCAATTCGCATTCCCCGCACCTTTTCCCAGTGCTGTCATATATGTTTGTATTATTTTTCCGCAACTTAATGGTTTTTTGATGCATTCTAAATGAATAAAAATTGCGTGCGCAATTGTTGCTCGACTTGAGCACTGCTGCTGACCCATTTCGAAGATTATAAATGAGTATAACTTATCAAGCGAGACTTGCCTTGGAACTAAACTGGGTTTAGCTGTCTGTTTCGATCTGGCGACTTGAGTGCACTATATTCTGTTTACTTTAACTGTATCGGGGCAAGGGAAAAGCAACAAGTTCAATGGCAAAAATAATTTCTCGCCGCTTGTCAAAACATTTTTCGATTTGATTTTGAATTTTCCTGTTCGATTTGGTTTGGTTATTCGCCTGCGATAAACAAATAATTAGCGGAAAAATGCGCAAATGCAAATTACGTTCGTCCGCAAACTCGGACAGATGTCTATGGCCATATCTATCTGTACTATATGCGTATGAAGATGTCGGCGTCGAGTCAAAGGAAAGGCATAAACAATGCCCGTCGTCTATTCTTCGACTGCGAATGTATCTTTCCGAGCAGTGTCAAAATCTAATTTGAATTTTTTCCACTGCGAGGATTGCGCGGCGGAGGAAAACTGTCGTCGAGTGCCGGCCAAACTCATTAAAATATCCATTTCCCCTACGAACGAAAGCTATGAGCAGTCATAATAAATAATACAGAATACTAAAAGACAACAAAAGACGAACGCCGCCTAATGAGAAGGGTTTGTTCTTTTTTTTTTTTTCTCGGTTCCGTTCCCAAGGCATGGCCACGCCCCCTTGAACCGGATTATTATTAGCCAGCTCGTTTTTGGCTCGAATCGAGGAATGCTGCGGGTCTTGACCTCTTTTCCAGTTACGCTTTTGGGAAATCCGCAAAGATATAGATATTCCGAAAGGCCTTGTTTTCTTTTGTTCGTCGGCAGCGATTGTCTGCCCAACCCCGAAACCCGGAGATAAGATATATCTGTATGAAAACGACTTTGTAAACAGTTTGTCGGCATTTGGACAAAGTGCAGCGCAAAGCAGCAGATCGAATCAATTTCATTTGCAATTATTCCGTCATAAAATTGCACAGTTCTTGTTACTTAACTAACAATTAGTTTTGTAATGCCGGCAAATTAACGTCCACAACTATTGCCCGTGAATAAAAACAGGTAATTGGTGGATTTACAAGCCACACCGATACATTTGTCGCAAGAAAGTTGGTTAATTTGCATAAAAACTTTGACGGTTATGGTAGTTTTCTATAAACAACTTTTTATAGCAGAATGTCGAGCAAACAAACGAGCGAACGAAGCGCTAAACGCGCATTTGGTATGCTCATCCCATGTGTCAGGATGGCCGAGTGGTCTAAGGCGCTGCGTTCAGGTCGCAGTCTACTCTGTAGGCGTGGGTTCGAATCCCACTTCTGACAAGAATTTTTTGCTTCTCCCAACTACAAATAATTTGTTTTAATTAATTGACTTTTAATTTAATTTATTGTAGAACTCCCTTTCAAAGATTTTCAAATTACTTCCGCTTTAGCGATGAAAAGTTCTACTGCAAAATTTCTTTGCAGAAATTTTGACTTGTTTTAAATAATAATTCCTATGCAGATAATTATTTTTGTAATTTATATAATTAAAGAAAACGCCTAAAATAATTAAAATTCCCTCAGACCTTTTTCCAGTTCTCGCTACTTTCATAGTCAGGATGGCCGAGTGGTCTAAGGCGCTGCGTTCAGGTCGCAGTCTACTCTGTAGGCGTGGGTTCGAATCCCACTTCTGACAATAATTTTTTTTCCTCTATTATTTTTATTTATACAATCAAATTGTTTATTATTTCTGCTTATTTTGATCAGTTTTTACTTGCCTCCGGCCAAGAACAACAATCTCACTGTGTGAATCTAAATAAATATGCGCTTGTGTCGGTGCTCGGTTTAAGGCGTAAACAATAACATGTGCGAAAGGCCAAAACTTCAATCAAGTGAAATGGAAATTGAAAATGAAAATGTATAATGGAAAAACATGTGGGAATACGCAAACCGAATCGTTTGGCCAAGAGAGAAAGAACGCAGGCGGCAGGTCATGCGGATGGAACATATGTATGCTTCCCGGAATTGGCAAAATTCCGCACTTGCGGCTCCATTGGGGCTCGCTGTTTTCAGACTATGTGGGTGTCGTCTGTTTAGCTTTTGGGGAAAACTAATTCGATTTTAATAAACGTTTCGCCTGAATAAATGGCAGCTATTCCTTCGATTAGGAGGTGATAACTCATGGCGCCTTCGCCGTCTGTGTTTAACGTTTAAATTACTTGTTGTTTTACTCTTTCGTGGGTAATTTATTCGGCTGCCCTTTTCACTGATTGACTTGACTTTTATGTGGATTTTTATAGGCGTTGCATTGACGGGTGTATGGGCAGAAAAGCCGAAAAAATCCCCAAAAATGTATACAGATTCGGAGTTTATGACTCTGCAGAAATACGCCTTTATGTTCACTCAGTCGCTCAAAAAAAACCCAAAATTAAGTGCACAGCAACAAATTTTTGTTGAAGGGAAAAACTATAGCGTGTGAACCGCTCCGCCCTTTTCAAATATAAAATTTTAAACGTATTCTGTTGTGATACTGAATCTATGATTAGATCTAATACTTGGAGAATCAAAAGCATGAAGGTCATAAGGCGGATTTTCAAAATGAGTAATGTCTTATTCAATTTGCCCGCAGAACAAATAATTCCATTTTAAGAACATTTTCGGCAGCCTACAGACTTCTATCAAAAATGCGAAGGCGTTTAATAAATGTTTTAGGAAATTTCGGTTCACGAAACATGACCATGAGAAAATATGTAGCCTTGTCGAGCTATTTATGAAAATTACAACGGTAAAGATTCTCAATCAAACTCACTTATTATAATCACAAAAATTAATTAGTTTGTTATATTAGAGGTGCAACTTACAGAGTCGTCGAATTTTGGGAGGTTTAACTGTGTTATCTTGACGTTTTCCGAAAACAACGGAAGCTGCAGCTTCTGGATTTGCGATAATCGGTGGATGAGAATTGTTGTGTTTGTTTCTCTCAAAATTCCTGCAAGTCAATCAACCCGTCATTTTATGCTGTTGATGTTTCATTTTTAGCTTTTTCGCTTCTTCGGCTTTTTCCTTTTGTTGCGGTTGTTGTTGTTGTTATTATTGCTGTTATTTATAGACGCACACATGGAAGCGCAGCCAAAATAAAAGCGCACGCATTTAACACAAACAAACACACATGTCACACACCGAATTTCGTAATTGCACGTTGCCGTTTGGTTTATAAAAATCTTCCTTACATTACTAAACACATTTTATATAGCGGGACTTCGTTTTAATATTATAATCCGCAAAAAACAAAAACCAACGAGCACACTCCACGGACTTTGTTTTTGCCACCTTAATACTTTTAAATCGCGCGATGTTTACTGCGACGCCGTCGCCAGCTGAATGCAGGCAGAGACAAAATAAGTGAGCTTAAAAAAGCGCGAAGATCGTGAGAGAAGCAGAGTGTGAGAAAGCTCAGAGAGTAACAGAAAGAGAGAACCAGCTTTTTTCATGCGTGGGCGATCTCTCTCTCTTTCTCTCTCTCTGCACGTGCAATGCAAAACAAAAACAAAAGAGGTAAACACAAAATAGCACATGTGTGTGTGCATCCGTTAAAAACCGGCAGATTTTGAAAACAGAAAATGTTGCTTTGTGACTGCAAATTAAATAAAATAATTTAAAATACATTAAAAGGTTATTTAAGAACGTGGTAAAAATGCTTATAAAATGTTATACCATTAATTTTTAAATAACTCATTAGGAAAATTTTTAAGCAGTAATGTTTCTCTTAAATATTTAAGAACCACCAATTGCATCTTTAATTAAGTGTTTAGGCAAGCGGTAGAAACCGGCTTTTTTGTGCAACTTGTTTCAGGTGCTTTCTTTGCACTCCACTCCCCCGCTTACCCCTCCCTCTTCTGCATATATGCAAATATATCTCCACCAAAACGTATACGCCCCCACAATTATTTGTTTTATTGCGGTCGTAAAAAAACTAAGCACAACATGCGAAAATCACAAAGAAATACGTATTTGTTTGAGCCACCAAAAGCCGAGACAATGAAACCTGTTAATTAACTTTGTACAAATTTGGCAGAAAACTGTCGCGACGAAATAGCCAGGGCAAAAAGAAGAGTGAGCCACAATTGATTAATGCTCCATAGAGTCTTCAGTTTTGAGAGACCCCTCCTTCATTCTATATTTTGGGTGTTTTCTGTTCAATTTGACTTTGAACTTGAAAAGGAGCATTGACTTCGAATAAAGTTGGATCAATCGAACACTAATTGAAGTATGGGGAGTTTTTGGTTTGGGATTCGGATGTTAATTAATGAAAAGTTTATTTGTTTGCAAAGTTGAATGGGAAAGGGGGATATTTTATTATAAATGATTTTAGTAAGCTATTTGTATTGGATCAGCAGTTTTAAAATTTGAACAAATGATAATCTTTCGGTGGTTGAGTAATTATTTTTTAAAAGTCAAGCTCAAACGCGATCAGATAAATGTGTTTTTAAAGTCCAAGTTCCCATTTAAATATGAATGCAATTATATGAAAGACTTCAATAAATCAAAGCCACCATAAGCGTATCTCGTTTGGCTGTCCACTGCTGTGTAATAGCCATTTATCACTTGATACCACTAAATAAATTCAACAGTTTTCCCCGCCCACAAACCTTATAGAATCAAGACAGATTAAATCGCTGAGAACTAGACAATGTCTTCATTAGATGATTTGCACCGAAGAATACGTGTGGCACAAAGACGGCCCCAAGGTAATCGGGGTGTTAACTTAATCCAAACTCCATTTGCATCGGCTTAAAGTTGGAAACTCACTCAATGCCTCATTTTAACCTTTGTGCGGCTGTGCTAACAACTCCGCTGACATATCATGGGGTTTTGGCCGGGAGGGGATTTTCCACTGCTGACCCACATCGCTCCCCAGAATTCAGAATTGTTATGGTAATTTACAACCTCCAGTTAAATATGTGAGCTGCACCCAGCTGCTGCAGCCCGCTGGGCTCCGCTTATTTATATTTGTATTGTGATCGAGTTGACAGTAGCACAAATTTTGATTGATGACGCTTGATTGACATTCGGGCAATTTGCTAATTCTATTTCGAGTCGCCGCAAGAAATTGTGTCGCCTTTTGTGGGTCACACTGGTTTTCGAACAATTTTCTTGCACTCGACGACGACCATCATTAATCATAATGAGTCGAGTGCATTTGAGGTAGTCCTACGAGTCTCTGCTGCTAACAAGCAAATTAATGGGAACTATGTATGCTGGGTGGCTGCGTTCGGTGCTCAAACTTTAATTAACTCGGGCTGTCAGGTCGAGTCGGCCGATTAACATACGCTCAGGCCTATCAAGTGTCTGCCATCAGTCTGTAACAAGAAAGGAAGCTAGCTTCGGCAAGCCGAAGCTTATATACCCTTGCAGTCATCAAATATGTCGAACAAAACGCATAAAGGCTAGACAACATCGAAGCTAAGACGATTTTTCTATTCATTTCCCATTTTTTTGACTATAGAGATATGGGAGCTATACGATATAGTTGTCCGATTTTGATCAAATTTAACTCGTAATTCAAGAGTCGTAAGAACACTCTATATTCCAAAAATCATACTTTTCTGATGAAAAACAACGATGTTATCAATTTATTTCCATTAATTCTATATATAATTTTCGATCTCTCCTATGGCAGCTATATGATAGAGTTATCCGATTTTGATCAAATTTAATCCGAAATTCAATAACAGTTAGAAAACGCCATCTTGAAGAATTCAAGTCGATCTGATGAAAAACAACAGAGTGAGAATTTTTTATTTCATTCTCTTGTATTGGAGCTATCCGATATAGTCGGCCGATCCGGCTCGTTCCGACTTATATACTGCGTGCAACAACTACACAACTTTTGGGAAAGTTTCAGCTCGATAGCTTTAAAACTGAGAGACTAGTTTGCGCGGAAACGGACAGACGGACAGACGGACAGACGGACAGACGGACAGACGGACAGACGTACATACATATTTCGATTCTGCTCGTGATGCTGATCAAGAATATATATACTTTATGGGGTCTGAGGTGTCTCCTTCACTGCGTTGCAAACTTCTGACTGAAATTATAATACCCTTTTGCTCTGCAAGGGTATAAAAATGGAAAATATCCAGTACGGCCGCTCAAAGTCAAAGTGGAGCGGCTGCAACTAATTGAAATGCATTGAAAGTGCGTGCGACCAGTAACTGCTGCTGTAAAAAAAGGAGAAAAAAAAACTAAAGTAAAATAAAATATATAAAAATATATAACCAGCCACTGCAGCTGCGTGTGAAATGTCAAGCGGTCCGAACTTCGGGCTAGTTGACATTTTGCCAGCTTGGCCAACCGAAAAACTACAACTTAATTACTCCCGTTTTGATCGCCAGCTCCCCCTCAAAAACGTTTTTCCGAATGGTTATCGCCACTCTGATGACTGCCATTGTTGGCCAACAACAAATCGAAACATATAGAAAAAGTGACACTTGCCAATCTGCAAGGGGTGATGTATGACGTTGACCCGATTTCGGCTGCTTTTTATTATCATTTCCATCGGCTGCATGTTGATTTCGTGTTTTGTCTGTCCGCACACACCTTTCCGTGACGCGTCGAGCGGCAATTTGTCTTTGCCTCCAGGGCGCCGATTATAATAATTCACCGGGAGTGCATTCGAGTCGAGTGTGGGCAGCAAGTTCAAAGTGTTAAGTGTGGTTTTCAAACACATGTTATACACGGCGTATGAATAATGTCGCCGCAGCACAATGCCGGCGATCAAATTGGTCTTTTGACACTAAATTACCAACTGTCAGGATGGCCGAGTGGTCTAAGGCGCTGCGTTCAGGTCGCAGTCTACTCTGTAGGCGTGGGTTCGAATCCCACTTCTGACAAGAATTTTTTGCTTTTTATATTTATTTACTTTAATAGAAACATTTGACCAAAATTACTTAATTTATTTAATTTTCGCATACTTAAGAACAGTCTCGCCCTAGATGAAACTGCCAATTGGCACTCGCTGGTTTCATAGTCAGGATGGCCGAGTGGTCTAAGGCGCTGCGTTCAGGTCGCAGTCTACTCTGTAGGCGTGGGTTCGAATCCCACTTCTGACAAGATTTTTTTTCTGTTTTAATTATTTAAATTAAAGGACCAGTCTCAATAAAGTTTTTTCTGCTTCTAAGGACAGTTTTTATATTTATCTTAGATTTTATCGAGTATCAACTGTAACCACATTTTGTCCAGAACCAAAATGAAATTTGGTCAAACGGTTTTCAACAGTCAGGATGGCCGAGTGGTCTAAGGCGCTGCGTTCAGGTCGCAGTCTACTCTGTAGGCGTGGGTTCGAATCCCACTTCTGACAAAGATTTTGTTGTTGTTTCCCTTTGGCCATGAAAATAATCTTGTTTTCATCTATATTTTTTTAAACTCATAACAATGACCCCTTATTGTTTGAAGAATCAATTACCAGCGAATATTCCCCTCAGGGGCGCCATAAAAATTACAAGTAAATCAATTTGTAACCGCCTAATTGTCAATATTCCAATCACATAATCGGCTGCCAGTTAACGATTGCCCCCGGCTGTCGGCCAGTCAGATATGTGTTTGTGGGGAGACCACACAGGCGGTGGAGCCTGGCCCCAAGAGAATTATCGCCGTCTGGCATCGCCGGCACACACTTCTAGTTCTCGGGCTTCACTCATTCAGCTCAATCAGACAGAAATTAAACTGCTGACTGAGCGCGGCTTCGAATGCGGCCCACTCAGTTCGTGTTTTTACAATTGTTCTTGGAAAAACAGATCAAGCCCATCTGTAATTATGCTACTGTCGGTCGTAAAACGCAATCAACTGGCCACGACAATTGACAATTTGGCTAGCGAAAATAAAAAAAGCGCTGTAAAACCGGCCGTTAAAATTTTATTTGCTTTAGCACTTGGGAAATTGAGGCTGGCCTGGCCATAACAGGCGAATGGGTCAATTGACATGTGACAGCAAGAAGCTGCTGCAAGCAGCAATTTCCACAGACAATGCAAATTGACGTCTGGAAAATATGAGTGATGTGACAAGCAGATGCTTATCTGCCTCCCGACGCCTCTGTTTTTTCAGAGGGGTTTTCCTCCTTCGCCCGATGAGCGGCCATTGAAATTTATGACTTCGTCGAACCGCCAATTGATTGGCTTTTAAATGCCCAAATGAAGGCTGCCAGTCGCAAATTGTAAAGCCGTTAATAATGCACAAAAATCGTTTGAACGCACGCCCAAAGCCAACACCTGGAGCTATATATGCTATCTTTATTTATGGAAAGCTTTTAGCACTTTTATTAATTATAGGATGGAAATCTCGGCGGCACAGCATTGCTGCAAATTTATTGCACTCAAAGTTGATAAGCGCAATGGCTATCTAAATGCTAATTTCACGAGACACATGCAAAGCTGCCGAGTCATGTACAAACAAATTTCAAATTGGAATTAAATATTCGGATTGTGTTTATGGGTTTTGTGAAACACAATTAATAACCTAAATTTATGCATTAATTTAATTGCATCATGTGGGGTCTGCCCCCCAATATCGATTGATATCGATATTTTAGAGTTGTAAGTTTTCAACATACAGATTCGCAAGTGTACACCACTATAGGAGTAGGATGAGTTGCATTATTCATACTCAGTTAAAAACGCACGCAGGCGACAATCAAAGTGATTTTAAGTTAATGAAACAAACTAAAATTTATTTTAAAAATCTAACAAACGAGTGCCTACTGTTCGGTGTCAAAAGCTTGAACGAACTTTTCCGGCGAAGATCTCACGCATGGGCAGAAAGCTCGCAAAAGAACGGCACCCTGAGCAAGAAAGCGCTTGGCGAGACGCTCTCGCCAAACCGAGCTTCACGCAGGGCCTTCGAGCTTTCCGCAGTCGGCGGTCACGAGTGACGTAGCTCAGTATAGAATGCAGAACGTTATCGCAGTCGGAACCCCAGAGCCGCTCGGTAATAAGTAGATAGGGGAGCCTTTTAATCGGATCCAACTAAACCAAGCATTCCAATCGATCCACTCGTTTTAATCGGCGGCACTTATTTCAAAGACCCGCAACCGAAAGCTTCTGGCAAGCGTTCTTTTTGAAAAGCACGCATAATCATAATATTAACAGAAGGGTTATTCAACCCACAACTGCCGCGCAGCGCGTAAGAGACACGCGAGAGCAACAGGTGACAGGTGAGTTCGTTATTTACCTCTTTACCTTTGATAAGCGCAGGTAGCAAGGGGAGTATTTATTTAATTTCATGGTATTTTGTAAATAAAAGACCACGCGGGACCGAAATGTAAGCTCCAAATAGCTTTTTCATGGCTGTGCATCTAATTGGAGCTTTTCTACTTGCATCAAAGATGGCTTTTATGGGAGAGCGAAAGCTCTTAGGGTCTTTAGTTTTTCTTTTATTCTTAAGCTAAGTACAGAGGCAAATAAATGCGATAAATACTTTAAGAGTAATTGTGTCAGTTACATAAAATAATCTAGTGAGTTTTAAAGAAGTTTTTTAAATGAGTCAAGATCTGAAAGCCTAGAAATATTTTTACTGTGTTACAACTCCTTATTTAAAGTAACGTTTATGTCAAATTTTGGGAATAAGTAAAAATAGTATTTTGACTTTTGTCCTTTTGTAGCATGAGCACTTTACGGATTTGTCAGGCCGTTTCACTTAATCCCAGTGCTCTCGAGACGGAAACTGTCGTGCCATCGTCCTCGAGGATCTGTTTAATGGGTTGCCGGGATGTGAAGCCCAATGAGCTGCGTCGTTTTCCAGTCCACGATGCTGAACGGTGAGTGTTACCTTAAAATCCCCCAGTTTGTTTCCAAAAAATCCGCAATAAACCTGTTTTTTTTCGCGGAGGAAGCCTATTAAGAGCTTTCCGATCGAATCGATCCGAGGCTTGGTGCGCAAATCAGAAGCGCTCATTCTTTATTTCCAGTACCACCCATACATGCAAGAATCAGAAGCTTTGGCCTCCGCTCAGTGCTTCCTCTTACTCTTCTGATACCGATACGATACTCCCAGTCAAAGGGCGTTGAACCCTCTTTCTTCGCTCCGCATAGAAGTGCATCATTTTCATAGGAAAATTTCAATGCCATGGCGGCAGAAGCCGAACCGCAGTGCAGAAATCACAAATGCAATAATGCCGATGTGGGCGGGGCAGTGGGTGGGCGGGGTAGGTCCCAGAATCCCATTCCCATTTATTTATAGCTCTCACGCTCTCCTGTAAATGCAGACACAAATGCGCGTGGGGCTCTGCTCTGCTCTGCTGGCCGTGAAGTTCTTTTATTTTTCTTTTCCCCATCTTCACCTCTAGTTCTGCAGTTGGTGCGCAAAAAAATAAAGTTTCGTCTGCCAAAGTTACTTGGCATTGGCCATGGAGTTTAGAGTGGACCAAACGTTAACCTACTGCCTCGAAAAACAAATTCATTCGTATGATTAATCGTATTTATTTGTTCGTACTTCAGTGATTTCTTTGGGAAACCCCACAACTTTTTTGATTATATTTTTATCAGGCAAAGCTTTTTTACGTTGATATAAAATTAGGCGTACTTTGAAACCGAAAAGTTAAAGTCACTTTCATTAATCAACAAAGCTTTGTGATTTTTAGAGAAAAAATCAAACTTAAAGTATAAACTTAACTTTCCCTAAGTTTTGTTTGTATACTTTGCTATCTAATTATTTTGCGAACTCATTTGTTTTTTAATGACCTTTACTGGTTGTTAAAAGCTTTCGATAAGACATTTTTAGAGGAATCATGACTATTTATTTGTTGTTAATTTCACAAACTAGTGTAATCGTCTGCAAGATTTCATATTGTTTTTTAGATTGTGTATTTATTATAAAATTTATTCGTATTTAAACTCGAAACTTCGATTTGACGTAGACCCCTTTTCAAATTTCCAAAATATGGGTTTGCTGAAAATTGATATATATATATATACTTAGAACCATCATAAACTTTGATATTTATTTCGGCTCAAATTTGAAATTCCTGAAATGCATTATAAAACAATAAGCGCCTTCTTATCTGAGTAATAATCCCATAATTTGTTGGTGGGTAGTTCCCGACCTGCACAATAATGGCGGCGATAAAGACAGCTGCGGTTCAGGTCCACCCATAATGTTGTGCTATTGCTGTTTGGCCTAGCCATAAACATAATGCAAAAGCAAAATAAGCGGCATTTCTGCCTTTTCCACATCTTCCACAAAAGGCATCAACAACAAAATGGGTGGAAGGGGGAAGTTGTGCAGAAGCTGCAGCAACAAAACAAAAACAATAACAATTCCCGGCTGAACTTCCGCCGAACGAGAACGAGAGATGGACAGAGAGAGAGAGGAAAGCGCAATACTCCCTCTTGCTCCCACTTGGCAAAGAAGCATAAAACGAGCTTTTATTGCAACCAAACTTTTTCAAGAACTTTTCCCAAAGAGAGCGGAGAGCGAAAGTCGGATCTAATTTGAAAGCGTCGCAAGAACAAGAACGAAACTCCAATGCAGTTTCAATTTTTTTGTTCAGTTTATTCATTAAACAAAGAGCCGACCGATCGCAACTGACTCGTCGCCTCTTTTTGCCCAATAATTGGTATGTTTTTGTGATAAGTTGTCAAGTGTTGGTTTTAATGAGTGAAAAGCTCCTTTTAAGAAGAGCACCATTTCAAGCTTTCGGTGGTTAGTAATAGTAGTCATCATTTGTTGTATTATTACTTCGTTGCAGCTGCAATCATTGGCTGCGTCACTTCGGCGTCAGCGATAAATTGGTGGATCAACTCGGCGGCCTGCAAAAGCTGCGCATCTGCTTCAGACATTTTAGCCAACGCCAGGAGATGGCCAAAACCCGCATCAAGATGACGCCGCTGCGCAAGTCCTCGAAGGGTATTGTATTACCCAGTAATGGAGGGACCGTCACAACTGGCGGCGCCGGAGGGGGAGGAACAGGGAGCGGTGCTGTCAAGTCGGCGGTGGCCAACAGCACCATTGAACTTGTAGAGGTGAGTGGTGGCACGTCGAAACAAAGGTTTAGCTTTTACAGGGGTTGGTGGTTTAAAATTCATAATCCTTTCTGGTTCAGAACTCAGAAACAAAGGATTTCTGACTTGCCACAGTAAAGATGAATATTAATAGTTTAATTACTCAATAATTTGGAAAGGTTAAGATTACTATATCAGAAGTACTCGCTTTTTCATTGAAAAAAGTAATAGAATAATTAATAACAACTTATTGTCGTTAGTTTTTGTTAATTTTAATAAAAGAAAACTTTCTTAGTTTAGATATTTTTTTAAACATACCTTTAGATCTTTTATGTCCAAGATAGGTACATACCTTTCATAATAAACCTTTTTGGTTTTGCAGAGTCCCACCAGAGATCTAGCGAAGAACCATCAGTCCAAGAAGCCCACTCCCAGCATTATAACCATGCCCCAGCGTTCCCACTCCATTAGCTCCTCGGCCTCCAGCGATGTGCAGTCCATAAACTCAGACTACGAAGCTACACTTCCACTAGAGGACAGCCAGAATGGACTCAACCGTTTGGAGAACGCCCAGAACAAAAAGAGGAAGCTCTACGTGATCACCGAGAAATCAGATGATACTAATGGCCACACTCCGGAGATCAATGGACAAGCCAAGAAGCGCAAGATGTTCGTGGTTGTGGAGCAGGATAAAGAAGCTGCTGGCAAGAAACTGATGATTATGACCGACAAGCCACAGGCCGATCTCACCCAGCATTTGGAGAAACTGCTGCCCGAGCTCCTGAATCGCATACAGGACAAGGAACAGAAGCAGGTCAAACCGACTCCAGTGGTGGTCAAGTCCAAGCCAGTGGTCAACAATGCCAGACCCCAAATAACATTGCCGCCCAAGAAGAATCCCACGAACTTTGCCAAGATCACGCCCACTCCAAGTCCAGTGCCTTCACCAATTCAGATGCCTCTACCAATTCAAAATGCCAAGATCTTGAAGACCGAGAACTTGGAGGAGAAAATGAATTCAGAGGACATCGAGACGAACATAAATCTGTCGCCCGACTTCCGCTTCCTGATGAAGATCCTTCCCAAATTGGAACAGCTGCCGGAGCCGCACAAGCAGAACGTCAAGCGTTCAATTCAAATCTTCGTGGAGAAGAGCTACAGTATCTACGGCAATAAGGATTAGTTACCAGTATTTGAACACCGATTTAATTTGCATTTCATGTGAAAAAGTTACCATTATTTTCGAGAGAATCATACATATATAAAAGGCATTTCATTACGTTGTCTAAGACTGAAGCAGACCAATTTAATTTGTAAGCCAACACAGAGCTGAAGCAGCTCCCCAATTAGACGTATAAGCCATTACAATATTCGATATTACCCCGCTGGAGAAGGGTAAATTCTGGAAAAGTTAAGCCATAATAAGGATTACCAAGATTGAAGTTCTTTCTGTATTGAATAAATGAGAGCTTGATTTAAGCCCGAGAATTAAATGATCGAAGTCTTATTTTTGGGAGCAAATCAAATGGATTATTACCACCACAATAAAAATAACACTTAATTTCTTTTCGTATCTTTTTGGTTTTTTTTTTTTGTTTTTGCATTGTAATTCCAAAGAACTTTATTTAGTTGAAAGCATTTTTACGGTTTCGTCTTCCATATTCTTTCTTTTCATGTTACGTTATAATAATATTCAGTAAGTCTAATACGGGTTTATTTAGTGTGGTTTAGTTTAGTTAATACAATGGTTAGTGTGTCGTTAAGAATTCCATGTAAATTATGCAAAGTTCTGTGTTCCACTTTCTTTTAGTGCTGCCGAAAGTGTTGCATTTGTTAATTTACAATTCTTGCAGCCCGTTGTGGGCTTAGTTTCGCTTTAGTTAGTATCTGGTTAATGTGGTTAATACATTACATATATACAGTTAAACAGTTAATGTTTAATTTAGCTTGCGGGTCGAGGAAACCAAATTTCGTGTAAAGTATTAGGGAACTTTGTTGCGTGCTTTTACTGGATGAGGATTTCTACATGAGTGGAGAGATTCCATATCGAGTGCTACAATTATAATAATCGCATAATATACTTTTTACAACATTTAGCAAATTTCCCGTACACATATACTCGTATATCATATATTTCTGGTTAAGCATCTGCCATCGATTTTCAGTGGTTATAGTGGTGTATATCGTGTTTGTTAACTACTTCTTGGTGTGTCCTACAATTAGCGTTTGACTTTCTTGTCGGTTAGCGTATTTAGTGTTTTTACATGCTGTTTATAAGAAAAAATAGTTGCCTTTCGGGGTTCCCTACGAAACAGTTATGTCATTTTCATCAATGAGAAGCAATCACAAAGTTTTCTCTAAATTTATGTACGACGATTACTATATTTATCATTTTCCTTAGTATTTACACAATTTTCTCGGAGTGCACAAAGCAGCCAGGTGTAAGCAACTACAACTACATTTTTGTGAAGACGAAGATGCATCATCCTTCTTTTTGCATTTACACATCGAGTTGGTTATTCACGGTTAGTGGGTTCGGGTTAAAAAAACTGTGTCACAATTTCTACAAACAGCCTTTTGTTAAACTTGTTAAACGTACATTTATATTGTTATCTTTATGTTATGCAAATTAGAGAGATTATCTCGTACATATAAGAGTTCTGTTTATTTTTACATTTTATAACCTGAGCGCAATCATTTTTATGGTTTATGCTACCAATCTTGACCAATTATAGTCTTAAGAGATTCCTTTTCGACTCTCGCCACCAATTTAATAGGTAATCCCATATATATTTGGATAATATTCAAAGGGTTAAATATACGTGGCATCCGTAGGTTTTCCACTCCAATGGAATGCTTTCTGTTTACCTGTACTCTCTTACGAATGTGAAGAGTTGTGTAGTGTGTGTGGTTTTTATCTTAAATATTGTCCATACATATACATACACATATCGTATATAGTAGGTGCTAGTTGTTGGGGTTTCACTGTGTTACATAGCTATAAATTCTAATTAGCAAATGCATTGGGTTGGGTTGGATCCACTTTAAGTAATGCGACAAATGAAACAAGATGGATTCGTTTTCTTCTTTTTTTGTTTTGTTCTTATTTTTTTTATACAAACAGTTTACACAAGTTTTTTGTTTTATTCTCAGTTAACGTAAATTAATGCGTAATACGTATCTAATATATATAGTTAAGAATGATCCGTAAATCGGTTTACAATCAAATACTAATGCAGTTTACAGTTACAGTTGATCTTAACTAATGAACTCATTTCGAACGGGCGGTCGAGTCGGCGAAAGTCGCTCTCCCCCAAATCATACATCCTATATATATATCTGTTAGGTATATATGCATATCGAGTGTGAATTACTTTACGTTTTAGTTCGGACCTGCTCCAATCGAGGGTTGTGCTATGTCGTGTGTCGTATAATGTACATGTCCTTCACTTATCGAACTCGTATTACCTCATAGCTAACCGACTTACTGAGCTAGAGAGAGATGTGGGCTAATTATTGGTGGGGCGTGGAGATAATGTTATGTACACGGTGCCTAAGCTGAACGAAAACTAACTATCCATTATATATATATATATATATATATATATATAATATACCTCTATGGGGAGTATGTGCTTAGAGATGAAGATGATGCGGATGCAGATGTCAATTTAACTTGAATTCGAGCGTATGTCTCTGGGTCGGTCTCTGGTCAAATGAGGGATAAACAATCTGTAATCGGTAATCTCTAATCTGTACTCTATATATATACGGTTAAGAAACACTTTAGTTATAAACAAAAGTTGAAAAGAAATTCTACTTTTTTGCACACTGATTTCCTTTGCTTTTCTTTTCTTTCATTTCGTTTTGTTTTTGCTATGAGATCTCCGTGAAAGTTTTGAATTCATATTTGTTTTTGTTTTGTTTTCGTTTGTTTTACGCTAATCCATACATGCATATATATATCGGTTAATATATATAATGCTATAATTAAATACTACATACATAAGAAAGCAGCACAGTTAAGAGAATCGAAGAGAGGAAAAGTTAGTTTAGCTTCAGTTTCAGTTTCTGTTTCAATTTCTTCGAGAGCGTCTTCTACTTTATCGTCGTTATTTTTTTCGATTAAATATTTATGCTTTTTTGTTTTAGCTCTAAACATTGAAGACAAAAGACATTCAAAATACACATATACGATATACGTTTTTAATTTTGTTAAGTGCTTAGGCTACATCGAAAATTTTGACTCTTCCAAATAAATCAAGTGTGAATTTCGTATTGCATATCCTCAATTAATCAATCGTAGTCGTCAAATGAGAAAACTCAGTCTTAAACATATATAATGTTCTGGGCAGCCGGGGCCGTAGCAATTGATCCTCTATAACCGATCCTGTCCTGCACCTTAGCTATAGCCTATAGCAATGAGCATTGAGAGAGACAGAGGTGTTGGTAGTCGAAAATTAAACTATATTACATGGTAATCAACTAAAAGCAAAGTATACATATCAACTAAAATTGAAGTGATCCGGGCGGCGCCATTGGACTCCAAGGGGGAACGGGGATTCCCCTTTCCGACCAGTTGGGGTCACTCCGCCCGAACCATTCACTGGGGGGCAGTGCGTCGTCCACTTGTTGGTTTTTCCTTTGTTGTTTTGTTTATTTTTTAGTTTACATTTATGAAAAATATGTTTAAAAAGCTTAACAAACTATTATCAAAGCGAAAATTGTCATAACTAAATTAAGTTAATTAAGTTGAAATTGTTTAATTTATATATATATTTATATTGTAATTTTTGTTCAGTCGACAGTTGAAACTTTGAACTAATTTCATCAAATATATTTCTCTTTGTCTAATATTGAGTTAGGGTTGACCGATTTTTTGTGGTCAGATACATATAGAGTGTATATCTAGAAACCAGTTTCAAAATTGAAGCTTCAAACGTTTGTGTAAATGAAAATAGTTGCATAATTTTAAATAAGTTTCTTTTTTTTAGCATTTAGTACACATTTATCTGTAGCTACATATATTTTGTTTTTTTTTTTCATCGTAAGCTAACAGAAGATGAATTTATTCTTTTTGCGGATGAAACGGTTTATCGCTTGAGGTAAATTTTGGCAAACAAATTTTGGATTTGTGTGCATTTTGTTACTATTTTATTTTAAATATATATATCGATATATTTAAGAGTTACGCATACTTGTATATAATGAATACGATGTCTGTGTGTGTTGCTAATTAATTTACATATACATAGATTTCTTAGGAGCTTAACATAAAACGATTTTGTGTTGTTTTTCCAATTTGAATTCGAATTTTCGATCAATTTTTATAATCCTTGTCAAGCACAACAAAAAGTCTGCTTTGTTGCCAAATAACTAATATTATTATTATTAACTACGCTTTGCTTGTAGTGCGTAGAATCTCCTGCTGCTCTCTCTCTCTCTCTTTATAATTTTTGTAATATTCTTTTTGTTTTCACATTAAACTTGCTGGTTTTGTGTCGCTGCTGCTGCTTTAACTACAGTTTTGTTGTTTAGACTAGTTTCAGTTGAGTTACGTTACATATTTGTTTGTCTATAGTATTATTAAATATTTGTTTGTTTTCTTCTAGTTAATTTCGGTGGTGGAATGCTTTAACTTTCAAACAGACAAACGCCCACTTAAAAGCCGTTTGGCGCTTAAAAATTATTCAATCGTTGTTCCTGGCTGAGTTATCTCTGGGTTGGGTTGGGTGTTTCGAGGACTTTTTGGACTGGGGATCGACTCCTCTTCTCCTCCTTCTCGGCGGCGAGGGTCTATCGTTTGGCTGAGTTGCTTTTGTTTCGATTTTAGGCAGCAATCGCCTCATTTTGCCGTCATTCCCACTGATGAGGCGAGGGCGGCAGCTCCGAAGGATGTGCCACGGTCGAACTAAATTCCAGGCGGGGAAAATGATAAAATAAACGAGTTTTAATTTCGATTTCGAGTAGTTGGGTTTTTAGATAAATATCTTAATCAGTTAGTTCATGCCATGTACAACGTAAAATATATGGAAAACATTTAAAGCTTTAGTTTAAGACAAAATACAATCAAAATACAGAAATAGCTCCCATTAAAAACAATCGTATAACAAAACATGAAATGAAAATTTACAAGAAGAACTACAAAAAGAGTTTCGGGTTGGTCAGGGGCTCAAAATACAAAGTAAAATTTTCGGTTTGTTAATCATAATAATCAAAAGTCATTTTGTAGGAGTTGTTCAAGCGTTTAAATCTACTTCAGTTCTTTCTCTGTCACTGCTGCTCAGCTGCACTGCAAACTGTACAAATATTATTTTGCATGAATTTCTGTGCAGTTTTTTAATTGTATGTAAATTAATCCAAGCTGTTATTTTTTGAGTTTTTGGTTCTCTATCTGCACTGATTGGGAGTTGTTTTTTTTTAAAGGGTAATGCAGGACAATGACTGAGCTAAATGATTGGCTGATAGTTGCATGAGCTATTTACAAGTTGAAATAAAATGTATTTGAGCATTAAGTCAAATAAGTAATGTATTTTCAATTTGATCAATACTTAGTTCAATATTTTATTTTAGATATGTCTTTTATTATAAACAAAAGATATGAACATCCTATGTATTTGGTACGCTTTAAAATTATTTTCTTTTGGTATATTTGAATTTATTTTCAATAGATCCTTTTTATGATAAGTGTGCATTACAATTTCAATGGAAATGGAGGGGAGGTGATCTGTGGGTGCATATGGTCTTAATTTACTTGATGGAATCTGTATGCTGTACACGAATACGAATATATATTTTAGTTATATAGATATATGAATGAGTCGAATGCGAACACAAAACATAAACACAAAAATTGATTATGGAGCTGGTTATATGCATTATGTTCTATATTGTTTGCTTTGGTTCGATTTAATGGCTTTATAAAATAGTTGAAAATGTCTCTGGGGTTTTATCTTTTTCCTTTTGTGCTTTTTGCCATATATTTAATTGCCTTGCCAATTTTGTTCTCAATTTTTTGTGCGACATTTGTTAACAATTTTATAATACTCTGGTTAGACTGCCGTATTTTTGTTGGTTTAGAAAACATTTATGTACACAAAAATAGTTACGCAAAAATACCCATTTAAAAGAGATGAAATAAAAATTATAAATCGAAATGAAAAGTTAATCATAAGGAAAAAGTTAAAACTAAAGAAGTTATATCGTCTTTTTTTCTGTTTTGGATTTATACACATTTGCAGAGGGTAGAAAAATAGATAAAAATATATGAACAAAAAGATATGATAAACCAAATAAATAAATATTTAGTAAGGTTTTCGCTTTATCAACAGACCTAAGAAGGAGTAGAGAGACAGTTGCCGCCCAAGGCCTCATTTTCATTTTCATTTTCTGTATATCTGTATTATTGTATCTTTATCTTTGCTGTGCTGTCATTTCATTTTCATTGTCATTTTCATATTGATTTTCATTTTCATTTTCACTGTATCTGTATCACTTTGATTCTTCAAACTTTCGGCAGATTATGGATAGTAGGTTGTGACTTCTGCGTTTCTATTTCGATTCGTTCTAGCGAGAGGAGATCGCGCGCGTAGTATCTCGATCTGGATATTGATCTCGACCTCGATCTGGATCGGTTCGTGAGGGCAGCGCGGCAGTAGGCGGCGGCGGATTGGAGCAGCGGCAGGAGCAGCAGTGCAAGTTGTTGTGGTAGTAGTGGTAGTGGTAGTAGTAGTAGATTTTTCTCATTCTCATTGGCTTAACAACGCAAATATAACGATTCGATTTAATAGAAATTTCAAGATTAATATCCATGTTGAACAACAAAAATAAAAGAACAAACGAAAAGATCATTTAAAAATAAGGTTACAAATTATAATCGTAGTTCGGTATAGAGAGAGAGTTATGTTATATAGAGATAGTTCGAGTTGGGGGACAGGTACGACAAATTATTGGGATAGTTCTTCAGAGAGAGCATTACAGGGAAGCCAATTTAAACGAAAAGTAATAAAATCAATGGTAAATAAAAGGAAAATAAATAGAAATTTAGTTTTACAATTTTGACTAAAGGTGGTAAGTTTGTATTAAAAGTCATGGGTAAAAAAAGGACAGGACTGCGTGCAGAGGTGGGAAAATTTTGAAGGTTTTTCTTTTAGGTGGGGAAAGTTATTGGAGGCATTGACAAGGATTTTGCTCACTCACCTGGCGAAACTCTTGAAGGCGGCACTCTGGGGATTAATGCAGAGCGGCACTCGACCCGTTTGCAGCTGCTCGGCAATGAACTTGTGCATCTCCTCTGCAAGTTTTCATAATGATTAGATGTTTTTGGTTAAAAAATCTCCAATTGATTGCACTCACCCTTGACCTGCTGCACGGAGGTGAGCTTGCGCTCCCACAGATCGTCGAAGGGCTGGCCGGCGGAGGGCTCGAAGTCAGCCGTGTACTGGCGCATTCCGGCCGAGGTAGTGAAGCAGCATTTGCACATGCACGAGTGGTACCGCAGACGACCCTCGTCCAGGTACGGATGCGCCAGGGCATCTGTCACCGAAATTCGCTTGTCCTGGAGATGGAAATTCGGAATGGTTATAGTTATATAAGTCAATAGGTTTGGAAATTGGTTTACTTCATTTCAGAAATTTTTTGGATTGTATTTTAGTCAAATATTCTTTCAAAAATTGCCATCAGAAATAACTCTTTATTAGAGAAATTTTTCTATGTTTTTGAGTTTGAATTTGAAGTACTTGTTTTTAATGCTCCAATAAATGTAAAAATTAAAGAAAGTTCCCATTACTTTTTTTACTATTATTTGATGGGAATGACATTGGATATTATTTTTTTTAAAATAAAAGAAACCTTCAGAAAAGTATAATATATTTATGGTAACAAGAAAATAAATGGTTTTTCATCTGAGGTTCCCCATTTCTTCATTTCAGAAATTTTGTGTATTGTATTTTAGTCAAATATACTCTTTCAAAAATTGCCATCAGTAATAACTCTTTTTAGAGAAATTTGTCTTTGTTTTTAAAGTACTTATTTTTAATGCTTCAATAAATATAAAAATTGATGCAAATTAAATTGAATATTATTTTTGAAAAATAAGAGTAACTCACAAAATTATATAATACCTTAAATGACATGGAAATAAATGGTTTTTCATCTGAGGTTTCACAGTTTTATATGACATCCAATAATATTATAAAAATTTCTAAAAATTCAGTAAATCCTGGCTATTGCTTACCGGATCGAAGACGAGCATCTGGCAGAGCAGGTGCACCGCCTCGTGCGTGGCGTGCGAGCTGAGCGTGTAGAGCACCGAGAAGGAGGGCGGCTTGGGCGCCCGCCGGAGCATGTGGGTGCGGGCGCCCTCGCAGGCGTGCCGCATGTCCTCCATGGTGGGCGTGCCGAGGAGCTCGGTGATCAGCTCCAGCTGCTGCACGGGATTCTGCGCCTGGAAGAGGATGCGACGGCCGAGGAGCTCGCCAAAGATGCAGCCCACCGACCAGACGTCCACCGCCGACGAGTAGTGGCGGGCGCCCATGAGGATCTCCGGAGCGCGGTAGTACTGGGTGACCACCTCCTGGGTCATGTGCTTGGCCTGGTCGGGCTCCTCGACGCGGGCCAGTCCAAAGTCGCAGATCTTGAGGACGCAGTTCGAGTTGACCAGCAGGTTGCCCGGCTTGATGTCGCGATGCAGGATGCGGGCCGAGTGCAGATACTTGAGGCCGCGCAGGATCTGGTAGAGGAACACCTTGATGTGGTCGGCGGACAGGTGCTGCGGCGACACGATTATCTTGTGCAGATCCGATTGCAGCAGCTCCGTTATCACATAGCTATTGGTCGAATCGGATAAGGGTTAAGGTGGAAACCAATTTGATAGCGTCGTGCGAGCGAGGAGGAGCACAAACAAAAGTTTGAAACTCCCTTCTCCGCTTCCCCATTTCATTTTTTGGCTTGTTTGTTTGCGCTTAAAACTTTTTCAATTAGTTACATTTGCTTTTAGCCCGAAAGTTTCGGCTGCGACGCCCGAAAAACAGGCAACACACTTTGCAAAATCGAATTTTTAGTTTCTAGGGTTTTGTTGGCCAAAGGATTAATAAAATATCTGAAGTTGGTTTTTAGTTTGCATATTTTTTGAGAAGGCTTTTCGGAAGAGTTAATTTGCTATAAAATTGTATTGGTAACTGAATATTTCTGGATTCGAAAAAGTTTTTAGCTCCCTCAGTAAGCTGTAAATCTAAAATTTAATAATTAAAACTTTCACACTTTTAAGTGCATTTTTGTTTTGTTAAAAGGATACATTTCTTGAAAGAAATCCAAATGCGGTGGCTGTAGAATGTCCAGAGCCGAGAGAACCTGTGAATCATAAACAAAATAAACGCATTAATTAAACAGACTCGCTCTTCCAATCGGTAAATACGTCAGAAATTTGGCAGTGTCATTGAACTGGCAGTTAAAATTAAAATCCCTAGACAATACAGTCAACGATTTGCACCTCATTTGAAGGGGATTACGTGTGGTGCTGGTGGTGGTTGGCCATAAATTATGAAGTTGCAATAAAAATCAAGTTGCATGTTAAGTGTCGCTGCCGGGACATTAAATGCCGCAAGTAAAAAAGGCACAAAGCGAAAAATCAGCAAGGAAATTGTTGACCCCTTGATGATGTTATACACTGACTGCTGACTACTGACTCCGACTGACGGAGCAAATACAAAACACGCTAAGGTCTGCGGGTCTTTTCATATGGGGGAGGAGTCCGTCGTCTGACGGACAGCAGAATACAAAAAATATTCCCGAGTATATACTATAAAAAAAATCATCAAGAAAAAGGGGGAAAAGAACCACAGACAGACAAGCGCTGATTTATTTTCGCTTGTGGTGAGGAGATGATGAAGGAACTTGCAGGCAGCAGGCAGGCAGGCAATCACATCAAAAAATCTAACAGGGCGAGTGAACTCGACCTCGAACTCTGCTCCCCTCGCCCATTTAAAATCAATTTACAATATTTATACTACTCCAGTTGGACCCTGTGAAATGCGTAAAGTGACCGAAATAAAGGGGAGGCGGAAGGGGGGTAGTAGTAGCAAACCCAAATCCGCAGTGGCAGCAAAAAAATGTTGCCAGCCACAATGTTGCACATTTAACCCCCTCGCGGCCGCAGTTGTCGGCAGTTGGCAAAAGCCGAAAGCAGTTCAGCAATTTTGAGCACTTTTCGCGGGGCATTGCGAACGCAACAACAAAAAGCGCCGACAACTTTGGTTACTGGTTTTTCTTTTCTTTTATTTTCCTTTTTTTTTTTTTTGTTTGTATTTTTTTTTTGCTGGCTGGCCAGCTTAGCCGTCCTCAAGTCTGCATCTCCATCGCCGTCTTAAGTGGCAAAGTTTTTTGCGCTCTACAGGAGCGACGTGATATTCCCCCCTCGTTGCAGTTTCAGTTCAGTTCTGCTCCTTTGGCAGCCTTTGTTTTATATTTACTTCTTTGTCCGCAGCTCCGGCAGCCTGAAAATTCTGTAATATTTCGCGACTGCGCCGCTGCTGTAATTTAGCGACTGCATTTGCTGCGTTTTGCGGTTTGCAACATTAAATGCGAGCAGGTGAGCTAAGTCGATTTAAAAAATACACTATCTATGCGAAAATAATTTCTAAATATTTTTTAAAATATATTAAAGATCATGTTATATATTTTTACCCCTTTAAAACTAACATTACTGACTGAAGTTAATGCTATTTTTGCTTAAAAACACATTGGTGATACTGCATTTTCATGTTGTTTACCACCAAAATAATTAGCTGTTCGTGTATGCTAATTATTCGGGCAGCTACATGTGGCATATGCAACCTCATCATGACCAAATCTCCTCCACACATCTAATCTATTTAGTTTTCCAGTTAGGGCATAAGGCAGGCAACAACAGGGAATTAACGAATTTCAAGTGTTTCTGAATGGTTTTCGTAGTTGCTTTTTCGGTCAACTTCATTTGCTGCACTTCACCTCGCTGCACTGCACTTCAGTTAACTTCACAGCGCAGGCGCGTAATTTTCTGCCCCGGCTGGCTTGTTATTGTTATTACTTGGGCTGCATTATTTTTTTTTATTTTTTGGGGTCTCACGTGCAGCGCGGCTTGCAGCTAATTAACATTTTGGCTTGGGCTTGCAATCAGAAACCAAATTTATGCATTGTGCACCGCCGAAGGCAGCTTTAAGTGTCCTTGAAGTGTTGTATGAAAATGCGGGGGGCAAGGGGTATAAGCAAGCCAACAAACTAAGTAATAAAAAAAAACAAAAGCAACAACTATCTGGGTTGAGTTCTTAAAGTGGGTTGCACACAAAAAAAATTTAAAAACTTCAAAGTTTTTTTTTTACTAGTTAGTTTTTGTGCCACAAAAAGAAATTTTAAAGTTTCCACTGGCTTTTGTTTAAATATTTTCACACAATTATTTATTTTGTTTAACATCTAGTAGTACTGTAAACTTCAAAATATATTTCCGTGTATATCTTTAAAATTCTAGTTAAATAAAGATACAGAGAAACAAGTGAAACTTGTGTTCAACTTGCAACCGGCAGCTGTGGCAGGTTGTTGGTTAACCCACCTCAAAGCTCACACCACATCACCTCCACCCCTTTTTTTAACCCACTGAGCGCCAGCTCTTGTCTACAACTTCTTCCTCGGCTCCTCAGCTCCCCAGCTCCACCAAACTTCCAGCGAATTTTCCCCCATCTCTGTGTCGCTGTGAAAACAAAAGCAAAAGTGTCACCGCTTCGACTTCACAAGTATTTTCATTCCAAGCTGAGGGACAAATTTCTAGCTAAAAGATTGTCAGGCAGCAGCTGTCAACACATATTTGTTGGCTAATTAAATGAGTGGGGGACAAACTCCACCGAAATCGACTATTACAACTCGCCGAGCTACAAATAAAAATAAAAAAAAAACCTTGAGAAGCAACAACATAAATTCCCTTTGATTACTCTTAGCTAGTTAAAGTTTACAAGAAACTTTTTAAGCAACTCGCTTTTTCGTTGGGTCATTTCCTGCTAGATATGTATCTTTAAAATAAAGTAGATGTGGGGAAAAACACTTTGGAAATATCAAATTTCGTTAAACGACTTAAGTTTTATTATTAAGATAATGCAGATAATCTAAATGCTCTTCTGAATTATATTCTCTTTTTTAAGAAGATAAACTTTTTCTTTTTCTAAACACACACATCCATCATTAAAGTCCAAAAGAAATTGACATTTCAATTGCCAAAAGCAATGCGAATAATAACAAAATTTGCATGCAATTGATGCTGCCAGCGCGTCAAACTCAATCATTTTGGGCGGAAAAGGGATCGAAAATCAGCATGCATATATATCTGACTCTTATAGAGAGGGAAAATGGGAGGAAGTTGACAGCCAGCTTCGAGGCTGCGTGGAAATGAAAATGGGGGTAAAAAAAAATGAGAAAAACTCCTGCCTCGCCCGAGTTGCATGTGAGAAATGCTTTTGAAATGTGCGCCACGTACATTGCAATAAGAAATAAAGTACAACAAAAAGAAACCGGGTTTGCAATTGAAATGGGCAACGGATAATGGGGCGCAAACATTTTGCAGCGATTTGCTAAACTGCAATGCATAAAGCATGAGAGGAGTCATTTGTGTATGCGAAAAGCCATTGAAGAACGGTCTTCCCTTCAAGAGTTTGATTGATTGAAAGGGTCAATGGGTTGCAATGTTCGAGTTTTTAAGTTAGTTTCAGTGATATTTTTGTTTCAAAATCCCCAAATAAACAGAATATCTTTGAGTAATTAATTCATGAATAGTCTATTGAATTGGTTTAGCTTTTCAACAACGAGAAATAAATTTATCAGAGAATTTCTGGCACTTTAACAATCATAAGTTCATTGCTGACCTCAAATAATATGCCGAAAAGTCAATTTGGAAACGAATACCTCACTCACTACTCATTGGACTTACAACTTTCGAGTGGAGGTCTTTCATTGATTGAGTTATAAATAGTTGAGTCGCCGAGTCCATATGGAAACTATATGGAGAACCCAATTTGCAATAAAATGCAAGGCAGCCACGTGCCAAGCCCAGTGTTTTTCCAATCCCCCCTCCCCCCTCACCCCGCCGCCTTGTCAACAACTTCTCTGCTGCTTCTGTAGCTCTCACTCTTTCTAGTTTTCCGATGCCTCTCTTTCTAGCTAACCGTTTGGAGTTGATTGCACTTGTTTGCCATTCTCTGAATGATGTCTGTCATGTAGGAAATGAAACAGGAAACACAGGCAGATGCAAAAACATGCGGAGAAAAACTATTAAAATGTAGTTATTTTTTTAGGGAAAATGTCTCCTACATCTGTGTGATATGCCAGCATGGTAATACAAATAATTTTATTTGCTTAAAGTTGGCGAATAATACTATTTTGAACTTTATGATCTTAAAGGTTTTTGTTAATCAGAGATTTAATTGTGAGTAAAAAGTTTTAAATTCTTTAAGTAAGAGATTTTTGTTGGATAATCTCTAAATATAATTCGATATAATATTGTTTTTCTTTCTCTGGAAGCCAATCCAAGTATCTCCAGCGTTGACAGCAAAGTCGCGCCTTCGTGCTTCTTTCATTTCCCCCGCCGCGATTCTTCCACCCACCTGGAGCAATTTATGCATATTAATAGAAAATTTGCATATTGGGCAAGGTGTTACAGCAATTGCTGTTGCTGTTGTGGTTGTTGTTGTTGTTGCCGACATATGGAATCGAGATTGGAGCCCCGAGAGGAGGGGAGAATACAGCTGTCTGCTCTGAAACGCCCACTTCGCCTATACCTCTTCATTATTGCATTACGAAATTCACACGCAGCCAAGCGCGAGTAAAAAAGAGAAACAACAAAAGGAAATCATGTAGGCTGATGGAAATGATGATGATGGATAAACAGAGATGCTAGATATATGGTAGATATATTGGCCATCTCTCTCGGCATTAGATTCCCAGACATCCCACGGCTTATTTGATGTCTAATGAAGTTGAACCAATCTGGAAATGATTTAGCAAATATAAAAAATATTCGAGGGGAGAGACCGTGACATTTAAGAGTGCAGCAAATCGTATGCGACAGTTTCTCAATCTATATAATACATAGTAACACCATAAAAGTCCCACAACAACCTCTTCCTTGACTTTTAACTTTGTATGAAAATGTCAGATCTACCAAATATGGACCATAACAAAAGGTTCTTGAATAAAAAAAAAAAACTACTCGTACCTTTCAAACGCTTTGAGCACGTGCAGCGCAATAGCAGTGAATATGTAAATAAATTATAAGCGCTGACAATTCAGAGAGAATATATTTGTACAAAATATCCCATAAAATGGCATAAAGCATTTGACCCTCAGCAGATTTCCAAATGTATATTTTTTTCTCTTCTTGCCTGCATGCTAATATATCAGGCAAAATTACAACATGCATTTTATGCATTCGTTGCCATCGCCTTTGGCTGTTTTTAACTGCCACAAAATGTTTGACAATTCACAGATTTTTTGTTCGGTTCGGGCACAAATTTGTTTGCAATAAATTTGCAGAATTTATTAAATGCTCAATCATAAATGGAGGAAGAGAATGCATTTGTAAAACGAAAATTTAAATGTTTTCAAAATGAAATTAAATTTTAAATTGAATAATGTTCAAGTGAACAGTTTGCCCAAAGAAAAGTAGTTTAATTTATCTTTTATTAAGTTTATATCTCTTTTCTGCAATATTTCACGCTATAATTACTTTTTGCAGGCCATGCAATTTATTTTACTCGCAGAATAACCGGCAAAGCAAAGTAAAGCGATGCTTAACCCTTTAAGAACTGTTTAAATTCAATAAATTAACATGCCATATCAAACATTTAATTAATGACAATAATTCCAGCGAACAATAATTCCACTTGGGCAGAGAACAACGGACATTAAATGGAGGGCGTAAAAAAAAGGAAATGTGGAAAATTTTCCGCGAAAAGGATACATTTTTCAGCGGCTTGCAACCAAAAAACTCCCCTCTCGGCAATCTCTGTCCTGTTTGAGTTGTAAATATTATGAAAAAGAGCCCGAGACTAAAGTGGAAAATATAATTGTTAATAAATTCAGTGCAACAAAAAGGCAGAATAAGCCAAAGGCAGTCGGACAGCCACGGCGTATACGTGATATTTCACGTACAAAAGATACAAGGGATAAATATCGAGCGTGCATATAGACCCACTGCAGTGACAATAATGAAAGTAGTGTGTACGTCAACATTTTAATTAAATTTTTTTGTCATCAGCGAAACGGCAAGTTTGCAATAAGGATAATTCAGTTCAGAAGGGGAAATAAGATTGGAATTTCCACTTACATTCTCATGCTTGAAGAAGCAGAGCATTTTCAGCTCGCGGAAAACGCGTTTCGATGAGACCAACGATTGGAACACATTTGGCAGCTTCTTCAAGGCCACGCGTCGTCCATCCCGAGGATCTGTGACGGCCCTGGAAAACAAATATAAACATTAATATACTACAATAAATATTGATTTTGTTGCAACATTAACTTTTTAGAATCAAGACCTATGCTATGTTTATAACCACACTTAACTGTTACTTGAAATTAGTTTGTTTTGAGTTTAAGGAGATTCATTTTCCCTGGCTGCTGTTATGTTTGTTATTTTGTTATATTTTCATTGCACTTTAGCATCGTGTTAAGAGAATTCCTGTGTTTTCCAACCCAGTCAAAGTTAATCTTCAACTTCTCGTTCACCGCTCAAGTGTCGCATTATAAACAGACCACAATGAGAATTTCTTCCCCCTGGCTTAAATGTCATTTTATACTCTGCGGCAGACAAAGCCCAGTCAAAATCAGACAGACTGGCAAACAAACAAACATTCGATGGAGTTTGAAAGTTCGTTCAACTTTTCGCCTTGACAATGCCAGAGTTCTTTCCTTTTGTTTTGCGAAAACCCGCTCTGCTTTTCCATTCGAGCCTACAAAATGGCGCCTAGAAATAGGCAAATGTGTATTGTCTTGCAATTGATAAACAACCACAAAGACGTCGACACAAAATTAGCAATACGAAAATGTGGCAAACAGAGAAAAAAAAGGTCAAACAACAGACATGTGAGGCTTTGGTTGGGGCAAGAAATTAAGGGGAATAAATGGCGCTCAGGGGGTGGCGTTCGAACACCGACGACACAGAGGCGTCGGTCCGGCTTATGGGGACTTTTATGATGCCATTGGCCATGGCTGAGTGTTAGTCAGCGTCCTGTCCTGTCTGGGGCCAAGTCCTTGTCGTCTGTCTGCCCGACTCGCTACAACAAACTCACTACACAGCCAAAATTATTATGAAAAGTTTAATTTATATCAAAAATTAACATTACTCTTTAAGGAACTTTTATATTTGCTTGGCTTAAAACACAAAAATTAATAAAATTTTGATGTTTAAAATAAAACAATTACATGTTACATATGCAAAGGAATTTATATTTTTATATTCAAAATTGTTCCCTGTGTTCTCATTTTTCGCCAATTTTTCCACTTTTTCGCAATCTTTCAGCGCTGCCTTCGCTGTGGTGAAAAATATTTTTGTTATGGTCCTTGCTTTCAATGGCCAAAAACTGCGCAGCATCTTTTGCTACTCCGGTTACCAAAATTTCATTTTTCCTCTCTTATTTTTGCCCCGGCTGCTGGGGAATCTGCCTTGCTGCTTTGCGGGGTGATAAGTTGAGGGCCGTAAATCTTTTAGCCCTGTTAGTTCGGCCGACGACATTTAAGCGTTCAAAATTATGGCAAATTGCTGCAGATTGAATTGGTTTGTGAGAGCATCGCTCCTCTATCGCTTTCGTTCTGCCATTCTCCATTCTTGTTTGCTCTGTGTGCGTGTTTGTTTCTCGCTGGATGAGTCAGCATCCAATTTGAGTGTAGCATACATTAGGGCGTTTTTCTTGCAGGCAGAATGCGATTTGCATGTCTGAGCTGAGAAAATGAATAAAATCGTCTAGGCGCAATGTCAGAAGTGTTAATGATAATGAGCAACGAAACGATTATGTTAAAATGCAGAACAACAAACGGAAACAAGGCAGGAAAATAATAAAAACGTAATAAAGGAAATAGAAAATTCCTAAGATTTTGACATTCAGAAAATAACAATTTAAGCTAACACATCTTATAATGCACCTTGGAAGAATTTTCCAGAGCTTTAAAACTTTTATTTCCCATTCCCAAAAATGTAGCCCCAAGAAAGAGTTCTTAATAGTGAGAAGGAGACACACCCATTAATATTTTATGGTCATCTATCAAAGTCGCCGGCGCAAGGGAATCTCAAAATCAAGAATTCACTTTGTGTGCGATGAATTGGGTTAAAATCAAAAATTGTTTACAGCCAGCACAGTGGAACCACAGAAAGCGAACCGATAAGACCACATACATGGACAAATAAGGAGAGCGATGCGGAATGATAAAAGAAGAAGGCAGACAGAGAGGGCGAGCGAAGGGGGGAAGAAAGAGAGGGCATGATGATGATGGATGACAAAATGCAGGCGATTTTTAGGTGGGAGGGAGACGAGTGTATGTGGTGTGTATGTGTGTGTGTGTGTCCATCCCCCTCTGACCTTCGCATTTGATGGCCCCTCCCACAAAATTTCCCCCCGCTCATTTTTCCTTTACATCATTGCTGCAATTTCTGATGTTGTTTCACTTCTTTTTCTCTTCTTTCAATGTCAGCTAATGGGAAATCATTTATCATGTGCGTGTCTCTCCAGGAGAATAAAGAAAACGAAGAACCAGTTGGAAAATGAGCTCCAAGTCCGAAGCAGGGCAATATATTCGAAGCGAAACAAAAAGTGCCAGAACTAAATGATAATTACCTAAACCCAAGACAACAAAACGCACAGAGATCAATAATTTATCATCTTTGACCCGAGGCCTGTCCTTCAATTTGTGCTGGTCTCCGTGTCCATTCAACTTGAAAATTTGTTATAGTTTCCCGCATCTGATTGATCGGAATGAACGAAATTGTGGAGAATAAAAACCATCTTCAATTGTCTTGCTTCAGGTGTTTGTGTGTGTGTGTCTGTGCGCATTTCGTGTTCAAGTGCTCGGAATCGAATCGAAAATGGGTTAAAAGTGGGGAAAAGGAGGAAATATTGAGGGGGAAAAGCGGGGGCGTTGAAAGCCCCAAAGGGTGGAAAACTTCAAATTGCCATTTCGATGCTCACAAAGTTTTGTCGCATTCTTATTTCATTTTTGCCATTTTCCCTTTCCGTTTTTTGGCGATGCCGCAAACAAATTCAAATATCCTTTCGATTGACTTTTGGCCAGTTGGTTATATCCTGAATGATACTTATTTGCATTGGGTATTTTGATTGCAAAAAAGGACTTGGTAAAGAGAAATGTGTTGTTAAATATGCATCGAACCCCTACCTTAGTATCTCAAATATATATTTAAATATTCATTGCACAGTATCTTACATTCGATTACCACCCGTATCTAAACTCCACTGCACATTCCTTTCGATGGCTTTAAGCAGCTTAAGCCGAAAAATAACTTTTCAATGACTTTTCGGGTTCGGACCTCGCCTGCGGGTCACATCTGCCTTAACTTTACATTATTATTTCATTCCTTTGCCATTTTTTGCATTCCTTGTATTTTATATACACTTTTCGTATTACACAAAATGATGTTTTGGGCCCTTTTTTTTTTGGTTGAGGCATGGCCAACATCGCCAGTATCTCTCGGCAGCCGTCGCCCTCATCTGCTTGCATAATTTCATTTTTGATTTCTTCTGACACTTTGCACATGCTTTTTGAATAACTCATCACCTTGTGCACTCATCATCAAACATTCTTCGCCCAGCCACGCCCCTCAGCCCCTTCGAACTCCTTTCGGTCCCCTCCTTAAAAGCTGATCCATCCAAGTGAGCATTTGTTGCCTTTGGGCCTTTTAACTTCCTGCTGCCGCTGTCGTCGTCGTCGTCGTCTGACTGCCTTTTCTCCATCTACCAGGTCCACTCGTTCATTGAACCCGCAGCATTCTGGATCTCAGTCCCCTCGGTTATTTCAACTGGATTCAAACGTTTTTAAGGGCCGTTATTATTTAAGGCGTAACCTAACTGGAAATCGTCATTGCAATATTAAAACCTTCTAAGTCTTTAAAGCCACTTTTATTTCCTTTCCACATTTAAATGATAATAACGTGTAGAATATACATGCAATTTGTCAGCTCACATTTCGGTATTGAAGTCCTCAATCACTAATTGCAGTTTGGCTATAATCATAGACCCATTATAAATGCCACATGCTCCAGCTGTTGGGGTGGAATTTTGGATTTGGCCCACGTGTAAATTACTAATTTCTGTTGTCGTCCTGACATCGCTTTGATTGTCTCTGTAACTCGCGCTGCCGTTCTGTCTGTCTGTCTCTGTCTTCCTGCTCTTTGTTTTCCCACTGATGTGCTGAGCCATCCAATTGTTGAGCTTTGCTGATGTTGGCATTTCGCAGTGTCCACTGTTTTGGCGACCCAGCGGCAGGGAATAGAGAAATCATGGGGGAAATCACTGGTGACAAACATGTTGAAGAACTACAGAATTTCTTTTTAAACGTTATTAATGATCAGCAAACTATTATTGCTAGTAAAAATTTACTTATGATAGAGTACGGGTGTTTTTTAAAAGACTGTCAATTTAAACGGGATCCGATAAAGTATGACATTAATTTTGTTATGAGTTTGAAGATGGTGTTGGAACATATCTTGAATGTATCTTAATAAATGCTCCCCAATTTATACGCCTGTGCCGCATAGATGCGTCATGTTTGGGCCAAGTTTTCCCCCGACGCCACCGACGGCTACTAATTCGCATGTTTCAACCATTTCACACTGTTATAATTATGGCAATGTATGCCAGTATCAGCAGGGAATTCTAACGGCAACCGCAAACTGTTTTCGCTCTCCCGCTCTCTCCTTTCTCTATCTCTTTCTCTCAGTGAATACGCAACATTAATTGCAACATTTTCGCTGTTGTTAATTGACTAATAACTTTGGGGTTTATTCCCCGGGGGGGTGAGGGGGCATAAATGGGACGAAACAGGAAGAGAATTAGGAAAAATACACATACACACACAAACTAAAACAATTAGGCTTAATTGAATTTGATTATATAAATAAAATAACGAATATTCAGTGAGAAGGCTTTAAAAACTCAATTTGAAACTAACCGAGCTGTGTGCAAATGTGTCTATGGAAAAGCTTGGAAAAACCCAATCTCCGCTTTTCCGACCCATCTCCTGTCTCTTTCTCCCCCACTTCCTGTCTCTGTAGCTCCGCTCCCCCTCCTCCCCAACTTTCTCTGCCCATTTCGTCGACGTCTGCTTCAATTTATGCGCGTAATCAATTTTACAAATGGCCTGCAGGCAAAGGCAGGTGGTAGGCGTGGCATTTTCCGGCCGGAGAGCGAGAGAGAGAAATAAATTTATGCAATTTAGAATTTTCCAAGGGTGG